TCAATGTACTGTATCACATGGTGGTGGTTGCTGTTGCTGTGGTAGATGTTGTGGTGGTCATACAACAGTTGATGCAGCTCATATCAAGTGAAATTTGAATATGACTGACACATTCCTTACAACTATCTCAATGAAATGATCACATCGGTTGCCTGATATTGGGTAATTGAAACAGGCTTCTTTTTAATGGATAAAGAATTGGTCCGTTTAGCACACACAAACCAAAGTAACAAATAAAACAGATCAACAAGGCAAATGACAAAAATACATTTCTGGAAACTTTTGAGTCTGAACCACAATGTAGGCAACACAGTAAAATGATGTGAAACTGTTGTTACTAAACAGCCCTTGTACATTGGCAGATCCAGAGGTGGGGTGGGGATGGGGTGTGGTAGGGGGTGGGTGGGTGTGTGGGGTGTGGGGTGTGGTGGGTGGTTGTGTGGTTTGAGAACACACCCACCCCCAACCTACCCTTTTTGAAGACCAAATGTATGTTGTAGACAATACCACCCACCGATTCACTGAGAGATTCAACGATTTTGAAATTTTGGACTCCTCCCTGTTAAAATTGCTGGATTGCAATATATTCTATTTCTCCATCACAAGCTCCAGACTTTTGTCCCTTCAACCTTAATGAACAATGGTGAGAGGAGAATTCCTGCTTAGTCAGCAATATTACGGCTATGTACAGCTCTGCACAAGAAGCTTCTCAAATGATAATGGACAACTCACACCCGTGGCCGATATTGTGAACAGAGAGTATTGTATTGCTTACATTCTGCCACAGTAGAGTACGCCTAGAAGAAACACCACAGCATACTTACATCCTGCTGTAAGCACCCCGTCCTCTCCATGGTCAAACTTTGGGGCATTGAGTACTGGGAACTCACTCCTCCCAATGACCCCATAGCCCAGCATCAAGATACATCAATACTCCCGGTTGATTTTTTTGTAATGCGAAGCTGTAGTGAGTGAGTGAGTGAGTGAGTTGGGTTTTACACCACTGTTAGCACTATTCCAGCAATAGGCTTCACATATTATGAAATTTCAAGATTACATTTGTAATCGGAACATTTGTCAAATTGCTGACGCAGCAGTATTATAAAGGTAAGAGCTATTTTTCAGGGCATTATCATTTGCAGAAGCGCGAGGTCTTCCATTAACTGCCCGGCGAAGGATGGCAGTTAAAAAGGCCGAGGGCTTCTGCAAATGATAATGCCCTGAAAAATAGTGTTACCCTTATTATAGTTTAAATGGATGGAATTTGTTGTCAAAAAGAAACAATATCGGTATTGAAACATTTACTGCAATCAACACCAATGTCACTGACCCACATTTACAAATATGGAAATGTCATGGAACAAACCAGATGACGTCACTATTGAACGTGACGTCGCCTATCCCTATCCTATGACGTCACCTAACAACGGGTGTGATAATGGCCTGTCGTCAAGGAATGTGAGGGCATTATCAAGTTACAGTGGCCTGCTCATATCTGATAACATATGGGCGGTTTAATGATATCCATAATGTATCCATTTTAGCTATAAATGATATCAACACACACAACTGTACCAAAAGAATGACACAATATGACAAACACTTTTTCTTCATGTTTTTGCATTATGTGGGATGGTGAGTTGAGGCTAAGTTCATCTTAGCCTGTAATATTAACTGTACTAGAAACAGCTTTGACAATTACAGTGGAATGTTATGTAGATATAAACAAGATTATCACCACAAAAATACCTATGTGACAGACACAACACCAATAAAATATAATGGTGCTGCGATGTCGATGTTTGGTCCCTTAATAAATAAACCATATGACAATCACACATACAAGTACATATAAGTTAATGCTGTGTACTATATATACATCTGATGCCACAACTCCCATTCTGACAAAGTCATATAAAACATGTCTTAAGTACCAATATATTAAACACAACATAATATTCAAATGAAAATTGATAATTCATTTGAGATAGTTACTGTAATAGGCTTCATCACACATGTAACAAGGTAAATAACGATAATAAACAAACGTCATTACCATAATCGACGTAATAAGCGCCCCGCTCTAATAAGCGCCCACGGTGACATTTGCTAATATATTGGCTAGTGAACAATCCCAATTAGCATCCCTTCCGATTGATCAATGTACACAAGACGTATTATTCAAGTATAATACGCACTCGTGTGTTATATGCACCCTTAATTATGGGCAATTAAATTCTGGAAAAATATATCTGTCGTACATAAACACTTCAGGCTGTCAGCTTAAACCACAAAATTTATCTTTCAACTCTGTTTTTTTCACCAAAATAATATTCTAATAAGAGCCCCCTATTTCTTATTTCGAGAGCGCCCTGGGCGCTTATTACGTCGAATACGGTATATGCCAATGAATAACTTATCTAGTGCTACAGGCATATTGGAACACTTCTAGCCGATAGGTCCCTACAGGCACAAATGGAGGGGGATTGAGACAAAACAGGGGCCCTACCTAAAGCCACTATAGAAATAATCTTCCTGTAGTTATACTCTAATTACAACAGCTGTGAACCTCTGGACCATCCATGTATAAAGTTATGTATAGTTTGAGACAGAGTGCAGATACCAGAGCAATGTACAAATACGGTAGTTATTTAGCTATTACGTTATGTCACAATAATGATCAAAGTTTTCAGGGACCGACTACTTGATATTCTATTGGAGGAGGATGGACTTTGTATAGAGATTAGTTACCTCTTCAGCTACAAGACCAGATATTTTTTTAATTTAAACCTATGAGTCGGAATTCTTTTAAAGAAAAACACCTTGCAACAATATTATTTTTGTGGCAGGCTATTTCTTTTTTACAACAGTGTGAAGCACAATAAATTTTTAAAAGAATCTTTTTCTACAAACATCCCAGGCCACCAAGAATATCACCCAGGATATATGAGGTTTCAGTTTCACTGTATATATATTCCCAAATCAAGTAAACATTTCTCAGTGACTGATGCCATATGACTCTTGAAAGAAGAGTGTGTGTCCAGTATGTTTTGTTTGTTTGTTGTTTAACGCCGCACTCAGCAATATTCCAGCTATATGATGGCGGTCTGTAAATAATCATGTCTGGACCAGACAATCCAGAAATTGACATTATGAGCATCTTTCTCTGCAATTGGGATACGATAACATGCATCAACCAAGTCAGCGAGCCTGACCAACCGATACCATAAGTCACCTCTTACGACAAGCATGGTCGCCAATGGGTTGCTGAAGACCTATTCAGGCCCGGATGTTCACGGGGTGTGCCAGTACTTCTGGTACAGTAGATACATAGCACTAGACTGCTGGAAGAACGCTCAATGACACACAAGAATCTTAAATACAAAACACACAGTAAAAACACACCGGCTGTTAGTTATCAACATCATGATACAGGGAAGAGAATGGGTTTTCAAACATCATGACATAACCATGGTTCTGGGTGACTATACGATTTGTAATGGCATGAATCACAAAAGTGCCCTGACGTAACAAAATCAACGGAATTCCGCGGAACAGTCTCCTCCCTGATATGACACTCGGATATGGTCCAAATGCTCCTTGCAAGTATGTAGTTATAACAATTTCAGCCTGTTTTTACAGGAAATGGAAATTCTTTTCATCACCATTACAGTATTGAAGAAAAAGTCTGAATTGAACTTTGGATTGAGCCAAACTCTACAGTGAGTGAGTGAGTGAGTTGGGTTTAATGCCGCTTTTAACAGTATTCCAGTTATATCGCGGCGTGTCAGCTTAATGTGGGAGGAAAGCCCGAAGTGATGCAGGTCTCAGACGTTTACCACTTCGGTGAAACCCACGAGCACGGGTATGGTGCTGACAAACCTAGAAACATAATTGGGGCGAACCGGGATTCGAACCCACAATCATAGGTTTCTGGCGTGCCCAAGGGACGCAGCTCTGTACAGCGAATCGTGGCGCCTTAGACGACTGGGCCACCCGTGCCCCCCCAAACTCTACAGAGCAGATAGTCACAAACTGACATCACTCGGTGAAAGACATACATTAATCAGTGTTATCTGAATTACATTGAACAGACATGGTAATTACCACTATTGATGTAATAGAATATTTCCATAACTCTACGAATATTGAACCACAAAGAAACATATCACAAGTTTAAATGTTGTATAAATTATATGGCATTCATAACACACTGTGCTAAAGACTTGTGAATCTACTAGCCCGAAGATGACTCCTAGGCTCAATTTCCGTAGATTTTAGTATTAGCATATGAACGATTATCAGCTGAGCTTACGAGGTCGAACAGCATGTTACTAGAATCAGGCTTTGGTCAGGTGGCAAAAGTCACAGACCGAAGGTAATAACTACATAATTAAACAAAGCATGCAACAAACAAGTGGCAGGAATCGTGTATAACAAATAACATCATCTGTTGTAACATAATTTTGCACCGAAACAATCTGCTAAAATATGCATATCTCACAACCTCTCATGACTGCGTGTTGAAACCTCAGCCAATCTTGATATGCAGTTCAAACCTCCCACAACAAACACAAGGAAGTTCCTTCTATTCATCAATCAACTTTGGTTATCACAAAAACACCACATAAAACATCCAATCATCAACGTTGGACAATCAAGTACAGCTTGAAGAATGGCTGTTTGATGGAAAAATCTGCTCTCTGAAGTGATTTAATGTATTGCTCAACACAAGTTAGGAATATCAACCTAAAGGTTTTGGAATCGAAATTTGGAGCCAGTGTTAGTCATTCCTTGATAAGTCAAAGTCAACAAGGGTCGTTCTGATGCGACCGGCAATGGGATGCCCTCAGATCATTGTGTAGTGTAGCAATAACTAGGATCTGCTGTTAATGAAATCACTTCTACTTGGACAGCTTGTTTGCGTTCGGTACTGCTTTGTATTCAAATATACACAGATGGTTTCACAACCGGGATGAGCAGGTTTTTAAATACATTTCAACACAGGAATTCAATTGGTTGTTAGTTGCTGTGGTCTTGTGGACACGGGATATATCCACGTTTACATTCAAACACAGGAACACAATTGGTTGTTAGTTGCTGTGGTCTTGTGGACACGGGATATATCCACGTACAGATCAAGCTTATTTCTACCTCTTGTAATTAGGGCGCACATCTGATGGGTTTTGTTGGTTGACAGCATTTAAGGCCCTAAAACTGTCTACTGACACATCTATTATAAGATACTGAAAGGGATAACAAGCTAGATGTCAATAATAGGATTAGCACCGTCAGGACACTACGTGGGCGTGGCAGGACAACTCCAAGACATTTCATGACCAGGGATTGCTGGCGGAATCCAAAGAATCTGGAAGGAAATAGCACATTTTCATTATTCATGATCAACAAAGAATTGACTTCAATATTTTTGTTGTTTCTGGGTGAATTTATGCAAAGCGTACACTTTGTTTTACACGTTAATACCTCCTCAAACACAAAAACATAATGAAGTCATGAACAATAACTCCTAGCCTGCCTATGTAATCATTGCCACCCACTCTATTATCAGCCAATCATAAAACACCAGTCTGTCAGTGGGCTTGGCTAATATCTTTTTCGTTTCTGGAAATGTAAACACACAAAAATTGCTTGCTTAGCCAATGAAATACCAAGGAATCATTTACAATCCATACAATCATCCATATCATCATCATCATCCATATCATCATCATCCATATCATCATCATCCATATCATCATCATCCATATCATCATCATCATCCATATCATCATCATCCATATCATCATCATCCATATCATCATCATCATCCATATCATCATCATCCATATCAACATCATCATCCATATCATCATCATCCATATCATCATCATCCATATCATCATCATCATCCATATCATCATCATCCATATCATCATCATCATCCATATCAACATCATCATCCATATCATCATCATCATCATCCATATCATCATCATCCATATCATCATCATCCATATCATCATCATCCATATCAACATCATCATCCATATCATCATCATCCATATCATCATCATCATCCATATCATCATCATCCATATCATCATCCATATCATCATCATCCATATCATCATCATCATCATCCATATCATCATCATCATCCATATCATCATCATCCATATCATCATCATCCATATCATCATCATCCATATCATCATCATCCATATCATCATCATCATCCATATCATCATCATCCATATCATCATCATCCATATCATCATCATCCATATCATCATCATCCATATCATCATCATCCATATCATCATCATCATCCATATCATCATCATCCATATCATCATCATCCATATCATCATCATCATCCATATCATCATCATCCATATCATCATCATCATCCATATCATCATCATCCATATCATCATCATCATCCATATCATCATCCATATCATCATCATCCATATCATCATCATCCATATCATCATCATCATCCATATCATCATCATCCATATCATCATCATCCATATCATCATCATCCATATCATCATCATCCATATCATCATCATCATCCATATCATCATCATCCATATCATCATCATCCATATCATCATCATCCATATCATCATCATCATCCATATCATCATCCATATCATCATCATCCATATCATCATCCATATCAACATCATCATCCATATCATCATCATCATCCATATCATCATCCATATCATCATCATCCATATCATCATCATCATCCATATCATCATCATCCATATCATCATCATCATCCATATCATCATCATCCATATCATCATCATCCATATCATCATCATCCATATCATCATCATCATCCATATCATCATCATCCATATCATCATCATCCATATCATCATCATCCATATCATCATCATCCATATCATCATCCATATCATCATCATCATCATCCATATCATCATCCATATCATCATCCATATCATCATCCATATCATCATCATCATCCATATCATCATCAACATCCATATCATCATCAACATCCATATCATCATCATCATCCATATCATCATCATCCATATCATCATCCATATCATCATCCATATCATCATCATCATCATCCATATCATCATCATCCATATCATCATCATCATCCATATCATCATCATCATCATCCATATCATCATCCATATCATCATCATCCATATCATCATCATCCATATCATCATCATCATCCATATCATCATCATCATCCATATCATCATCATCATCATCCATATCATCATCATCCATATCATCATCATCCATATCATCATCATCATCCATATCATCATCATCCATATCATCATCCATATCATCATCATCATCCATATCATCATCATCCATATCATCATCATCATCATCCATATCATCATCATCATCCATATCATCATCCATATCATCATCATCATCATCCATATCATCATCATCATCCATATCATCATCATCATCCATATCATCATCATCATCATCCATATCATCATCATCATCCATATCATCATCATCCATATCAACATCATCATCCATATCATCATCATCATCCATATCATCATCATCATCCATATCATCATCCATATCATCATCATCATCCATATCATCATCATCCATATCATCATCATCATCCATATCATCATCATCCATATCATCATCATCATCCATATCATCATCATCCATATCATCATCATCATCCATATCATCATCATCCATATCATCATCATCATCCATATCATCATCATCCATATCATCATCATCATCCATATCATCATCCATATCATCATCATCATCCATATCATCATCATCCATATCATCATCATCATCCATATCATCATCATCCATATCATCATCATCCATATCATCATCATCATCCATATCATCATCATCATCCATATCATCATCATCCATATCATCATCATCCATATCATCATCATCATCCATATCATCATCATCATCCATATCATCATCATCATCATCCATATCATCATCATCCATATCATCATCATCATCCATATCATCATCATCATCCATATCATCATCCATATCATCATCATCATCCATATCATCATCATCCATATCATCATCATCATCATCCATATCATCATCATCATCCATATCATCATCCATATCATCATCATCATCATCCATATCATCATCATCCATATCATCATCATCCATATCAACATCATCATCCATATCATCATCATCATCCATATCATCATCATCATCCATATCATCATCCATATCATCATCATCATCCATATCATCATCATCCATATCATCATCATCCATATCATCATCATCCATATCATCATCCATATCATCATCATCATCCATATCATCATCATCCATATCATCATCCATATCAACATCATCATCCATATCATCATCATCCATATCATCATCCATATCATCATCATCATCCATATCATCATCATCCATATCATCATCATCCATATCATCATCATCCATATCATCATCATCATCCATATCATCATCATCCATATCATCATCATCCATATCATCATCATCATCCATATCATCATCATCATCCATATCATCATCATCCATATCATCATCATCCATATCATCATCATCATCCATATCATCATCATCATCCATATCATCATCATCATCATCCATATCATCATCATCCATATCATCATCATCATCCATATCATCATCATCATCCATATCATCATCCATATCATCATCATCATCCATATCATCATCATCCATATCATCATCATCATCATCCATATCATCATCATCATCCATATCATCATCCATATCATCATCATCATCATCCATATCATCATCATCCATATCATCATCATCCATATCAACATCATCATCCATATCATCATCATCATCCATATCATCATCATCATCCATATCATCATCCATATCATCATCATCATCCATATCATCATCATCCATATCATCATCCATATCATCATCATCATCCATATCATCATCATCCATATCATCATCATCCATATCATCATCATCATCCATATCATCATCATCATCCATATCATCATCATCCATATCATCATCATCCATATCATCATCATCATCCATATCATCATCATCATCCATATCATCATCCATATCATCATCATCATCCATATCATCATCCATATCATCATCATCATCCATATCATCATCCATATCATCATCCATATCATCATCATCATCCATATCATCATCATCATCCATATCATCATCCATATCATCATCATCATCCATATCATCATCATCCATATCATCATCATCATCCATATCATCATCATCATCCATATCATCATCCATATCATCATCATCATCCATATCATCATCATCATCCATATCATCATCCATATCATCATCCATATCATCATCATCATCCATATCATCATCATCATCCATATCATCATCCATATCATCATCATCATCCATATCATCATCATCCATATCATCATCATCCATATCAACATCATCATCCATATCATCATCATCCATATCATCATCCATATCATCATCATCATCCATATCATCATCATCCATATCATCATCCATATCATCATCATCCATATCATCATCATCATCCATATCATCATCCATATCATCATCCATATCATCATCATCCATATCATCATCATCCATATCATCATCATCATCCATATCATCATCATCATCCATATCATCATCCATATCATCATCCATATCATCATCATCATCCATATCATCATCCATATCATCATCATCATCCATATCATCATCCATATCATCATCCATATCATCATCATCCATATCATCATCCATATCATCATCATCATCATCCATATCATCATCCATATCATCATCATCCATATCATCATCATCATCCATATCATCATCCATATCATCATCCATATCATCCTCATCCATATCATCATCGTCATCCATATCATCATCATCCATATCATCATCATCATCCATATCATCATCCATATCATCATCATCATCCATATCATCATCCATATCATCATCATCATCCATATCATCATCATCCATATCATCATCCATATCATCATCATCATCCATATCATCATCCATATCATCATCATCATCCATATCATCATCATCCATATCATCATCATCATCCATATCATCATCCATATCATCATCATCATCCATATCATCATCATCCATATCATCATCATCATCCATATCATCATCCATATCATCATCATCATCCATATCATCATCCATATCATCATCATCATCCATATCATCATCATCCATATCATCATCCATATCATCATCATCATCCATATCATCATCCATATCATCATCATCATCCATATCATCATCATCCATATCATCATCATCATCCATATCATCATCATCCATATCATCATCATCCATATCATCATCATCCATATCATCATCATCCATATCATCATCATCATCCATATCATCATCATCATCCATATCATCATCCATATCATCATCATCATCCATATCATCATCATCATCCATATCATCATCATCATCCATATCATCATCATCATCCATATCATCATCATCATCCATATCATCATCATCATCCATATCATCATCATCATCCATATCATCATCCATATCATCATCATCATCCATATCATCATCATCATCCATATCATCATCATCATCCATATCATCATCATCATCCATATCATCATCCATATCATCATCATCATCCATATCATGATCCATATCATCATCCATATCATCATCATCCATATCATCATCATCCATATCATCATCATCATCCATATCATCATCCATATCATCATCATCATCCATATCATCATCCATATCATCATCCATATCATCATCATCCATATCATCATCATCCATATCATCATCATCCATATCATCATCATCCATATCATCATCATCATCCATATCATCATCCATATCATCATCATCATCCATATCATCATCCATATCATCATCCATATCATCATCATCCATATCATCATCATCCATATCATCATCATCATCCATATCATCATCCATATCATCATCATCCATATCATCATCATCCATATCATCATCATCCATATCATCATCATCCATATCATCATCATCCATATCATCATCATCATCCACATCATCATCCATATCATCATCATCATCCATATCATCATCCATATCATCATCATCATCCATATCATCATCATCCATATCATCATCCATATCATCATCATCATCCATATCATCATCATCCATATCATCATCATCATCCATATCATCATCCATATCATCATCATCCATATCATCATCATCATCCATATCATCATCATCATCCATATCATCATCCATATCATCATCATCATCCATATCATCATCATCCATATCATCATCATCATCCACATCATCATCCATATCATCATCCATATCAACATCATCATCCACATCATCATCCATATCATCATCCATATCATCATCATCCATATCAACATCATCCATATCATCATCATCATCCATATCATCATCATCCATATCATCATCATCATCATCCATATCATCATCATCCATATCATCATCATCATCCATATCATCATCATCCATATCATCATCCATATCATCATCATCATCCATATCATCATCCATATCATCATCCATATCATCATCATCATCCATATCATCATCCATATCATCATCCATATCATCATCCATATCATCATCCATATCATCATCATCATCCATATCATCATCCATATCATCATCATCATCCATATCATCATCATCCATATCATCATCATCATCCACATCATCATCCATATCATCATCCATATCATCATCATCCATATCAACATCATCATCCACATCATCATCCATATCATCATCATCATCATCATCATCATCATCATCATCAACCAACAACACCAAGTGTCACAATCATCATCACTATTTCTTCACTGTTGTACTGCTATGTCCCACCTTGTGGTGTTGCGGGCCCAACGCTCCGACTGAGATGAGACCTTCTCATGGACACCTCCTCCTCTGTCATTGGACGCAGATCTTTACGAGATATCTTCACCGGTGTGGCGGCATTGTGGGGCTGGTCCTGGCTAGACTTGTGTGCAGACCGGCTGGACACTGGACGGCTTGGCGGTCGTTCACGACCACTTCCTGGACGGATGTGAGAGTCACTGAGAAGAGAAACACCAAACCTCCATATTTACCCATTTCTTTCTAAGATGAACACAGAGGAGAAAATAATACTACAGTACTGTATAAACACGGAAGGAATGAACACGATCATTCTTAGCATCATGTCAAAGATGTGACATCACATACTTAATGATATCAAACCATAACTGCTTCCATGACCCCTTCCCTGAGAGTAATGTCTCATCCAAACCTTTGGATATTCCGAATTATGTTTGAAGAATCATTTGAAATGATTCAATCAACAATAGATCTTAATGAAGAAATCACTACAAAAATTATCAATCTAAAATCATGTGAAGCATGCTAATAAAATTATTGTTGTTATAGCAATATAAGTATTACAATATGAGCACAATGAAACCCTGTGGATGTTCAGGGCCCAAATCAGGAACGTTGTTAATCTGGCCACTTTCATATTGTACAGTACCAGGTCCTGTTCAGGTCCTGTTCCACTAAGCAATCATCTAGCCAAGGTCATCGTACATCCCATTCTTTAACATAGACGTACAACCGTCGTAGTGCTGGGGTCGTTTTGCGGAAGAAGGCCCAGCCAGTACAGTACTATGAAAGAATCCAGATTAACAACTTTCCCGATTTCCAAATCGTGTTTGTGAAGATATGTCCTGATATATATACTACTCAATATATAAGAACACACACGTTTCTCATCTGACGATAGCTAGTGTATCTGCCATGACCGATAAATTGAGTCATATGAAAAACTCAGGTGTTCTTTAACTTCTTTTCTGCAGTATATATGTTCCAAACAGTAATCATCCAGAGATTGGGTTCCAGATCTCTAGGATGCAGACCAACATTGTTTCACTAATTAAGTGCCTCTCACAACGTCCCAGTAACTTTGTTCAACTGCTGAAACATCTGCAGGGTCTTACCGACTAGAGTGGGTGTCCCTGGGGGTGGGGACGTGTGCTCTTGGGGTAGAAACTTCATTCTCTGCATTACTTTGGATGGAGCTGTAAACTCCAATGTCTTCATAAGCTGTGGAGGAAAAATAAAGATGGTGATTACACTCAGCTCCCAAGGGCAGGTAGTGCATTCTCACACGGTGCAATGAAAGCGCTACAGTGATCGTAACTCCATTACTTTAACACAGATTTACGACTATCGTAGTGCGATGATCGCTTTGTGGATCGGGGCCTTGGTCTCCAGATAATGTTTTGAGCCATTGATTACTTGCTCAGAAATAATCATTCTCATTGGGTATTGATAGTTTTCTTTCAGTAAGCAATATGTTGTCACTTCTACGGGTCAGTCTATTGGGTATTTTTACACCAATGAGTCAACATTTCCTACAGTCATAATTCTGCTTAAAATGCTGTTTCAGTTGACGACAGCAATACAAATTTCTAATTAACAGAGTTAACAAGACATCGTGCCTTTTTAATGCATTATTCACACAAATATCTAGCTCGTTTGGAGCCTGGAGCTATATGAAAGTGGCACTCTGGGATACTGATGCAAAACTCAGGTAATCATCACCCCAGAATTTTCCCTGATAGAGGAAATAATCTCCTAGGTCCTGTTCCACAAAGTGATCGTAGCTCCACATCTATCGTAAGTTTATATTAAATTATGGCCCCTGGATCTTGTTCCACAAAACAAACTTTGCAATAAGATGTTTGAACTTCCCATACTATAGCCATGATAACACAGAGTTATGACAGTAATAGGGCTAAAATTGTGTTATGGAACTGGGTGCATTTGTACAAAGCAATCTTAGCGCTAAGGTGATCATAACTCCCATATCTTAACATAGTCTTACGACAGTTGTAGTGCTAAAATTGTGGTAAGGGACTGGGTGCATTTGTACAAAGCAATCTTAGCGGCAAGGTGATTGTAACTCCCATATCTTAACCTAGTCTTATGACAGTCATAGAGCTAAAATTGTGTTATGGAACTGGGTGCATTTGTACAAAGCAATCTTAGCGCTAAGGTGATCGTAACTCCCATATCTTAACATAGTCTTACGACAGTTGTAGTGCTAAAATTGTGGTAAGGGACTGGGTGCATTTGTACAAAGCAATCTTAGCGGCAAGGTGATTGTAACTCCCATATCTTAACCTAGTCTTATGACAGTCATAGAGCTAAAATTGTGTTATGGAACTGGGTGCATTTGTAAAAGGCGATCTTAGCTCTGAGGTGATCGTAACTCCCATATCTTAACATAGTCTTACGACAGTTGTAGTGCTAAAATTGTGGTAAGGGACTGGGTGCATTTGTACAAAGCAATCTTAGCGGCAAGGTGATTGTAACTCCCATATCTTAACCTAGTCTTATGACAGTCATAGAGCTAAAATTGTGTTATGGAACTGGGTGCATTTGTAAAAAGCGATCTTAGCGCTAAGGTGATCGTAACTCTAAGGTTGGGTTGTTTTGTACAACGGCACCATGGGCCAGTTGTCCCAACAATGCTAAGAGAACAGCTAAAACCAGGTGCCATGACTACAGAAACTGAACTACTTTGATCACTACTAACAAGAGGGATAGACAAAAGGGCCAGTGCCAATAGCTGAATGAAATAAAACGTTAGACCCTTATTACCATATATCTGTAACCATGGTAACATGAGTACATTAAGAGGTTGCACACTGAACATAACATATAACACCTCAACCATGTTAACATTTACAGTAAACTTAGGTTATAATGAACTCAAAGGGACCACTAATTTTCATTCGTTATAACCATAGTTCATTACAAGCATATATTCAGCAAATGTCCGCGACCAAAAACAGTTTGCTGTATCCGTCAGTTCATTATAAGCATGTTCGTAATCAACATAGTTTACTGTACTTACCTTGTGAGCTAAGGACTCCTTTCGTTATCAACTCTTTGAACTTCTTCTTCAGATCCCGGCTAGTTTTCTTATAGTAATACAGATCTTTTTCCAGCTGCTGTACTCTGAAATGCACAGACAGTAAGCTATACAAAGTACAGACGAATAAGAATGGTTACTTATTTTCATTTTTCACTATTAGGTCTAGGGTAAATATTTCTGTATCTCAGTCAATAACCAGTCATTAACAATGAGTGAGTGAGTTGGGTTTAACGCCGCTTTTACAAGTATTCCAGTTATATCGCGGCGTGTCAGCTTAATGTGGGAGGAAAGCCCGAAGTGATGTAGGTCTTAGACGTTCACCACTTCGATGAAACCCACGAGCATGGGTATGGTGCTGACAAACCTAGAAACATAATCGGGGGGAAACCGGGATTCGAACCCACAATCATAGGTTTCTGGCGTGCCCAAGGGATGCAACTCTGCACAGCGAATCACGGCGCCTTAAACAACTGGGCCACCCATGCCCCCATTAACATTTTCAAGACTACAGCAGCATTCAAACAGAATTCCAAATGGCAACACTGAGGACCAGGTCTAATTGTGACCAAGAGTATGTATCTTTATTGATATGTTAGGTGTATCTATACAACAAAGAAAGCAGCAATGATCATAGTGCACTAACTTCAAATCTATTCCATCTCCACAGCTGTTCCCTACTCCTCCCTCTGTTACTTGATGCATAAGCAGTTGCATCTTCTGTTCATACTCCCTCTGCTGCTGAACAAGTCGACGATCAGAGTCCATGTTACTTCTCTGCAAAGTGCTCTCAAGCTCTCGAATAATTCGCTCCTGCTCGTCTATCTTCACCTAGAACAAAGACACAAACAACTAACGCAACCTTAAAGGGGCACTGACCTCTGACAATTCACCAGGGCGAGCTGTTGCCTTTGTTCTCTGTTTTTTCCCCCATGGATACCCAGATAATTTCCCAGAAATCATGTCCTGTGGTGCTCCTACCGTGAGTGCATTTGTTGATATTATTGATAGTAGCGTATATTACATTGATCAATAAAATGAAATACAGTTATGTCTTGGAAATAATAAGGAAATGTAGGTATCTTTGGGGGTAGCATCGATCGGTAATGGTGATGAAGTCACTTGCTTTGTATTGTTCAAGACTATTTTGACTTGTAACAAAAACTAAACATTTCACCTGACCATTGCTTTTTTTATCTTGTTTACATGTTATAGTCAATGTGTAAAATGACTAAAATCTTCACTTAGGCAATTTATTAAAAGCCTCAATATTCAGTTATTTTACAAAGTGATTGAAACATCTGTCCATTTATTTTATTATGATAACAAATTCGAAACATTTTTATGTTTAATTTCATCAACCAGTGGTAGGAATAAAAGAAATGAAACTTAAAGTACATTTCCATATTTTTGGGTTTCTAATCCTAGTATTTCCAAATTTCCAAAAAATGACATCAGATGAGCTCCTAACATTCATTTTGTCTGTTTGTTTAGGTAGAAGAAATTAATTAACATGTAATATTGAAATCTTCAAAGATCACAGGTAACAAGTCAGTGTTCAGAAATACTTATAGATATTGCCTCAAAGTGGCAATACACTGTCCTGACCGATGGTAGCCCAGTCTCTTGTCACACTCAGTTGCGTTAGCGAGCAAATCAACTCATGGCAGCTAGTGAGCCCTAGGGGGCAGTGTTAGACAGCCGAGAAGATGCCAGACATTAGTGGCCCTTTAAAAGTACATCACACTACAGCAAATACTTATAAATATTAACATAAACATCATGAAAAAATTGAAATCCCTCATGGTTATAGAACTACAAATTTGGCTCAGTTATTCTCAGTATGGTTCTCGTGACTTTTATCAATGTTCTGGCTACAGGACTTTTCGTTGTTGTTAGTTTGTTGTTTAACGTTACAATCATCAATATTCCAGCCATGTGACAGCGATCTGTAAATAATCAAGTCTGGACCAGACAATCCAGTGATTGACATCATGAGCATTGATCTACGGAATTTGGACACGATGACATGCATCAACCAAATCAACCACGTAAGTGTTATGTTGTTTGTTTGTTTGTTGTTTATTGCCACACTCAGCAATATTCCAGCTACATAGCAATTGGTAGTTTATTGAAGCTGGACCAGACTATCCAGTGATTGACATCATGATCACTGATCCATGCAATTGGGATACGATGACATGCACCAATCATGTATCAACCAGTGAGCCTGACCACAATCCCGTTGGTCGCTTCTTACGACAAGCATGGGCTGCACCCATCTGAATCCATGTATGCAGCTAAATCCTCAAAACTGCCGACTCCAACTATAAACATGACCACATGGGATTACTTCAACCGATGAGGGGTGACCGAATGGACACATCGACCTCAGAACGTGATTTTCAAGTATGATCCTGTATATTAACTTGAAAATAATAGTTGTTATTATTATCTACAGTTCCAGCTACTGAAAACCTTTCATTAATGGGAATAAGATGATACATTAAAGATGACTACGGAGCAGGTGAGCCACAGTGCCTACCTCCAGCTCGTCACACTGCAGCACAAGTTTCCTCTCCTCCTCCCGGAGACTGACCACCTTCTCAAAATACTTGGACAGCAGCGACTTGGTCTCCACAGTGGTCAGCGACTTGAGGCGATTCATCAAGTTGTCCTCACTCTGTCATAATGGAAGCATCATGAAGGTTAAATTGGAATTATCAAAGACACAATCCATGCTATCTCAACAGGCTGTACAGGATAACATGGATGGGATTTCCACGAAAAAATTGAGAGATGAACAAACTGTGTTTTGAATTTTGAGGAACAGGAGGCCATTAAATGAGAAAGTGTTTTTACGCCACTTTCCCAATATCTCAGCAATATCATAGGCTTCACACATCGTGCCTAATTCAGGAATCAAACCCAGGCCTTTTTCGTGATGAGCGAACCCTTTTACAAATAGGTGACCCCACTGCAGCAGGAGATGGTTCAAGTTAATTTGAAACAGCTTTCTCATGAATGTGTCTTTCTGCATGGACAATGTTTCTAAAGTCAGAGTGATGTTCTTGTGACTGGAAAGCCCTGATATACCAATTCCACAAGAACACTGTTCTAGGAAACTGTACAGGAATCATTGCCTTGACAACATTAAGCAAATCTGTGAAACTGAATCAGGCAATCTTTCTGTAACAATGTATTGCAAGTCCTAAATTAAGAAAAAGAGAGTCACATTGCCTGTATTTTTTAACCCCAGTTGGTTCTGTATCAGATCAACCATTGGTTGACAATGGCATAAATTCATATATTATCAATACATTGACACCAGGGCTCCATTCCACAGAGCGATCGTAGCGCTACAATTGTCGTAAGTCTATGTACAAAAATGGGAGTTACAATCATCTCAATGCTTTCTTTGTGGAACAGGGCTCTGGTCTTTATTTTATTTGCCTCTTATGACATCCTTATCCAGGAATCTTTATAGCATCTCATCCCTATCTTACCTGAGCCTGAATCTGTGAATGTCTTATCTCTGCCTGTCTGTTGTGAATTGATTCATTCTTGTACTCAATAGCTGCATCAAGAGCTTCAATTGCTTCATCTAGTTCAATAAGTCTACAAAAAAAACAAACACTGATTATAAGTGAGTGAGTGAGTGAATGAGTTGGGTTTAACACCGCTTTTAACATTATTCCAGTTATATCACGGCGTGTCAGCTTAAAGTGGCAGGAAAGCTTGAAGTGAAACAGGTCTCCGACATTTACCACTTCGGTGAAACCCACGAGCAGGGGTATGGTGCTGACAAACCTAGAAACATAATTGGAGCGAACCGGGAATCGAACCCACAATCATGGTTTCTAGCTGCTCAAGGGACGCAACTCTGCACAGCGAATCACGACACCTTAGATAACTGGGCCACCTGTGCCCCCCATTTGATTATGAGATACAGTGAAAGTTTGTTCTTGGCACGATCGGAGATATCTAAGAATTCACATCAATAATTTTTTGCATTTATGGAGGTACATTGTATTAACGTTAAATCCGATGCACATACTGCGTAAATACGAGTAACTAATTTACGCGAACTGTGCACACAGGTTTTAACGTCTAAATCTCTGTAAATGCAAAAAGATATTGAAGTCAATTCTAATATATAAAAATGTCAATAATAACTTCACAGACTGATTATTTAATCATTACAACAATATGGAATTAGTGACATCATTCAGCACAACATTAGTGGGCGTGGCATATGGGTAGGATGAGGGGAGGGGGCGGTGGTGTTATGGTTATGAAAATATAAACGCAAAAGGAATAGGTTGGTTGACCAATAAAAAGTCATGGAAACATAACCAAGGACCTACAAGATCAAGCATGATGATGCACAACCAACTAGCTCATACACTGCCCTTATTAGCTGCCTCCTGCGACAAGCATGGGTTATTGGGGGCCATTCTGCCTCTAAATCCCCATGGGGTAAATCACCATTATGAGTCACACACTGTCATACTCAAGCCTTCCCTTGCATCATCACCCAACCAGGTCAGAACTGGTCTTCAGCAACCCATGCTTGTCAACAATTTACAGACTGCAATCATATCGCTCTAATATTGCTGAGAGCAGCATTAAAGAACAAACAGACAGACAAACCCATCACCCACCTTCTCTCCTCTTTAGCTGACAAGATACTGCCTTCCCGCAGCTTCTCGTCCATCACTCCTCGACTCTTCTGCAGCTTTTCCCTTGATCGCTTCAAGCGTGAGATCTCTTCCTTCACATTCTCCTGCTCATCTTCTGCTGCCTGGGACAACTCCTTCCGTTTCTCCTCAATCTTCTTCTCCACATTTTCCAGCTTCAAGGACATGGACACGACGTCGTGGTTGATCATCTGACTAGAACGCAGTTTCTTTATCTCCAACTCACTCTTCTCTGACAACATGGCTTCCTTCTTTGCAACGATGCCTTCTCTGCGATTAAGATCCTGGAAGAATCATTGCATCACTTGTGTAAGTTATTAATTGCTGTTTTTTCCCTTCCCTCATCTTTTGCCTCCTAAATGTCGTAAAGAACAAACAACCTCCTAATAGCACCCTGAGCAGCCTTGCAGCATGCAGGAATAATGGGTTAGGTTTTCAATCTCAATCTTTTATTACTGATATAGACCACACAAGCCTATGAATGAATGAGTATGGTTTTACGCCGCTTTTAGCAATATTCCAGCAATATCAAGGCGGGGGACACCAGAAATGGGCTTCACACATTGTACCCATGTCGGGAATCGAACCCGGGTCTTCGGCAGTGACGAGCGAATGCTTTAACCACTAGGCTACCCGACCGCCCCCACAAGCCTATGATCTACAATATGGCATACATGGACCTTAGTAGAGGTGAGGTGAAATAGGGTTCAACGTCGCGTCCAAGATTATTGCACTTATATAGCGACGTGCATAGACCTTAGAACCTGATTTGAATACTTTACATACTGTATTCGACGCAATAAGCGCTCAGGGTACTCTCAAAATTAGAAATAGGGGGTTCTTATAGAATAAATTTTGGTGAAAAAAAAAACAGAGTTGAAAGATTGTAAATTCATGCTGACAGCCTGAAATGATACAAAAGAAAAGTCTGTGTGTATTATACACGACAGATATTTTTTCCAGAATTTAATTGCCCATAATTAAGGGTGCATATAACACAGGAGTGCGTATTATACACGAATAAATAAGTCTTGTGTACATTGATCAATTGGAAGGGGTGCTAATTGGGATTGTTCACTAGCCAATACATTAGCAAATATTGCCGTGGGCGCTTATTAGAGTGGGGCGCTAATACGGTAATTACAATGAAAACCTCAGCTTGAAGTGCTATATTATCAAGGAATTTGACCATTTTATTCTGTTGTTAAAATACAATCCTGGATATTATGAACCTAGGTACATACAAAAGACATATTTCAAAACTTGATAACCTTCCAACAATGAACACAGCAATCTTTGTGTTAGACATATTTACTGTCATCTTCCCCTGAGAATGTTCCAACACCAACTGTGTTTGCAGGCCCTCGGTTGTATCACAGAACAATATATCATGAGCAAATAGTGGTTTAAATTGATACATGCTGCTTTCAGCAATATGTCAGCCATATCACGATGGGGGACAGCAAAATAGGGCTTCACACATTGCATCCATGTGGAGATTTGAACCCAGGCCATCAATCAAGCTGCACTTCAACCAATGGGCCACTCCACCCCAGTCAAGAAGTAGTGTATGTAGACATCAGGTCCTACCTCCTGCAGTTCTTCATTCTGTCTCCGGAGCACCAGCACCTTCTCAATCTCGCTGTCCAGCCACCTCTTCTGTTCATCCATCTTCTCAAGGTTTTCCCTAAAAACATTAAAAATAAATACTTTTACCTTAAATTCATTGATGAGAACTGGAAACATGAAAACAATTAACTACAGAGCCACGAAAACAGAAACTATACACCATGGAAAAATCGACCATAATTTATTGCATTGGAAACGTCAATGTATAAAACAAATAGCAATTGTAGAAATACCATATAGCAACAAATGGAAAGTGTTCAGTTCATCTGTGACACTTACAGTCCTAACAATGAGCCATTTAACACTTGCACCCTTCTCGATTTGTGGCATCACCCCATATGCATGTAGAGCACAAATTTCTGCCCCTTGTGATGAAAAGGCAACATCCAATCAGATCACTGTTCTTGTTTTGAATGGCTTCACGATGGCTAAAATAGCACTGAAGTCACTACAATAGGTGTTCAGTCATCAAAATAAAATACAATGATGTCACTAACTACTTGGGTGAGTTCATTGAAAATTTGGAAAGATTTAGAAAATATTTGTCTTAGCTTAATTGTAGGAATAATTTCAGTGCAAATTCATCACACGATGGCTGTGGCCATGTTTTCCGCACCTGGATGTTGATTTTGTAAAATGTTCTCTGATTGGACTCTGGCACATATCAATAGTCCAAACAGAGAAGCTTTTACAAAATGAACATCCAGTTTCCCAAATTATTCAAACAAAGACTATCAATATGAGCGATAATCCAGAGAACATTTTACAAAATCAACATACATGTTCCGAAAACAGGTGATTTAGCACAGATAAGACAGCTGGGAAGGGCAAGGGTGAGAGCTAGACTTCGATATAGCCTAGTGGATACACTTGCCTCGGGAAGATGAACATAATGTACATACAAACGTATGACTACACTCACATCTGTATGGGAGGCAGGGAGCCTGAGCGGAGTCTACGCTGGGCTGCTGCGATCTCCTCATTTTTACGTTTCAATATCTTCTGCTGTTGTTCACTCTTCAGCTCAAGTTCCTTTACTCTCTGCAGCTCTCTCTGCATCTCACGCTGTAAAGAGTTTATTAAAAGTAAAATCAACACCATCAGTATAAAAGAGAAATTCTTAAACAACCTTGTGAAAATGTGGTGAGGTACTTCATACGAACAGGGCATTCTGGTTGGCTAAAGGAACAACTCAAACCCTTGGTCTATGTATACATTCATGAAACCATACACTTCATAAACATAATGTTCCTTGGAGCAAGAGGCTCTACTCAAGCTTCTAGATTCACAAGGATACACTTCAAACACTTCAAACAGTTTTCAAGGTTCATATTAGGGAAGAGAATATCAGCAGATTTGACAGTTTCATCAGAAATATTACCGGATACTCATTTACAATATTTCAAACAGCAAAATATTCCACTCCTTCCCTCAGTTCATAAGTGCGCAAATGTACAAGAAAATATTTTTAATTTTGCAATTAACCAGACTGCAGGATTAACATACAGCAACCCTGCCATCTGTATTATAGTGGGAATTAACAAACAGTACTGGTGGGAATATAACAATCTACATAAAAGACGCTACACTGTCCTCGCCAGCTTGTCTCACCTCCAACTTGGCTTTCTGGTCAGTTTCGTCCTTGAACCTCCTCTGCAGATTCTCATAGTGCTGCTTCATCCTGTCCACTGCCAGCTCCAGGTCCTGGATTCTGGAAGACAGAACAAGAAAGAAGTGAGCAAAGCTCACATACCCCCGTTATCCCCGCTGGTCAACAACAAAAAGTAAATAGTTTGTTAATTAATGAAATATACCTGTTGCTTTAAGTCAGAGGAACTGCCCTTTCCTTTGTTACCCCTTGAGGATGCATTATGTTTGAAATGAACACATGTTTTTGCAAATATATTTCAATCTAGTGTGGGATAATCAATGCTTAGCACAACATACATTCTTGATGTTTCTTAATGTGTCCATGGAAACGGCAAAAATTAAAAAATTCAGAATCTTCAAACTAGCAAAAGGCACAAGTACCCATTGTGGTAAATGGGTGTAGCACGTTTGCTGAAGCTAGGGTGCATGGTTAAAAAGATATGGGCCGTACAAAACACCCACCCCAAAAGTTTAAGTTTCTAATGTTTCCATGGAAACAGCAAAAATTAAAAAGTTCAGAATCTTCAACTAGCAAAAGGGACAAGTACTCATTGTGGTTAATGTGTGTAGAAAGTTTGGTGAAGCTAGGGTGCATAGTTAAAAAGTTATGGGCCGTACAAAAGCTCGGACGGACAGACCGAACGCTATATACTCCCGATTTACATCGTAAACGGGGGTATAAATATATTGATCTCTCTTGTCAACTACTGACAAACTTAAAAGAGTACCAGAGGTACAGAATTAAAAGGACAACGAGACGAAGTAAGTAAATCATGCTAAAATAACCAAGATGTGCTGTGTCCCTGTTACATCGTCTATGACATGGTGTGACCTGTACAAGCAGAAGTCCCTCATGATAAATGACAGTGTCAACTAACAACTAACACCTTCACCTTGCACCCAGAAGGCAACCAGTGACGTTTGAAAATAACATTGGGGTATCCGGTACTCACTTTTTCTCATGCTGTGAGGCAAAGTTTGCTATTTTTTCAGTCTCTTTTTGTTTTTTCTGCAGAGCTGACATCTTAGATTTTGCCTCTTCTATTTTCTTCCTGTATTCACTGAAAAGAAAAGTAAACATAAGATGTCATGCCTACTGTAAGGTGTCATGCCTACTGTAAGGTGTCATGCCTAATGTAAGGTGTCATGCCTAATGTAAAGTATCATGCCTTATGTAAGGTGTCATGCCTAATGTAAGGTGTCATGCCTAATGTAAGGTGCCATGCCTACTGTAAAGTGCCATGCCTGATGTAGGGTGTCATGCCTACTGTAAGGTCTCATGCCTACTGTAGGGTGTCATGCCCAATGTAGGGTAATATGCCTACTGTAAGGTGTCATGCCTAATGAAAGGTGTCATGCCTACTGTAAGGTGTCATGCCTAATGTAAGGTGTCATGCCTAGTGTAGGGTGTCATGCCCAATGTAAGGTGTCATGCCTAATGTAGGGTGTCATGCCTACTGTAAGGTGTCATGCCTAATGTAAGGTGTCATGCCTAATGCAGGGTGCCATGCCCAATGTAGGGTGTCATGCCTAGTGTAGGGTGCCATGCCCAATGTAGGGTGTCATGCCTAATGTAAGGTCTCATGCCTAATGTAAGGTCTCATGACTTCTGTAGGGGGTTGCCTACTGTAAGGTGTCATGCCTAATGTAAGGTGTCGAGCCTACTGTAAAGTGTCATGCCTTATGTAAGGTCTCATGACTTCTGTAGGGTGTTGCCGACTGTAAGGTGTCATGCCTAATGTAAGGTGTCATGCCTAATGTAGGGTGTCATGCCTAGTGTAGGGTGTCATGCCTAATGTAAGTTCTCATGCCTAATGTAAGGTCTCATAACTTCTGTAGAGTGTTGCCGACTGTAAGGTGTCATGCCTAATGTAAGGTGTCATGCCTACTGTAAGGTGTCATGCCTGATGTAAGGTGTTATGCCTGATGTAAGGTGTCATGCCTAATGTAAGGTGTCGTGCCTGCTGTAAGGTGTCGTACCTACTGTAAGGTGTCGTGCCTGCTGTAAGGTGTCGTGCCTGCTGTAAGGTGTCGTACCTACTGTAAGGTGTCGTGCCTGCTGTAAGGTGTCGTGCCTGCTGTAAGGTGTCATGCCTACTGTAAGGTGTCATGACTTCTGTAGGGTGTTGCCGACTGTAAGGAGTCATGCCTAATGGAGGGTGCCATGCCCAATGTAGGGTGTCATGCCTAGTGTAGGGTGTCATGCCTAATGTAAGGTCTCATGCCTAATGTAGGGTCTCATCACTTCTGTAAGATGTCATGCCTACTGTAAGGTGTCATGCCTAATGTAAGGTCTCATGACTTTTGTAGGGTGTTGCCTTCTGTAAGGTGACATGCCTAATGTAAGGTGTCATGCCTGATGTAAGGTCTCATGACTTCTGTAGGGTGTTGCCTACTGTAAGGTGTCATGCCTTCTGTAAGGTCTCATGACTTCCGTAGGGTGTTGCCTACTGTAAGGTGTCATGCCTAATGTAAGGTCTCATGACTTCTGTAGGGTGTTGCCTACTGTAAGGTGTCATGCCTTATGTAAGGTATCATGACTTCTGTAGGGTGTTGCCTTCTGTAAGGTGTCATGCCTACTGTAAGGTGTCATGCCTACTGTAAGGTGTCATGCCTGATGTAAGGTGTTATGCCTAATGTAAGGTGTCATGCCTAATGTAAGGTGTCGTGCCTGCTGTAAGGTGTCGTACCTACTGTAAGGTGTCGTGCCTGCTGTAAGGTGTTGTGCCTGCTGTAAGGTGTCGTACCTACTGTAAGGTGTCGTGCCTGCTGTAAGGTGTCGTGCCTGCTGTAAGGTGTCATGCCTACTGTAAGGTGTCATGACTTCTGTAGGGTGTTGCCGACTGTAAGGAGTCATGCCTAATGGAGGGTGCCATGCCCAATGTAGGGTGTCATGCCTAGTGTAGGGTGTCATGCCTGATGTAAGGTCTCATGACTTCTGTAGGGTGTTGCCTACTGTAAGGTGTCATGCCTTCTGTAAGGTCTCATGACTTCCGTAGGGTGTTGCCTACTGTAAGGTGTCATGCCTAATGTAAGGTCTCATGACTTCTGTAGGGTGTTGCCTTCTGTAAGGTGTCATGCCTACTGTAAGGTGTCATGCCTAATGTAAGGTCTCATGACTTCTCTAGGGTGTTGCTGACTGTAAGGTTTCATGCCTTCTGTAAGGTGTCATGCCTACTGTAAGGTGTCGCCTACCTCTGCAGCTTCTGTTTCTCGACCGACTCCTGCTGCTCCCTCATGCCCAGCTCCTGCAGCGCCCTCTGTGTCCCCACCAGCTCCTGCTTCACCCCGAGCTTCTCCTGCAGACAACCACAAGCATCAGGGCATGTCATGATTGTTTTAACTCTTCTAAATATCACAAAATTTGAAACAAATATCTTCAAGGCATTCTGGATGACAATCAGAAAACGTCCTTTGCAATGACGCAATCTGAAACCCTGTACAGACCTCCCCAACACTGTACTATACAGCCGTCCCTGACACTGTACTATACAGCCCTCCCCATCACTGTACTATACAGCCCTCCCCAACACTGTACTATACAACCCTCCCCAACACTGAACTATACAACCCTCCCCAACACTGTACTATACAACCTTCCCTAACACTGAACTATACAGCCCTCCCCATCACTGTACTATACAGCCCTCCCCAACACTGAACTATACAACCCTCCCCAACACTGTACTATACAGCCCTCCCCAACACTGTACTATACAGCCCTCCCCAACACTGAACTATACAGCCCTCCCCAACACTGTACTATACAACCCTCCCCAACACTGTACTATACAGCCCTCCCCAACACTGAACTATACAACCCTGCCCAACACTGAACTATACAGCTCTCCCCAGCACTGAAGTACACAGCCCTCCATAATACTGAACTATACAGCCCTCCCCAACACTGTACTATACAGCTCTCCCCAACACTGTACTATACAGCTCTCCCCAATACCGAAGTATACAGCCCTCCCCAACACTGTACTATACAGCCCTCCCCAACACTGAACTATACAGCCCTCCCCAACACTGTACTATACAACCCTGCCCAACACTGAACTGTACAGCCCTCCCCAGCACTGAAGTACACAGCCCTCCATAAAACTGAACTATACAGCCCTCCCCAACACTGTACTATACAGCTCTCCCCAACACTCTACTATACAGCTCTCCCCAATACCGAAGTATACAGCCCTCCCCAACACTAAAATATACAGCCCTCCCCAACACTGTACTATACAGCCCTCCCCAACACTGAACTATACAACCCTGCCCAACACTGAACTATACAGCTCTCCCCAGCACTGAAGTACACAGCCCTCCATAATACTGAACTATACAGCCCTCCCCAACACTGAACTATACAGCCCTCCCAAACACTGAACTATACAGCTCTCCCCAATATAGAAGTATACAGCCCTCCCCAACACTGTACTATACAGCCCTCCCCAACACTGTACTATACAACCCTCCCCAACACTGTACTATACAGCCCTCCCCAACACTGTACTATACAGCCCTCCCCAACACTGAACTATACAACCCTGCCCAACACTATACTATACAGCCCTCCCCAACACTGAACTATACAACCCTCCCCAACACTGTACTATACAGCCCTCCCCAACACTGTACTATACAGCCCTCCCCAACACTGAACTATACAGCCCTCCCCAACACTGAACTATACAACCCTCCCCAACACTGTACTATACAGCCCTGCCCAACACTATACTATACAGCCCTCCCCAACACTGTACTATACAACCCTCCCCAACACTGTACTATACAACCCTCCCCAACACTGTACTATACAGCCCTCCCCAACACTGTACTATACAACCCTCCCCAACACTGTACTATACAACCCTCCCCAACACTGTACTATACAGCCCTCCCCAACACTGTACTATACAACCCTCCCCAACACTGTACTATACAACCCTCCCCAACACTGTACTATACAGCCCTCCCTTACACTGTACTATACAGCCCTCCCCAACACTGTACTATACAACCCTCCCCAACACTGTACTATACAGCCATCCCAACACTGTACTATACAGCCCTCCCCAACACTGTACTATACAGCCATCCCCAACACTGAACTATACAACCCTGCCCAACACTGTACTATACAGCCCTCCCCAACACTGTACTATACAGCCCTCCCCAACACTGAACTATACAGCCCTCCCCAACACTGTACTATACAGCCCTCCCCAACACTGTACTATACAACCCTCCCCAACACTGTACTATACAGCCTTTCCCAACACTGTACTATACAGCCCTCCCCAACACTGAACTATACAACCCTGCGCAACACTATACTATACAGCCCTCCCCAACACTGAACTATACAGCCCTCCCCAACACTGTACTATACAGCTCTCCCCAACACTGTACTATACAGCCCTCCCCAACACTGTACTTTACAGCCCTCCCCAACACTGTACTATACAGCCCTCCCCAACACTGTACTATACAGCCCTCCCCAACACTGAACTATACAACCCTGCCCAACACTGAACTATACAACCCTCCCCAACACTGTACTATACAGCCCTCCCCAACTCTGTACTATACAGCCCTCCCCAACACTGAACTATACAGCCCTCCCCAACACTGTACTATACAGCCCTCCCCAACACTGTACTATACAGCCCTCCCCAACACTGTACTATACAACCCTCCCCAACACTGTACTATACAGCCCTCCCCAACACTGAACTATACAGCCCTCCCCATCACTGTACTATACAGCCCTCCCCAACACTGTACTATACAGCCCTCCCCAACACTGTACTATACAGCCCTCCCCAACACTGTACTATACAGCCCTCCCCAACACTGTACTTTACAGCTCTCCCCAACACTGTACTATACAGCTCTCCCCAACACTGTACTATACAGCCCTCCCCATCACTGTACTATACAGCCCTGCCCAACACTGTACTATACAGCCCTCCCCAACACTGTACTATACAGCCCTCCCCAACACTGTACTATACAGCCCTCCCCAACACTGTACTATACAGCCCTCCCCAACACAGCCCTCCCCAACACTGTACTATACAGCCCTCCCCATCACTGTACTATACAGCCCTCCCCAACACTGTACTATACAGCCCTCCCCAACACTGTACTATACAGCCCTCCCTAACATTGAACTATACAGCCCTCCCCAACACTGTACTATACAGCCCTCCCCAACACTGAACTATACAGCCCTCCCCAACACTGTACTATACAGCCCTTCCCGACACTGTACTATACAGCCCTCCCCAACACTGTACTTTACAGCCCTTGCCAACACTGTACTTTACAGCCCTCCCTAACACTGAACTATACAGACCTCCCTAACACTGTACTATACAGCCCTCCCCAACACTGTACTATACAGCCCTCCCCAACACTGTACTATACAACCCTCCCTAACACTGTACTATACAACCCTCCCCAACACTGTACTATACAGCCCTCCCCAACACTGTACTATACAGCCCTCCCCAACACTGTACTATACAGCCCTCCCCAACACTGAACTATACAGCCCTCCCCAACACTGTACTATACAGCCCTCCCCAACACTGTACTATACAGCCCTCCCCATCACTGTACTATACAGCCCTCCCCAACACTGTACTTTACAGCCCTCCCTAACACTGTACTATACAGCCCTCCCCAACACTGTACTATACAGCCCTCCCCAACACTGTACTATACAGCCCTCCCCAACACTGTACTATACAGCCCTCCCCATCACTGTACTATACAGCCCTCCCCAACACTGCACTTTACAGCCCTCCCTAACACTGTACTATACAGCCCTCCCTAACACCGTACTATACAGCCCTCCCCAACACTGTACTATACAGCCCTCCCCAACACTGTACTATACAGCCCTCCCCAACACTGTACTATACAGCCCTCCCCAACACTGTACTATACAGCCCTCCCTAACACTGTACTATACAGGCCTCCCCATCACTGTACTATACAGCCCTCCCCAACACTGTACTTTACAGCACTCCCTAACACTGTACTATACAGCCCTCCCCAACACTGTACTATACAGCCCTCCCCAACACTGTACTATACAGCCCTCCCCATCACTGTACTATACAGCCCTCCCCAACACTGTACTTTACAGCCCTCCCTAACACTGTACTATACAGCCCTCCCTAACACTGTACTATACAGCCCTCCCCAACACTGTACTATACAGCCCTCCCCAACACTGTACTATACAGCCCTCCCCAACACTGTACTATACAGCCCTCCCTAACATTGAACTATACAGCCCTCCCCAACACTGTACTATACAGCCCTCCCTAACACTGTACTACACAGCCCTCCCCAACACTGTACTATACAGCCCTCCCCAACACTGTACTATACAGCCCTCCCCAACACTGAACTATACAGCCCTCCCCAACACTGAACTATACAGCCCTCCCCAACACTGTACTATACAACCCTCCCCAACACTGTACTATACAGCCCTCCCCAACACTGTACTATACAGCCGTCCCTGACATGGCAAGAGACAATCACTGTACACTGTACTGATACTGACCAAAACTTCCTAATTATTAAAAAACAAAATGATCAGGATTCTACAAATCTAAAGACAATCTGAATTTATTTTGATTACAGCTCAAGAACCAAGTGTCCAACCTTTTCCAGAGCCTTGATTTTATCTGCATACTGCTTATTCATAAGCTCGGCATCCTTCCCCGACCTGACAAGCTCCCTGATCAGCTGCTCCTTCATCCTGGAACATATCGCAGCATTTTCACACGTCAGAATCATGTACACTAGAACCAAAAAGCTATAATCTACCCAACAGGGTTTAAATGAGGATCAAGTGTAAATATGATCAAATATTTGGACATGTGAATCTCTACAAAACACTGTCATACTGCTTCACCAGGTGCTTGCGATAATGGCCTCATCAATGGTGTATGACACATTAGTCATAAATTCATGTCATCAAAACAATTCTTGGGCGGTCGGGTAGCCTAGTGGTTTAAGCATTAGCTCGTCACGCCGAAGACCCGGGTTCGATTCCCGACATGGATACAATGTGTGAAGCCCATTTCTGGTGTCCCCCGCCATGATATTGCTGGAATATTGCTAAAAGCGGCGTAAAACCAAACAATTGGTCAACTTCAGCAATGTACCCTTGCCCATACTGTAATGTCACATTTAAAGAATAAGAGAAGTTGAAATGCATCAGTCAAGCCTTCAGTGTTACTATAGCTTCTAAAATGCCACTTAAAGATAACATATATGTACGTGGCATTTATATAGCAGTACTAGCGTGATAACCGTACTTGCACCTGCACCAAAATGTTTAACTGATAGAAGAATAAAGATGTTGAAATCCACAAGTGAACTTTTACATGTACACATGGTGTTGAACATGTTGAGGTTAGAGTGAGTGAGTTTGGTTTAAAGCTGCTTTTAGCAATATTCCATCAATATCACAGCAGGGGGACACCAGAAAAGGGTTTCACACACTGTACCCATGTCAGGAATTGAACCTGGGTCTTCGGCGTGACAAGTGTGTGTACCCTACAACCAAGGGTTGATCAGGGTACAGTGACAAAGAATCAAGAGAGTGAAAAGTGTCAGATTCGGCAATATTCCAGCTCTATCATAACAACAGGTATACCACGAGTATGATGATGCACAATCAACCAATCCTGGCACATGAGGATAACCTATGTCCCTGACAGGGATACCCCACTCAAAAACAGTATGCTGACCCGTACCCCGGCCTTCCACTCTCCTGGCAGATACTCAATCCATCACACAATGGAGGCAGTATTGTCCCCAAGGAGGTGTTTGTGAGCGAAGAAAATGAATGTTTCACATCAAAGTCAAAGCAAAATTTCTGGTCTATCATGGCAGCCAGTATATACTTTTGTTTGGGCCATACAAACCAGTATTTAATCAGGGTACAACATCTTCCCGAGGCAAGAGAGTTAACTGACTTTAAAAGTCCAGTTTCCACCCTTGCCGAACTAGGCTGGAATTCCTGGGCTCAATCGTAGCGCCACCAGTGGCTATTACGAGTTATGTCCTTGCTATGCCTCCCCTATTGACCAAACAGATTCAACCTCTCGTATCACTTGCATTCGCTTTAAACAAAACGGTGGTGCCCAGTCAAGACGATCTGATCAATAATCAATATCTATATTGTGATAAAACGAGTCTAACATCGCGAAGTGCATCAAATCACGTGAGCACCTTGATTAAAAACATGAAAAGATTTAGAAAATAACTGTTGACAACGAGTTAGTGGTGCACATGCTTTGCAAATGCTGCAGTCGACCGAAATCTGCATGACACTTTATGAACCGGATTTCGATTAAGGTGCATGATTTTGTTTGGACTATGCATAGACTCGTTAGTCCAGACAAAATGTGACTCCAAAACACCAGCCTGGTTCGGCAAGGGTGGAAACTGGACTTTTATAGTCAGTTTACTCACTTGCCTTGGGAAGATGGGGTAAAATGGCACACACATCAGCCAGGTCACACACTGTAACTGTCCTGTCCTCATTAGTCATCTATGTGGTACCGGGACGTATTCCCTAGTGACGTATTCAACCCCCGAATCCTACAGGGTATACATTAAAGTTTGGAACACCTACCTGATGTTGATGGCTAGGTCTCTCATCTTCTGGTTTGCCTCCAGCACTTTCAGCTGCGTTTGCTTGATCTTCTTTCGATGGATTTCAGTGCTGCTGCGGTTGTCGATGTTGATGAGGCGACTCCCTGTGCCGTCACTCTCAGACATATCGAGACTTCTCATGAGCCTGGTGCTTGTTCGCACATCCGATACTAACAAGGAAAGATGTTTATTGAGATGACAGATAAAACAAGTTATTCATGCACTGCCTAACACACATCATATCCTTTTTAGTAACTGTCTTAAGAGGGTAATAGAGTTGGGTTTGGCATAGCTTTTGACAAGTATGTCAGTTAGTATACAGAGCATTAGTTTAATGGGGAAATAATAGCATGATCAAAAGGTTTACTATATGGGCATAGTAAGGCACTGACAAACCAAGACCAGTGGATCCTGGTAGCCTAAGGGACATAACTCTGTACAGCAGACTGGACCTTAGACCACTGGTCCACCAGAGTCCCTTTCAAGTTTTGTGACATCTAAACATGTTAAACGAAAAGGAAAAGTACTAACTTAAAAAAAAATAATAAATGGTTCTCAGGCAATGACTTTTGAAAATATAGTGCGGGCAGGCGGTTTTCTTTTGTTGCTTGTTCAAACCAAATAAACAGTTGTGTACCATCAAGCTTGGAAAGGGCCTCCCTACATAAACAAGCATACAAACTCCTATTGTCGCCATGACACGAGATACACAGTAAAGCAGTGCGCATGTAAAGGGAAGTAACTGTGTTCTATATTGGATCGAAAACGAAAACGAAATGTGCGGCAGACTTTATGATGATGTGGGCAGTGCCTGAGAACCAAGACTTATTATTTTTTTTAGCCTAATCAGCTCTAGTTTTGAGAAGCATCCTCCTCGATGTGGATGGAGGGTCTGAACCTGGATGTCAGTTCCCTACCTGGCTTGCTCCTCCTGACTTCTGGCATGTCATCTACAGACAAGCGGTTCTCCTTATCTTCATCATTCCTTGAACCCTTCTTTACACGGAATGTTCCTCGGCGGACAAAGTTGCTATCTCCAGTTCTGAAACCAGAAACATTCCTAATTCAAACTTTTTTTTCATCAGTTTTTTTTTCAAAGTTAATGGAAATCTAACATGTCTAATCATTGACGAAGTTTTTATTTGTATTTCACAAAGATGTTTCAAAGGAAAACCTTCATTCCTCTACACCATTGAGCGATTCAATCACTGAGTCTATTACCATACTGTTTATCAGTTGAAGATGAGGTGAAATGGGGTGTTGGATCCAAGATTATTGATTAATGCTGATTTATAGTGCTAGCTCACTGAGATACCATGCCGCAGTTTAACATGAATACCACACTCAGACACAGTATACTGACTCCGAGCCGACCAGTCCTTGTTTTAGTCCCTTAATGCTGAGCGCCGGACAGGGTAACAACAAGTACCATCTTTTAACGTCTTTTGGTATGACGTGGCCGGGGATCAAACCCAGCACCGTCCACTCTCCAGGCGGACGCTCTACCACTAGACCACGAAGGCGGTCCATCAGTTGAAGGTCAGGTGTGTATGTGTTTGTTGTCTAACACCACACTCTGCAATATGCACCAGATAATCAAGTGATTGATATTATGAGCAACGACCCACTCCATCAGAGTACAATGACACGCCATCAACTAAGTCACCAAGTCTGACCCCGATCCATGAAGTCATCTCTCACCCCCAGGATAGGAAGCTGGTGTAAAAGTTGGATGTCTGACATACATACCCAGGCTGTTGGTTCTCTTGATCGTCACTGAAGGTCTGGTGCAGCACCTCATCACTGTCCTCAAGCCTCGTCACCAAAAGCTGGCTTCGGGCCCGGAAGCTCTGCATGACCCGTTCTAGTGAAAACAGTGCTGGACTTGTCTTGATGTTTCGTGATGGTGGCCTCAGACTTGAGTAAAACTGGAGGGAAGGGAACACACATACTGTCAAGAATGTTTGTTGTTTAACGCCACCCTCAGCAATATTCCAGCTATATGACGGTTATCTGTAAATAATCAATCTGGACTAGACAATCCAGTGATTGACATCATGAACATCGATCCACGCAATAGGGAAACAATGCCATGAATCAACAGTCAGCGAGTCTGACCACCCGATCCCGTTAGTCGTCTCATACAACAAGCATCGTTAGGGAATGGGTGATATTATCTGAACATGACAAATATATATCACTGGTCATTTTGGTTTTTCAAGTTCAAGAGTGCCGTTCTGGTAAAAAATAGTATTTTGCCGGATGCAGCAGGTACAGCAAGAAAACGTTTCCAATGACAAATGTCACCAATAATCATGCTATATCACTACCTGTAATAATATCCCTGCTATATCACTACTACCTGTAATAATAGTCCTGCTGTATCACTACTACCTGTAATAATAGTCCTGCTATAACACTACTACCTGTAATAATAGTCCTGCTCTATCACTACTACCTGTAATAATAGTCCTGCTCTATCACTACTACCTGTAATAATAGTCCTGCTCTATCACTACCTGTAATAATAGTCCTGCTGTATCACTACCTGTAATAATAGTCCTGCTGTATCACTACCTGTAATAATAGTCCTGCTATAACACTACTACCTGTAATAATAGTCCTGCAGTATCACTACTACCTGTAATAATAGTCCTGCTATAACACTACTACCTGTAATAATAGTCCTGCAGTATCACTACTACCTGTATTAATAGTCCTGCTATAACACTACTACCTGTAATAATAGTCCTGCTCTATCACTACTACCTGTAATAATAGTCCTGCTGTATCACTACTACCTGTAATGATAGTCCTGCTGTATCACTACTACCTGTATTAATAGTCCTGCTGTATCACTACTACCTGTAATAATAGTCCTGCTGTATCACTACTACCTGTAATAACAGTCCTGCTATATCACTACTACCTGTAATAATAGTCCCCCTATATCACTACTACCTGTAATAATAGTCCTGCTATATCACTACTACCTGTAATAATAGTCCCGCTATATCACTACTACCTGTAATAATAGTCCTTCTGTATCACTACTACCTGTAATAATAGTCCTGCTATAACACTACTATCTGTAATAATAGTCCTGCTGTATCACTACTACCTGTAATAATAGTCCTGCTGTATCACTACTACCTGTAATAATAGTCCTGCTGTATCACTACTACCTGTAATAATAGTCCTGCTATATCACTACTACCTGTAATAATAGTCCTGCTGTATCACTACCTGTAATAATATTCCTGCTATGTCACTACCTGTAACAATATTCCTGCTCTATCACTACTACCTGGAATAATATTCCTGCTATATCACTACTACCTGGAATAATATACCTAGTATATCACTACTACCTGTAATAATATTCCTGGTATATCACTACCTGTAATAATATTCCTGCTATATCACTAAAACATGTAATAATATTCCTGCTATATCACTACCTGTAATAATATTCCTGCTATATCACTACTACCTGTAATAATAGTCCTGCTGTATCACTACTACCTGTAATAATAGTCCTGCTGTATCACTACTACCTGTAATAATAGTCCTGCTATATCACTACTACCTGTAATAATAGTCCTGCTGTATCACTACTACCTGTAATAATAGTCCTGCTGTATCACTACCTGTAATAATATTCCTGCTATGTCACTACCTGTAATAATATTCCTGCTCTATCACTACTACCTGGAATAATATTCCTGCTATATCACTACTACCTGTAATAATATTCCTAGTATATCACTACTACCTGTAATAATATTCCTGGTATATCACTACCTGTAATAATATTCCTGGTATATCACTACCTGTAATAATATTCCTGCTATATCACTAATACCTGTAATAATATTCCTGCTATATCACTACTACCTGTAATAATATTCTTGCTAAATCACTACTACCTGTAATAATATTCCTGCTATATAACTACCTGTAATAATATTCCTGCTATATCACTACTACCTGTAATAATATTCCTGCTATATCACTACCTGTAATAATATTCCTGCAATATCACTGCTACCTGTAATAATATTCCTGCTATATCACTACCTGTAATAATATTCCTAGTATATCACTACTACCTGTAATAATATTCCTGCAATATCACTACCTGTAATAATATTCCTGCTATATCACTGCTACCTGTAATAATATTCCTGCTATATCACTACCTGTATTCCTGCTATATCACTACTACCTGTAATAATATTCCTGCTATATCACTACTACCTGTAATAATATTCCTGCTAAATCACTACTATCTGTAATAATATTCCTGCTATATAACTACCTGTAATAATATTCCTGCTATATCACTACTACCTGTAAAAATAGTCCTGCTGTATCACTACCTGTAATAATATTCCTGCTATATCACTACTACCTGTAATAATATTCCTGCTATATCACTGCTACCGGTTTGATTGGCATTCTAGAAGTTGGTGAGTAAATAAGAAAATGTACAACTTGATGACCAACACCCTTGATGTTATCAAGCTGGACTGATTACAGTGTGAAAATCTACATCAAAAAGTCATTATGCAATAAACCAGAAGACAAGTTGTTATCCATAAAGTTGTACATTTTCTAATATCTGTTATAAACCGAGTCTAGGCCAGGACACTGACCGGTAGATCTAGCATGAGCATGTTCCATGTTGTAGTGGTACACACAATCAACCAGGTCAAACACACACCACTTAATCTGCATCCTACTAAGCTCTTACCAAAGTATTCAGTACTTGGGAGCCTCCTGTCCTTCACTCAGATAATAGGGTCAAAAGTAACCATACTGTCTAAAGAAGAGCTAAAGCACCGAGCCCCTCATTCAAACTCCCCCATGAGCAAAACCGGAGAACACACATGAGGAACACGGGATTTCACAAACTGTACAAACAAGGCATCGTCTTTAATGCAACACCTTTCATAGATTGTCTTTATGATGAGTCAACATTCACTTACATTGTCCTGCTTGCGATTGATGTGAGTGGGCACGGACTTGGGTCTTCTGCCCGTGACCGGAGGTGCGCTCGACGTAACAGCAGTGCTGTCCAGGACGCTGCTCGCACCCAGTAGCGTCTCCTGCAATAGTGCAAGCACAACATCAACACAGCACATCCAAACAACACACAGATATACGATACACATCACTGAAACATAAGGTCTGCAGAATCACTTCCATTGCATTCATGTTAATCATTGACAATATGTGTCATTATGTAAATACCACAATTAAGAAATTGGAAAATATGAAAAAAATTAACATGATGATTTTCGTAAACACTAGAAATATGAAGGTACTAATAATGGTTTGCTATGATGAATTAGATGATAGGAATTAGTATGGCAAAGGATTAAATTCTATTAATGTTAATAATTATCTCTTTAACAATGTGGCAGAGGAGTGAAGGAATGAGTGATGCTCCTTTGAAGAGTAGATCAGTAGCATCATGGTGTGCTAGCTGTGCGTGGAAACCCGAAATGATACAGGTTGTATATCGACAAATAAGTGACAGAGTGAGTGAGTGAGTGAAAGTTATTAACGCTGCCGTCAGCAGGATTCTAGTAACCCATTGTGACCTGTAATAATCAAACTGTTTGATTGGCATTCTAGAAGTTGGCAAATAAGTAAGAAAAATGTACAACCTTATGGATAACAATTTCTGATTTATTGCATATCGTGACGTTTCGATGGAGATACTTACGCCGTTATCAAGCTAATAATGGTGTAAGAATCTACATCGAAATGTTGCTATATGCAATAAACCAGAAGTTGTTATCCATAATGTTGTATGTTATTCCTACTGTAATAATCAAGTCTGTATGGGCAATGGCAAACCAAGGATCACAATTATAGCAAATATTGGATAAGAAAATATAAGCAACAAGACAGACGATGAACACAATGCTTAAATGCACATAACACATGTATCCAATAAATAATGAGATGAACATGATAAACTTGTGTTAGTTTTTCACACTGAAATGTTGGTTAAGAACACTGATTGTAAAAATTAAACAGGAATAGATGCTTGTAGAATTTGACAAAATCTGTCATGAAGTTTTTCAGTGACATCACTCCTTATGACAATCATTTCACTATGCATTATGACAATTATAGCACCACTCCTTGTGACAATCATATCTCTATGGATTATGACAATTATAGCATCACTCCTTATGACAATCATATCTCTATGGATTATGACAATTATAGCATCACTCCTTATGACAATCATATCTCTATGGATTATGACAATTATAGCATCACTCCTTATGACAATCATATCTCTATGGATTATGACAATTATAGCATCACTCCTTATGACAATCATATCTCTATGGATTATGACAATTATAGCATCACTCCTTATGACAATCATATCACTATGCATGATGACAATTATAGCATCACTCCTTATCACAATCATATCTCTATGGATTATGACAATTATAGCATCACTCCTTATGACAATCATATCTCTATGGATTATGACAATTATAGCATCACTCCTTATGACAATCATATCTCTATGGATTATGACAATTATAGCATCACTCCTTATGACAATCATATCTCTATGGATTATGACAATTATAGCATCACTCCTTATGACAATCATATCACTATGCATGATGACAATTATAGCATCACTCCTTATCACAATCATATCACTATGCATTATGACAATTATAGCATCACTCCTTATGACAATCATATCCCTATGCATTATGATAATTATAGCATCACTCCTTATGACAATCATATCACTATGCATTATGACAATTATAGCATCACTCCTGGGGTCAATCATATCCCTATGCATTATGACAATTATAGCATCACTCCTTATGACAACATATCTCTATGCATTATGACAATTATAGCATCACTCCTTCTGACAATCATATCACTATGTCTCGACAATGATAGTCCTTATAACAATCATATGCCTTATAACACTCATACCACTATGCCTTCCGACAATCATAACTAGGCTTTACAATCACACTCAAACTTCACTATGAAATACTGGCCTGGGTCCAATAAAAGATTACCCGAACGTAAAAGTTACTGTGATCGTATTCTTCATGATTATGAGGTCATTTCATCAACTTTCATAAGGATATTCTCCTATACTTTGGGACATTGGAAACATCTGGGACATGTTTCATGACAATCAGTCAAGAAAGTGAACCGATATGAAACCCTGTGGATACAAATATATCTGTTCATGATTACATCTGTCAGTGAGTATAATGTAAACTCTAATGATCTATCCCGTCCAGTCCTACTACAACAACCATGGGATACCAGGGACCACTGTTACCCGCCCACCCAGTGTAGAGAGAGGTGTAGGAAGATGGTGCTGTTGCCAAGAAGAACTAGAATGCATGTGCAAAATGTGATGAATGTATGAAGGATGAATACCCCTTGTAGGAAATGTTTCTTTTGAAACAGGGGACTTTGTTGATCAACTTCATGATGTACGACTTGGATGTCTGGCTGCAATACATTTAAACAGGAGATGAATACACAGAATATAGCTGGATAGTTTGTCGAGGATAACAATCTCTCTTCTACCAACACTAATGCTGAAATGATTCCGACGAATCTGTGATGCACCTACACATCACCAGTCAGTGACGTCATCCACAAGTTCGAAGTCAGTCTTGTAAAATACTGTTTTCTTGAAGCCCAACTAATATTTTCCATATTATAACAGTAAAATCTACTGAAAATATGCGAAGTGTTCGGGCTAGTAGGCTCAATGTTTTTAGCACAAATAAATATATAAATACATTTAAATATTTTTTTCGTTTTTTTTGTTACATCAAAACTGATGACTTAAACATGTTAAAACACTCACACATATTTACACAACAATGTGTATTGTGATAATATCATATTGAGAATAAAGTATCCCATTACAAATCACACTGTAATTTTGGTGCATAATTTATGCTAATGATCAAGCTTCTATTTCCTCCAACTATCACAGCATGACTCTAGGTTCAGAGTTAAGGTTCCTCTTTTCTTACTCCCAAAATAGATAATATTTGCGGAGAGCTATCATTATCATGATAATGATTATCTCCTAAGAGCTACGGTCAATTCATCAAACCACATGTTATAAATAGTACCATCCTGCACTTTTAACATTATCAGAATTTTATTATTCCCATAAAACAAATCAGCCAAAAACATTAAAGGCAATTTAAATACGTAAATATTGAGCTTCGCAACATATTCTATCATTTCAACCTACCTAAACTAAAATATTTACAAGAAACCTGTAGATAAGATAAGAAAGGTGTGACTGAGGTTAATACTGGTTAGTATACACAAGCCTGTTACTATGGATACCCTTACCTTGAGAGCTCTCTGCAGCTCCTGTATCTTCAACTGCTGCTCCAGCATCTGCTGTTCCTGGCGCTGGCACGTCTCAATGGAAGTCTTAAGTGCTGCATTCCCCTCAGCCACTTCCTTCTCCTGCAGGGTGCACAGCATCATGTGTGAGTGAGTGAGTTTGGTTTGAATGTGAGCAAGGTTGAAGTAAAGCAGGTCATAGATAATTACCCCTTTGTGCAAGCCTTATGTTGGTTGGTTGGTTGGTTTGTTGTTTAACACCACACTCAGCAATATTCCAGCTATATGACGGCGGTCTGTAAATAATCGAGTCTGGACCACACAATCCAGTGATTGACATCATGAGCATCGATTCACACAATTGGGATACAATGACATGCATCAACCAAGTCAGCAAGCCTGACCATCCGATTCCGTTGAACAAATAACAGATTTTTACCCAATTTTCATGCAACCTGGTTAATATTCAAGATAAAACCCTGCTTGGGGTAAACCCACTTTATTTACTTTCTCAGGCAAGGATCAAGGACACAGAAGAATCTCTTGGCCTCAACAGGGGATGATTGACATCATCCTACTCCAGCAACCTACCAGTTCTTCGATTCTCTCTGCCAGGTGATTTACTTCTCTCGTCTTCTCAGCAAATATATCTTCATCACTTCTAAGATCATCACGACACTGAGAAAACACGAAACATTATTATAACAGGAACAGCCAATCTCTTTCATGGACCCACAATACTTAGAGAATAACCAATGAGGTAAGAGGAATTACGGATTATCTGTTCCAAGTGGTGTTAATCCCAAGCCTTTGGCAAGGACCTAGCAGCATTCATACATGAGTAACAGACATTCTGTTATACCGAGTTTCGAGTGGGTTATAGTATATTGCCATTTTAAGAGAGAAAATGAAGAGTAAATGAATGAAATGTCAACCCTACAGTTGGTTGGTTGGCTTGTTGTTTAACGCTGCACTCAGCAATATTCCAACTATACGACGGCGGTCTGTAAAAAATCGAGTCTAGACTAGACAATCCAGTGATTGACATCACGAGCATCGATCTACGCAACTGGGATACGATGACATGGATCAACCAAGTCAGCGAGCCTGACCACCCGATCCCATTAGTCGCTTCTTACGACAAGCATAGTTGCCTTTTACGGCAAGCATGGGTTGCTGAAGACCTATTTTACCCCGGATCTTCACATCTCATGGCTTCAACTGACCAATCAGCTTTAAGAATTACTAAAATGCACAAGTTCAAATATAGGAAATTTATTACACACAATCCTTCTACCCTTATGGGTAATAAATCAAGTTATCAACAATTCAAGATGTGCGGTGTGCTGGTGTCTGATCAAGTTAAGGATTCTGGAGGAAGTCTGAAGAATATATGAAGGTGAAGGAGCTGAGGTCAACAATACATGTCAGTTACTGATAACCATCTTACATGAACAGGATTCAGTCTTGGCATATTTACCTTTCTAAGTTCGCTCTCCAAATCCCTTATGGTCTGATTGTCCAAACTTTCTCGAGATAATGTAGAGGGAACCCTATTTTTTATCTGGAACAAAGGGTGTTACGTGAATCACCACAATCATTATGACACTGGAAAATCAGAACTGATTTACACAATCAGCTGGGTCACACATGGGAGTGTGGGAATGTTGTTGTGCTCCCGCCAGCAATACTCCTGTGATGACATGGTGGCTTGTAAATACTCAGCTCAGACAAACCAGTGATTGATAACATGAACAAGGGGCCAAGACTTGGAGTATGATAACACTAAGTCAGCCAGTTCACATTGTGACCACCCGATCCCCATTCAAGTCGGCTCTTTGACTACAAGAATGGGGAACTAAGAACCCTCAAAGGAATGACCACCAGGTTGTATTACCTTCTCTGCCCTGGAATCCCCACCGGGTGTTGTACTGAGGACCTACTCTGCCATGGAATCCCCACCAGATGGTGTACTGAGGACCTACTCTGCCCTGGAATCCCCACCACGTTTTGTACTGAGGACCTACTCTGCCCTGGAATCCCCACCAGATGGTGTACTGAGGACCTACTCTGCCCTGGAATCCCCACCAGATGGTGTACTGAGGACCTACTCTGCCCTGGAATCCCCACCAGGTGTTGTACTGAGGACCTACTCTGCCATGGAATCCCCACCAGGTTTTGTACTGAGGACCTTCTCTGCCCTGGAATCCCCACCAGGTGTTGTACTGAGGACCTATTCTGCCCTGGAATCCCCACCAGGTTTTGTACTGAGGACCTACTCTGCCCTGGAATCCCCACCAGGTGTTGTACTGAGGACCTAGTCTGCCCTGGAATCCCCACCAGGTTTTGTACTGAGGACCTACTCTGCCCTGGAATCCCCACCAGGTTTTGTACTGAGGACCCACTGTATCCCGGAATCCCCACCAGGTGATGTACTAAGGAACTTCTGTGCCCTGGAATCCCCACCAATTGGTGTAATGGGGATCTATTCTGCCCTGGAATCTCCACCAGATGGTGTACTGAGGACCTACTCTGCCCTGGAATCCCCACCAGGTTTTGTACTGAGGACCTACTCTGCCCTGGAATCCCCACCAGGTGTTGTACTGAGGACCTACTCTGCCCTGGAATCCCCACCGGGTGTTGTACTGAGGACCTACTCTGCCATGGAATCCCCACCAGGTGTTGTACTGAGGACCTACTCTGCCCTGGAATCCCCACCGGGTGTTGTACTGAGGACCTACTCTGCCATGGAATCCCCACCAGGTGTTGTACTGAGGACCTACTCTGCCCTGGAATCCCCACCAGGTTTTGTACTGAGGACCTACTCTGCCATGGAATCCCCACCAGGTGTTGTACTGAGGACCTACTCTGCCATGGAATCCCCACCAGGTTTTGTACTGAGGACCTTCTCTGCCCTGGAATCCCCACCAGGTGTTGTACTGAGGACCTATTCTGCCCTGGAATGCCCACCAGGGGGAGTACTGGGGACCTATTCTGCCACCAAAATGTGCATGGGATGACTAATAACTATCTCAAGTATTTGCTTGAGACAAATGTTGTCAGCTCTACCTCCTCCATGAGGTCCAGCCAGTCCTTCAGCCTGATGTCCTGACTCTTGGACAAAATCTCTCTTTCCTTGATGTCCATCAGCTGCTTGTAGGCTTCCTCTGAAACCATGCGGTAGTGGGAGCACTCAGTCTGTAATCTGAAAACACAACATGGAGCACTAAGAACATGTTCACTCTTAGACACATTAACTCAAATTACAACATGACAAGGGTTAGTTTGTGTTTTGAACAGTAGTTCATCTATGACCAAGATGCGAAATCAGTGTGATTGTAAGACTAGAAACCATGACCAGTGGATCCTATTATGACACCACTCCCAATCTCATTAAAATCAGATCTCGCTACCGCTAAACAAAGATCTGAGGACATCCCATTACGGGTCATGTCAGACCGACCTTGCGCGAACTTTGATCGACCAATGGAATGACTGACGAGAAGTCGACATTAGCCAATCAGAAGGCAGCTTACTCGTGTTTTACGGCACTAATTTCAAATTGGCGACTACGCTTCGAAACATATTTTGACAAATTCTCGATTAAAAATTTGAAACCTGAACAAAAGAACATTCTGGAAAGGCTAATAGATGGTCTAGATTGTATGGATTCAGTCGTTAACCCCGTAACTATCGTTTGGAATACCCTGTGTAAAAAGTTTTCGGGGTTGCATGATAAGAAATCACATTCCGACTGTCACTTTCATGATCTGGTAAGCGATGCTCTGATTGGTTGGGTGAAAGGTCGTTCTGACGTGACCCCTAACTGGATGTCCTCGGATCTTTGTTTAGCGGTAGCGAGAACTAAGATCTGATTATAATGAGATTGCACCACTCCCCAACTACTTGTAGCGGCTCAGATGATTAGTGCCCCAAAATCTCCGCCCTTCCCACCATGATCGGACCTCCCCTCCCACTTACCTGACCTCCAGGTCCTGTAAGAGACCAGTCTCGCTGTGTCCTCCACCCATGATCGCATCTCCCCTCGCACTCACCTGACCTCCAGGTCCTGTAAGAGACCAGTCTCACTGTGTACTCCGCCATGATCGGACCTCCCCTCACACTCACCTGACCTCCAGGTCCTGTAAGAGACCAGTCTCGCTGTGTCCTCCACCCATGATCGGATCTCCCCTCACACTCACCTGACCTCCAGGTCCTGTAAGAGACCAGTCTCACTGTGTACTCTGCCATGATCGGACCTCCCCTCCCACTCACCTGACCTCCAGGTCCTGTAAGAGACCAGTCTCACTGTGTCCTCCACCCATGATCGGATCTCCCCTCACACTCACCTGACCTCCAGGTCCTGTAAGAGACCAGTCTCGCTGTGTCCTCCACCCATGATCGGATCTCCCCTCGCACTCACCTGACCTCCAGGTCCTGTAAGAGACCAGTCTGCTGTGTCCTCTCCCCCCATGATCGGACCTTCCCTCCCACTCACCTGACCTCCAGGTCCTGTAAGAGACCAGTCTCACTGTGTCCTCCCCCCATGATCGGATCTCCCCTCGCACTCACCTGACCTCCAGGTCCTGTAAGAGACCAGTCTCACTGTGTACTCCGCCATGATCGGATCTCCCCTCACACTCACCTGACCTCCAGGTCCTGTAAGAGACCAGTCTCACTGTGTCCTCCACCCATGATCGGATCTCCCCTCGCACTCACCTGACCTCCAGGTCCTGTAAGAGACCAGTCTCACTGTGTACTCCGCCATGATCGGATCTCCCCTCACACTCACCTGACCTCCAGGTCCTGTAAGAGACCAGTCTCACTGTGTCCTCCACCCATGATCGGATCTCCCCTCGCACTCACCTGACCTCCAGGTCCTGTAAGAGACCAGTCTCACTGTGTACTCCGCCATGATCGGATCTCCCCTCACACTCACCTGACCTCCAGGTCCTGTAAGAGACCAGTCTCACTGTGTCCTCCCCCCATGATCAGACCTCCCTTCCCACTCACCTGACCTCCAGGCCACTATGAGACCAGAGCCTTGCTGTGTCCTCTCCTTGATCGGTTCTCCCCTTTGACACACCTGACCTTCAGAACCTGTATGGTATCAGAGTCTTGCTGCATCCTTTTCATTGGTGGGTCTCTGCCCCCACTACCACCCGAATACCTCAATTCTTTGGTCTAGCATCCAACTCACCTTACTACTTTGACCTCCAGGTCCTGTATGAGATCACAGTCTTGCTGTGTCCTCTCCACGCTTGTGTCTCTCCCAGCACTGACAACCGATGTCCGCTGCCTCACCAGTTCTTCTCGCAATGCCTAATAAAGTGATTGAGTTGAATGAGCATGTACACTATACATAGGAGGAATTTATTTGCAATGATTGAGTTTGAAATGACACTAATACAGCCAGCTCATAACTGAGATCCTGCCATCCACTTTCCAGGTTACCCAGTAGATCACACAAACACAATCTTTTGACAATAATAGCGGAAAGTCCTCAACGATCATAAAAAAGGGGTAGTTATTTGATGATACAATTACATGTATTACTAACAGAATGGCTGAACATAAACATTTGAAATCGACAATTACATTCTGAAATCATCTTCCCTCGTAACACCCGGCCTCAAAAGGGTACTTTATATTTGAAGTGATCATGCAATAAAATAGTGAAAAGTACAAACCTTGATTTCACTTTGCATTTCTTCAAAACGGATTGACTGGATGTCTCTGTTTACGATAGGCTTGTTTCTTATGTTCTTTGCCTGCAATGTAATGTGCAATGAAGGAAGTGAATGCTAAACATCAAAAACAATGTCTGTCAAATGTGTTTTGAACAAAATGTAAATAAAAATGATCAGGCCTACATCCAGACAACTATCTGGGTCCTAAAACAGTTCTTCCGACCTCATGTATTGGAGTCACTGTGCATTAGGTAAATGACCTCAAATGAATCCTGACATATTTTTATTCTCATTTGAATATTAATTGGTCTAGCCCTTGATGAAGATTCTTACCCAATTAGCATATTTAAGGGCAGTGAAAACACACTGTTAGCATATTTGAGAGCATAGAGAGACACATCCTATCAGCATATTTGAGAGCATAGAGAGACTTACTTGATAAGCATATTTGAGAGCACGGAGAAACTTACCCTCTTAGCATATCTGAGAACATTGAGTGACTTAACCTATTAGCATATTTGAGAGAACTGAGAGACTTACCCTCTTAGCATATTTGAGAGCATTGAGAGACTTATCCTGTTAGCATATTTGAGAGCACTGAGTGACCTACCCTATTAGCATATTTGAGAGCATTGAGAGACTTACCATATAACCATATTTAAGAGCATTGACAGACTAACCCTGTCAGCTTATTTGAGAGCATTGACAGACTAACCCTGTCAGCTTATTTGAGAGCATTGAGAGACTTACCCTGTTAGCATATTTGAGAGCATTGAGAGACTTACCCTGTTAGCATATTTGAGAGCATTGAGAGACTTACCCTCTTAGCATATTTGAGAGCATTGAGAGACTTATCCTGTTAGCATATTTGAGAGCATTGAGTTACCTACCCTATTAGCATATTTGAGAGCATTGAGAGACCTACCCTGTTAGCATATTTGAGAGCATTGAGAGACTGACCCTGTTAGCATATTTGAGAGCATTGAGAGACTTACCCTCTTAGCATATTTGAGAGCATTGAGGGACTTACCCTATTGGCATATTTGAGAGTATTGAGAGACTTATCCTCTTAGCATATTTGAGAGCATTGAGAGACTGACCCTATTAGCATATTTGAGAGCATTGAGAGACTGACCCTGTTAGCATATTTGAGAGCATTGAGAGACTTACCCTGTTAGCATATTTGAGAGCATTGAGAGACTGACCCTGTTAGCATATTTGAGAGCATTGAGAGACTGACCCTGTTAGCATATTTGAGAGCATTGAGAGACTTACCCTGTTAGCATATTTGAGAGCATTGAGTGACTCATCGAAGTTGGCGGAGGCTGGACTGATGCAGCAGATCATGAGGGTCTGTGCATTGCCGCCAAGAGAATCCTGAAATAGCAATGGGTTTTTCAGTGTGTAGAATGGTTTCCTGGCAACGCTCAGTGCGTGCAGGGTCAAACAATCAACCATTAAGTCAGAATCTATTTCATAGCAAGGTCATCTAGGTCAAGGTCATAGACTGACAAGGTCATCAAGTTCAAAAGAGTTAGTAGGTCAGCAAGTTCACCAAGGTCAGTTAGATGAGTGACACTTCATTTCAGCATTCAAACACAATTTCTGTTTTGGATATTGTTTGTTGTTTAATGCCACACTTAGTGATATTCCAGTTACATGATGGCAGTTCAAACAATTACAGAGTGGGGAGGGGTTGCTTAGAAACCAAGGAACATATTCATGGTGTAATCAAATCTCAACCTCATGGAAACTAAGATACAAAATTCAGCACAGCTTCCAATCGCAGCTAATTTGGACATCCATGTCCTTGTACAGAGGATGTCAATACATGGTAATACCTTCAACAACCGTGTAATCTTGGACTCCCGATATGGAATATGGGTGCTCTTCTTCTTCGGATCCCCGAGTGCACTGATAACATTACCCAGCGACAGTAGGCCTGTATTGATGTGAATGGACTCTGAAAACAGTTAAAGGACACTCTTCAAGACAAACCTATTGAGATGCCATACAAACAGCGTTAGAAATTGGCACTAGTCCTGTAGTCCTTGCTAAACTGCCCAATAGTTAAGGTATCAAAAGGACAAGTAGAAATTTGCCATTTTAAGGGTTTGCCATATGTTATTAACATAAGGACTAGTGGACTAAAAATGTTAGTCTGTACCACTGGCAATATTCACAAATGTGATCTAAGGCCTTGCTAAACAAGAAACTCCCACTGAGCAAGAAGATTCCCAAATTGGAAACTATGTTTGTTCTTTTATCCTATTTTCACAAGGTTCACATTGAAGTAGATTCCTACCTTTGAAGCGGTCGCCAACATTGCCTGTTCTGTGTGCCCTCTCAGATCCGGCCAGGTCGACAAAGTGGAACTTCCCGGCCATTGTGTGGCTCATGGATGCATCTGCAATGGCAGGAAATGTGCATGAGAAGCATACACATGACAACTTACTAGTTATGATAATATGAAGAATTTTTGCTTCTTAGAATCTGTAGCTATTAACTCCCTATGATGCTTACCATCTTCAAGAATGTCGCTGCTGTCACTTGTATGCCGGGATCGCCTTGATGCTAGAACATCATCTTCACACCACTTCTGACCTGGAAATGGTTAGGTTGTCATTATCATCAAGTCCAGGTTTACATACTGGTTATGTATCATCTATCATTTTAACTTGTCCATTCTCACTCACCAATGACAATTCCCGCAGACTCACCCATGACAATCAACAGACTCACCCATGACAATCAACACACTAACCCATGACAATCAACACAGACTCACCCATGAAATCAACAGACTCACCCATGACAATCAACACACTAACCTATGACAATCAACACAGGCTTACCCATGACAATCAACAGAGGCTCACCCATGAAATCAACAGACTCATCCATGGCAATCAACACACTAACCTATGACAATCAACACAGGCTCACCCATGATAATCAACATACTCAACCATGACAATCAACACAGACTCACCCGTAACAATCAGAACAGACTCACCCATGACAATAAACACACTCACCCATGACAATCAACACAGGCTCACCCATGACAATCAACACACTCACGCATGACAATCAACACAGACTCACCCATGACAATCAACAAACTAACCCATGACAATCAACACAGGCTCACACATGACAATCAACACAGGCTCACCCATGACAATCAACATATACTCACCCATGAAATCAACACACTCACCCAGGACAACCAACACAGGCTCACCCATGACAATCAACACACTAACCCATGACAATCAACTTAGGCTCACCCATGACAATCAACACAGGCTCACCCATGACAATCAACACATACTCACCCATGAAATCAACACACTCACCCATGACAATCAACACAGGCTCACCCATGACAATCAACACACTCACCCATGACAATCAACACACTTACCAATGACAATCAACACAGACTCATCCGTAACAATCAGAACAGACTCACCCATGACAATCAACACAGACTCACCCATGACAATCAACACAGGCTCACCCATGACAATCAACACAGGCTCACACATGACAATCAACACAGGCTCACCCATGACAATCAACACACGCTCACCCATGACAATCAACACAGGCTCACACATGACAATCAACACACTCACCCATGACAATCAACACAGGCTCACCCATGACAAACAACACACTTACCCATGACAATCAACACAGGCTCACCCATGACAATCAACACAGGCTCACCCATGACAAACAACACACTTACCGATGACAATCAACACAGACTCACCCATGACAATCAACACATACTCACCCATGAAATCAACACAGACTCACCCATGAAATCAACACACTCACCCATGACAATCAACACAGTCTCACCCATGACAATCAACACAGGCTCACCCATGACAATCAACACAGGCTCACACATGACAATCAACACAGGCTCACCCATGACAATCAACACAGGCTCACACATGACAATCAACACAGGCTCACCCATGACAATCAACACAGGCTCACCCATGACAATCAACACAGGCCCACACATGACAATCAACACACTCACCCATGACAATCAACACAGGCTCACCCATGACAAACAACACACTTACCGATGACAATCAACACAGACTCACCCATGACAATCAACACATACTCACCCATGAAATCAACACACTCACCAATGACAATTAACACAGACTCACCCATGACAATCAACACAGACTCACCCATGAAATCAACACACTCACCCATGACAATCAACACACACTCACCCATGACAATCAACACAGGCTCACCCATGAAATCAACACACTCACCCATGACAATTAACACAGACTCACCCATGACAATCAACACGTACTCACCCATGACAATCAACACAGATTCACCCATGACAATCAACACATACTCACCCATAAAATCAACACACTCACCCATGACAATCAACACACTCACCCATGACAATCAACACACACTCACCCATGACAATCAACACAGGCTCACCCATGACAAACAACACACTTACCGATGACAATCAACACAGGCTCACCCATGACAAACAACACAGACTCACCCATGAAATCAACACACTCACCTATGACAATTAACACAGACTCACCCATGACAATCAACACAGACTCACCCATGACAATCAACACGTATTCACCAATGAAATCAACACACTTACCCATGACGATCAACACAGGCTCACCCATGACAATCAACAGACTCACCCATGACAAACAACACACTAACCCATGACAATCAACACAGATTCGAAACTTTGTTGCCTCTGATGACAAGCAATGGGTGCTGGGGACACAGGTCCCGACTGGGATCGTCCATGACGAACCACACTAACTCACCTATAACAATGGTGAAGATGGAATGTGAGCGGCTGGAATGTTCGTTCATCTGAGTGGAGCCTGTATGTCGTGCTGCCGACCCCGACTCAAGGAGGGACATGACGTCATCCAGAGTCTCACACTCAACCTCCTTGACCCCAATAATCACTGTAACAGAGGAACAACTGCAGTCAGATATCACCACACATCAGTTACACTAGGACATGTATATAATGAACTACAAGGGACCGGAGAAATAAGTTTGTTATTAACGTATAAACACCCGCCATCTTGGATAAAACAAAACACAATACACATAAATGAAGCATTGACTTGTATTAGCAGTGATCACTTCATAGCATTCAATTGATAACATTACATAACATTCATTTAATATTGATTCCTCGCTGATTGCGTATAGCCAATCGTCATGATGGTGATCGGTAAATATTCAAGTCGGAACAAGACAATCCAGTGACTGACATTATGAGCATCGATCTACGCAATTGGGATACGATGACATGCATCAACCAAGTTGGCGAGACTGTCTACCCAATCCCATAAGTCACCTCTTATGATAAATATAGGTTGCGGGGAACTCTTAACCCAGAATCCACATGGGCACTGTATTTACAAATTGTATGTATCTGGGTAAAACTTCCATATTTCCAAACTGTAGTTATTTTGAATAAGGGAGTGATGACAGCATCACTATTTAAAAAATAGGTTTTTCTTACAAAAGCATTTAATTCAAGCCGTTGAGTGGGGGGCAAACCAATTGTTATTTAGCAAGGGGATAAAAATGATGTCAAAAAAACTTAGAAACTGTTACACAGGAATGAGCTTGTGTACATCCCTTACCAAAATGGCGGAAGGTGTCCGGTATACCGCATTCTTTCCATTTATATGTCTGAGCATCATCTTGAAGAGCTGTTAAATTGCATTAGCCTCATTCATGATGTTTGAAACAGTGAGAAGTGGCAGAGGTGAGGGGTTAACGTCGCATACAAGATTATTTCACTTATATATAGCAACATGCATGCACCTCTGTGTCTGGCTGCTTGTACTAGTCCAGACTCACACGCAGCAGAATTCCGGCTATATGATGGCGGTCTGCATAAGTAATTGAGTCTGGACCAGACAAACCATTGATTGACATCATGAGCATCGATCCATGCAACTGGGTTACGATGACACCAAGTCAGTGAGCCTGATCCCATTAGTTGCCTCTTATGACACGCATAGTCGCCTTTTACGGCAAGCATGGGTTCCCAGCACCCTGTTATTCATAGAATCTGGGCCGGGTGCAACTTCCCTTTTCAGTTGAAGAATCACCATGTGAGTCTAGTCTAAAGAAGGAGTATACTTCCTGGTGACCTACCTGTGTTGCCCTGGTCATCTTCCCTCACATGGAGATCCTTGCTGCACTTGTCTACATCGAGGAGATCCTGTAACTCCTCCTTATAGATTTCAATGTAGGACACTGTGATGGAGAACTCCACTGCCTCATTGCTCTGAAACACAAGACAGGAGTTGTTGGGCTTCATTCTAAATAATATTTCAGTTATTCCTCAGCAGGTCAGCCTATATATTGTGTTTTTGTTGTTGTCAGTTTTGTTTGTTGTTTAACGCTGCACTCAGCAATATTCCAGCTATCATGGCTATATGACGACAGTCTGTAAATAATCGAGTCTGGACCAGACCAGTGACTGACATCATGAGCATCAATCCACGCAGTTGGGATACGATGACACATCAACCAAGTCAGCGAGCCTGACCACCCAATCCCGTTACTTGCCTCTTACAACAAGCATAGTCGCCTTTTACGGCAAGCAAGGGTTGCTTAAGACCTACTCCGGATCTTCATGGGTCTAAAAATGGTTAAAGCCTTAAGTTTTGTATTTGTTTTTAACGCCCCAGTCAGCAATATTCTAGCTATATGATGGCAGTCTGTAAATAATTTAGTCTGGACCAGACAATCCAGTGATTGACACCATGAGCATCAGATCCACGCAATTGGGATACGATGACATGCATCAACCATGTCTGCAAAGCCTGAACTCCCGATCCCGTTGAACAGGACATCAGCAACCCATGCTTGCCGTAAAAGGCGACTAACGGGATCGGGTGGTCAGGCTTGCTGACTTGGTTGATGCATGTCATTGCATCCCAATTTTGTGGATTGATGCTCATGATATCAATCACTGGATTGTCTGGTCCGGACTCAGTTATTTACAGACTGCTGTCATATTGCTGGAATTTTGCTGAGTGTGGCGTTAAACAAACACAAGTCAGTAACAGATCATGGAAAACTAATAAATCTTGGAGACATGCCATGGAATTTGAGTCTTGTGACTGTACCTTCATGATGTCAAACATCTGGTTAATAGCCCGGGGAATAGTTCCATGTTCATCTTCTGTAATGGCTGAGATATTACATCCTCCAATAGTGTAGGTCTTCCCTGAGCCCTAGACAATCACAACAACATGGAGAAACATCAGACATTGTTCGTAAACATTGGGCCAGGTTTCACAAAGAGATCCAAGGATTACGTGTATCAAGTCTATGTTAACGTATAGGAGATATGGCTGTTGCATCACAGTGTTCCATATTAATTATGAAAGTCAAGGCGTCCATGTTATTACCATAATTGTAAAATACAACAGGAGCAATCCTCTAACACTATATTTCTAACACTGCAACATTAAAAAAGTTTGTGAAATGGAGACCAGGAGTCAGTCTATAATTCTAATAAGTCAATGAGTGAAAAAAGAGTGAGTGAGTTGGTTTAACACCACTTTCAACAGTATTCCAGTTATATCACGGCGTGTCAGCTTAATGTGGGAAGAAAGCCCAAAGTGATGCAGGTCTCAGATGTTTACGAGACTAGTGAAACCCCGGAGCACGGATATGGTGCTGACAAACCCAGACACATAATCAGGCCGGTGAACTGGGATTCAAACCCGCAATCACAGGTTTCTGGCATGCCAAAGAGATGCATACCCGGACCGGTAATGATTTTTAAATCCCTGAGATAATCACGAAAATTAAAAGCACTTAAGACGTATCATCAAGACTATGTCCACCAAATGTTATCAAGGAAATGCTTAACATCAAAAGCATAAAAGTGTGTTTTGCCAAAACAATTTATTTCCCAAATAAAAGCGACCACAATGACAATGACTTCCACACTTACAGTCTGACCGTATGCAAAGACGGTTGCATTGTAGCCATCAAATATACTCCTGACAAGTGGATCCACACAAGTTTGATACACATCCTCCTGAAAATGTCAAAAGGATATAAGTATGACAAAGTTGCAATTAAAGGAAATTCTTTCAGTTTTCAATGCACTGAAGCATCTCCCAAGGGTAGAACACCGGAAGCAAACACGTGTAGTCAGTGTGCAAAACGAATGGTAGGCCAATCACCTGTGGCTATCAAAATTGTGATGGTCTGCCATGTGAGAAACTAAGCTAGATCAATTGTCTGTGATGTATAAATTGAAGGAACAGGTTGAACTAAGAAGTATGGCAGATAATACATTGTAGAGATAACTTTGCTTACACAGTTTAACATTGTTCAGACTTTGTTCATCTTGATGATTGACAACATATATTCATTTATGCAGCTTAAAATACAACAAGATGTATAAGACTGTATAAGGATGCAAATTAATTTTCCAGCACATTCTAAACTAAACAAAAATAACATGTTAATTTAATTATGACAATAAAACTAATATTACTTCTAATATGCACAAACCTGAAGAATTGTTTTTTGTGTCATAGCCAATGTGCCCTTTGCAAACTTCAGATCTTTATATCTCACAATGACTTGTCTATCAAGCAACTGCTATAAAAGGCTATATGTCTCCTTGCCCTCAACCCAATGCTACACCCTTCGGGCTTTGCCCCAAGGCATCACAATATGACCCAATCACTGGACAACTCTCAAGGGTGTATTTTCAGTCAACAGTGTGCACTTTGAGAAGGATGATGGAGTGCATATCACTCTCTTTGGAATAATAAATGACACGTAACACAGTAGATTTGAGGTGGTTTTATCAAAGTATAGAGTTTCCAAACAGGACCCTGTTACAGCTTTGAGGGATTACATTGACAGAACAGCTGCTTCTAGACTATGAGATGGGTCTGTACTCTGTTCCACTGTATAGAGGCTTCTACTGTGGGACATGTGTTAGAAGAGTGTATTGTTTGGGCAGGATTAGGGAATGAGTGAGTGAGTATGGCTTTACGGCCCTTTTAGCAATATCCCAGCAATATCACGGCGGGGGAAACCAGAAATGGACTTCACACATTGTACCCATGTCAGGAATCGAACCCAGGTCTTCGGCGTGACGACCGAATGCTTTAACCACTAGGCTATCCGACTGCCCTTTCGGGAGGATTAGCCAAATTAGAATATTCCGCTAAATCATTTCGACCAACTGTGGCTACCGCAGTCATCAGTATGGGTACAGATCCTCAAATCGAACAAACGTTTGGACATTATTTCACACAATTTCTACAAACATTATGTCCATTCACATACTCCAGATACCTTGTACAGATGATATGCTAGTGCAGTAGATCACTGCCACTAGTTTGTTGTCTAAACAGCAAGTATCCACCTGCAGCTCTTGCTTCAGCTTACAGAAACTCAACAAACTTTAAATTCTCCATTCTCTTATTTACTTTTCCAGTTACATTTGTTACTTGTGTTGTACAATTAATGTGATTGTTAACATTCTTCTGTTTTCTTCTTCTGTTTGTTAATCTTGTTACCATAAGATATTGTGATGTTTTCAAAACGTTTGCAGAATTCTCCTCTTCAAAGTTTATCTTGTTTATGGTCCTCTTTACATAGGCATTATTGTTTATTTGAAAATAAACAATTGAGAACCAATTTCACAATGTTGTTTGTGATTTGGTCACATCACATATGATGTAGATTTATATAAATTAAACATGACAAACAGATGAAACTTATTGCCTCTTGTGAAAAGCAACAGAGGTCAAGGTGAGGTGAGGTGAAATGGGGTTTAACGTTGCGTCCAAGATTATTGCACTTTTATAGCGACGTGCATGTGTGTGTGTTTGGCTGCTCGTACTAGTCCGGATTGATGCCGATTTATAGTGCTAGTACACTGAGATACCATGCCGCAGTTTAACATAAATATCCAACTGAGACACAGTATACTGACTCCGAGCCGACCAGTCCTTGTTTTAGCCCCTTAATGCCGAGCGCCAGACAGGGAAACAACAAGTACCATCTTTAAACGTCTTTTGGTATGACGCTGTCGGGGATTGAACCCCGGACCTTCCGCTCTCCGGGAGGATGCTCTACCATTAGACCACGGAGGGGGTCTAACAGAGGTCAAGAGTCCTGCCACAAGCAGACTAGATGTTGAAACATTGCCCTCACCTGTGATGTCTTATGGTTAAACACATGGTCAAATGTAAATGCCCTGTCTTTGCCCACTATCAGCTGATTGGTGTTGCGTAGTACTTGAACACACATCTGATCTCCCCCGAGGCGTTCCTTAGGCAAGAGGGGCCGAACCTGTGATGAGATGGTGGAAAATCTACATTGATGGACTGTAGGCAACAATGATCACAAAAATGATAAAATCTTTGTTTTCGCCCTAAACATCATGAACATGTGGATATTTTACATTTGAATGTTTGAAGAAAGGAACAGACTGTTCAAGCAACATCAGTCATTAGATTCTACAAATAGTCTATGTGGTGGACAATAGAATTATTTTATCATGGACAGAATATCAGTTGTCATGACTGTACCAAGTGTATTACATTGTGGTCAATTATCATGATTGTCCAGATTACAAATTGTTATTGATGAAATGATAACGATTGAAAATGACCAAATCAAAAGTACAATTGAACAATCTACCTACCCGAACAGCCACACGAACATTGACTTCTTGCATTTTGCCACCAACTGAAGTAAAAAATGAAACGGTCATATCATCTTCTTTCCACAATCTATCTTCCCACGCTTAATTAATTTTTTCAATAGTTTATTTATTTATTTATTTTATTCGTTCAACAGTATTTCAGCTATATGATGGAGGTCTGTAAATAATCGAGTCTGGGCCAGACAATCCAGTGACTGACATCATGAGCACCGTTCTTCGCAATTGGAATATGATGACATGCATAATGCCATGAGCCATAAGGCATTGCATAAGCCAAAACATGTGGAGACTATTCAAAATTGTTTACTATTTATATCCTGTGGACATGGTGGAAGAACATTGTTTTAGCACTTTCTTATTTTCAAAATATTGTTGTTTTTGTTTTCAATGTAATGCATGGGGCAAGGGGCCTGATAAACATGATAAAAGGGGTCTAATATATATTAATTACCATTCAGTAATTTTTATTTAGCACAGAATTAGGCATAGTAATGAAAACTGCATAGATCTTGAAAACATAAAACATTCACCTTTTTACGAAAATTATCATCATACCTGATACCTACCTACTGTTGGACATCTGTTGCAATACATCAATTAGGTTTGTGATGACAAGGATGGATAATTAGAAGAGCTGTGAAGTGAGTGAGTGAGTGAGTGAGTATAGTTTTACACCACTTTTAGCAATATTCCAGCAATATCACGGTGGGGGACACCAGAAATGGGCTTCACACATTGTACCCATGTCAGGAATCAAAGCCGGGTGACGAGAGAACGCAAGAGCTGTGAAGGGAGTATAAAGGGGTTGTACCCCTATCATGCATTTACAGGCAGCTGCAGCTGCTGCTTCGAAGCATGCAAACAGGGCCTTACGTGATGCACAAATGTGCGACAAGTACTGTACATTTAGAGCTTGGTATAATCAATGTTCATGTCCACAGTGGCCATGATTGATGGATGAAGTGACAGACAGGCTTAAATGTTCTTGATCATGTTGATGCACTGTAGGTACAATGAATATTATAGAGCATTCTACAGGACGCAGTATATTTTTTTCTGCGCCCATTCTCTACATTTGTGTGAACACTAAATCGTTTCACCACTTTAGAGGATTCTCATATAATTCTCACAGGGACCCTTAAAATTATAGACTGGGGTCCCTTGAACCTCCACTCTTGAATGTTGACAGTCAAGGTAAAATCCTAAACAAATAAATAGAATTGTCAAATTGATCACAGTACTCTCATTTATTTTATTATTTTCCGAATAATAGTTGCAATTATACTTATTCTGCACACAAAAACATCAAGAGAGCAGGATGAAATGGTTTGGTGTTGAATACATTGGCATTGTTTTACCATTGATACAGATCAGGACGTGTGGTGCCAAATGACTGCCAGACATCACCAATTAAATGCAAAGAGCGCATGTAAAACCATAGTAATATACAACAAGACCAACACCATGCAGGACAAGCTAAATTTGCATTGTTTTTAACAGTGTGAACACAGGTCATTTGGTTAGCCTATCTGGCTAACAAACGGTAGGTTGTAGGTTCTTGTCTGGTGGATTCTCACAAAAGCTAGTTACTTGACTCAATGACGTACAATATGGCAAAGATCGTCCCCACAATGCTCAAAAGTTGTGACTTTAAAGGTACTCTGAATAATGAATATGCGGTACTGGGATTCATACTTTGTCAAACAATTATTCACATGAAAATTGAACATGGTTTACTGGCTGATCACATGCAGTTTCAAGTGTCATTTTGCTCTTCTATTTGGGAGATGTCCTAATTGTCATGATTTAACATTACGTGTCTCTCCTCCCTTCCCTGAAAACAGCCCAACTACAAACATCAGGATTATCAATGTTATGGTATATCAATTTCATTTAGAGGTAATGAAAATCTTTTGATATATACACGTGTTAAAACAAGTTGACTGACTGGATTAGGTCTACTCGTGTCAACCATGTCAACTGACATGATTATAAACCTGACAAAATGAGAAGAAAGCAGAATGGCAAATGTTAAACATCCTCTTACTCGAGAAAACATACGATTTCTACATCAACGTCATCGCCACAATTATCAAACAGTTCACATTTAGTCCCAATCGTACCTGAGTTACGATGTAAACAACATCACATTCTTTAGCCGGCGGCCATTTGCAAACATTCTGAATAAGTAGAGCTAAGTGCCAAATGATCATACGATATTTATCATCGAAACAACCTGTTAATTTCCAATTAGTTTTGTTTTTAATTATAAATATAAAAAAAATAACCTTAAATGACATACATGTTATTTAGTGGTTGCAAATTCGAAAACAACACCATAGCTTAGCATTTTTCTAGACTCTTTTCACAGAAGATTGCATAGTGGACTTCCGGTTGTCTTTTGTGCGGTTGATGTTCGTATGTCTGACTAAGAATCAGGTAAATGTCGTTCATGGGCTCATTTTTTCAGGATTTTGTCTTTCACTGTTGGATAAATGTGATGATTTACAAGATGATTTATGCAAACCAACGTATTCTATTTGAGTCATTGATCAAAACTAAGGCCCGTAACATGGAGATAGGATATAAACTTGAGAAAGGCATGAGTCCAACTAAAGATCATTTCATCCGGACCACAAATGGGTGTTACTTTTCTCTTCTAAAGATACCGAACCTTAAAATAACGAAGATAAGATTTTCCCAACAAATGAAGAAACTATAGGGTTAAAATATTAATAGCATGATTTCTTATTTTTCACATCTAACACATCCAAGGGACCTAATAACTAATACATACCAAGCTTACATGAGTAATACAGAGGCTGATCCATGATCATGCTGAGTGTCCATGATAAAAAGTACCCACAGACAGAAGTTATTATTGAACCAAGGTCATGTTGATGATACTCATGATAAAAGTATTGAAATTATGTTTGAAAGTCAGAGGGTCCTTGTCATTACCGAAATGTTTGAAAATTATGATCTTTTAGGTGTCCCTCAATTCAAATGCTATAAGCACAAACCTCCAGGACTTCAGCAACCATTAGATTTCTAACTTGGCACAATAACAATACAGTTTCAAAATATTACAGTGATGGCCATGGAGAGATCAGACAGTCTGACAGCAATGAAGTCTTTGACAGCTGACTATGGTGAAGATTCCGATGAGGAGATGCCATCAGCTGTAGACAACATCTCAGATGAAGAAACACAAGAAATTCTAGCTAAACAAGAGCCGCGACCATCTTCCTTACCTAACCTACAAAATGATAATTCCAACTCTAGTGTCCCTGAAAAACCACGCTTGGCGAAACGGAGTAAGTACATGAAGTACATATGTAATGATAGATTTTCTTCGTATCTTTCTTGGAGGTGCGGGTGGCCCAGTTGTCTAACGCATCACAATTTGCTGTGCAGATTTGCATCCCTTTGGCACACGAGAAACCTGTGATTGTGGGTTCAAATTATGTTTCTAGGTTCGTCAGCACCACACCCATGCTCTTGGGTTTCGTTTAGGTGGTAAACCTCTGAAACCTGCACTTCAGGCTTTCCTCCCACATAAGCTGACATGCTGTGATAAAACTATGATAACTGGAATACTGTGAAAAATAGCATTAAACCCAACTCACTCACTATCTTCATGGCTGACACATGGAACATCAGAGTCAGTCCATCCTGGAATGATAGAATTATCATTACCCATGATAGCAATTGGCTAATGACACCTGTTTTGACAAATGATTTAATTTAAAAATTGTAGATAAAAATGTATACATGGTAATGTTGACTACGACTTGAGTCCATGTTTAGAGTTTTCACTATTTTCTTCAACAGCCACCAAGCTTGTGTCCTATGGACCAGATGATCAGGAAGATGAAGAAAGTCAATCAGAGGAAGAAATAGAGGAAGAGAGCACAGATCTTTTAGATATACAGGTATGTTCTTATACACGGGAGCCTGTTGAGAGCTCAGGATCGATTGACTGCTCTTGGTTTAACAATATCAAACGTGAAAACATGTTCCCCATGTTATACCTGATCTCATGCTGTTACGTCCAACTAGTGTCTTGGGATTGTTTTACCAGTTGTGTGTTTTCCTGCTCACGAGTTATTGTCGTTTACGACACAAGGCAGTGTTTTAAATGTGTATTTTATTTCAATGTTTAGCATCAGCTTCCTCGTGCATGTCTCACGGTTGTAGTCTTCCCAGGCTAGGGTATCTGCGCCCACCTTTCAGTCGTGGGATATATGCATAGTGTGAGATAGGATAAGTTTAAAATTTACTGTTGGGTGAGCAGAGGCATATGTCAAACAAAGTCAAACAATATTTGGAACTGGCAGAATGTATTGCAGAGACTGGCAAGCCCATCACTGAATTTCTGTAGATTTTGTTCAAATCGCCACAAATAGCTGTAAGATTACTGGTGCGATGTCAAACAATAATTGCTCAATTACTCATTTATTTTATTGCCCTGATGTCTTTATCATGCTAATGTGAGTCAGTTTGACATGTTGAAGGAGTAATTTTCCCTTTCTTTCAGAAAACTGATATTGAAGAAAAGGTTTTAGACACTCAAGATGCATGTAAGTACTGTTCCATCCATTGAACATGTTACAGTTGTCTGATTGTTATGTGGCAGTATATACATGGTACAGTGTAAGTTTAGTTCTTATGATTGTTGGTGGCAGCAAACTGGGGCACATGTAAAGTAGAGTGACCTCCCTTAGTTGTTTACAGTTGTCAGTTCACTTACTGGACTGACCACCTCATTTGAGACACTTTGCAAGATAACTGTTTCTTGAAGGCTGGTTTGCCTATATAAGAGCGAGACGAGGCCGATTTGAGGCCACCAGTCCAGATGGGATACCTATCTGAATGTGCTGACTTTTCTGCCTATTCCAACACTGTTTCCTCGATTCAAGAACAGAACATTTGCCTCACTAAAGATTTCAACTGTCAAAACTCTGTAAAACTGAAAATCTGCCATTGTATAGTGTTGTATCTGTATTGTAAATAGTTGTGTGAGTTGTTTCTCACACTGTGCCATATACTGAGTGGCAGAGCATGTCATTCAAATCTGTTCCCCCATACATTCCTTAGCTTCAGTTACGGTACTAATCAAACATTTGTTCTATTGTAAACATTGCCTATTGTCTGACAGAAATTAAGCATGGAAGTCAAGGGGTCCTTATCATAACCCTAATGATAAAAGTTGAAATTTTGGGGGGTATCTAGGTTTGAATATGATAGGTACACACCTCTAGGACGCCAGGATCCTTAATTTCAAACATTGTCTGATTGTAGACATTTGTAGACATTTCTTTGTTGGTTTCTCATGTTGTAAAAGGGGCCACGGGTGGCCCAGTTGTCTAAGATGCTGTTAAAAGACGCCATGATTAACTGTGCAGAATTGCGTCCTTTGGGCATGCCAAAAACCTATGATCATGGGTTCAAACCCCATTTTGCTTGTGCTTGTGTGTTTCACCAAAGTGGAAAATGTCCTAGACCTGCAACACTTTTGGCTTTCCTCCCACACTGAGCGGACATGTCATGCTATAATTGGAATACTGTTTAGAACGGTGTTAAACCCAACTCACTCACTCACCCATGGTGTACACAATGTATGTTACAGGAAGAAAGTATTGAATAAATGACTAACTCATCACTCTCTCTTGCAGCTGCTCTGTCACGGAAAGTCCGGAATCTGTCGGCGGAAGAAATACATATCCCTCCTGAACCTGCAGGACGATGCTCAAAAGAATTACAAGTTTGTGTGATATTTTCATACTTTGTCCTAGTTACAAGTACTGTATTTTAGGTAATGTCATACAAAGGGTACACCAGTATATAAAGCATGATTGTCGTGCGAGCTGCTTTAACAGAGGATCTGTTGGTTACAATGTGTGCCCTGGCTGATTTTGAGACAGATCTTCACTGACTAGAATACAGTTCAAGGTTCTTGTATTGGTTTTTGATGCAAGACAAAGACTAGCACCAGCCTTTCTTCAGGAACTTTTGCTGGAGCAGCTCCTTTACTATGGAACACTCTATGACTCAATTTCAGAAGAAATCAAGAACCGACCACATTCCAATCACAACTTTATTCACTTGTTTAATGAATCATATCCAGTCAAGTCCCGTTAATTTGACATGATTGGTTGCAGTTGATTATTTTTTATTTACGAGTATGTCAGATAATCAAAATTATGTAGTATGAACGTTCTTGATAAAAAATTGGACAACTACATGAAAGATAACAATAATTAATAAAAAATAATTAAAAATAAAATATTCAGTTCATGTTATATTGTTAGCGGAATATGTTTTCTAATCATGCAACCTCTAAAGCTTCACACAGGGCATTCCAAGCTACTATTACGGACTGTCTGACTGATTCAAAATACTTCTGAAAGCATAGTCTGGAATGGAAGTCACCAGTTTGAAACTAGTGCCACCTCCTAGTTATTTTATCACTCAGTCAAAGTTGGCGAAAGATCGTTCTGATATGACCTGTAATAGGATATCCTCAGCTTTAGTGAGAACTTGTATCTGATTTTAGTGAGACTGAGGTAATGTAAACATGGGATTAATCCTGTTTTGTTTATTTAAGGCATTAATTGTTTATAGTTAAGTGTGTTTATCTTGACGGCCATTGTAATATGTAGCTACTAGCCAACTCATCTCACATCAAAACACAGGGCTGTGTACTCGTGGGGAGTGACCTTGGAGTATGCTGATCTTTATTGTATAGTCATTGATTTCGGAAATTTGTTGCAAATTAGGGGAGTTGGAGTGGGAGTGTGTCAAATTAATGAGTCTTAACAACACTGATTAAATCAGTTCCCATAATTAGTGTCAGAAAAAGAGGATTGTCGGATTAACAAGTGTCGGATTACCAAGACTTGAGTGTATGGAAACTCACTCTTCTTATGTTTGTGTCATGCAGTCTCAAACATCACTTTCGGGCCGTTAATTTTATGGGGATTTTTGCACTTTACTAATGTTTAGTTATTTATTGTTATTCTCGGGGCGGTCGGGTAGCCTAGTGGTTAAAGCGTTCGCTCGTCACGCCGAAGACCCGGGTTTGATTCCCGACATGGGTACAATGTGTGAAGCCCATTTCTGGTGTCCCCCGCCGTGATATTGCTGGAATATTGCTAAAAGCGGCGTAAAACCATACTCACTCACTCACTCACTATTGTTATTCCCTGATTGTGTGTATCACTCTTATGCACTCATCCACTGGTTTACCTGACACTTGATTATTTACATGCTGCTGTGATATAGCTGGAATATTGCTGACAAACAACATTCACTCTCTCACTGCAGATTTCTAAATGTTGTTTCACAGGATATGTTATCCACAGCTCACAGTTTCTATTCTTTTACTATACCATATTAAATACTATAAAACATGTCATTTTCAGGAGAAGATTGCTCGAAATTATGAACGCATGATGAAGAGTGGCTACAGCCACAATGTGATGATTCAAAAAAGAAAAGATTTTAGAAATCCCAGGTGAATGTCTTAACTGAATTGTTTGTGTTTTTTGGGTTTACAGAATTTTGGCCCGAAAAGTCGGGTTGGTAGGTTACAAATAAATAAATAAAAACATTCCAATTCTGAATATTTCAATTTGTGAAATTTAATTTTTTTGGAGTTGGTGGATTCGTAAACGACTTTTAAAAAAGTCTGACATGACAAAATGGTTGGCCATTCCAATCTGCAAGCTATAATTACAATTTACAAGTTATAAGCATGGCCCTGTTTGAAATTCTCGGAATTGTGTCTGTGTCATGATGAAACACAACTACTGCAGGATTGAGTTAGATTATAATGCATGGGTTCCAGACAAGTAACAATTTTTTAGTAAGGCTAATTCCAATCTGCCTGTACTGTAGTTTCATGTGCACATATTTTGACCTTGCACTTATTTTAAATGTATGATAAAGGGATGTCACTGGTGTAATGATAAACGAATGATTACATTTGTATCCTGCCCACCTAACTGCCATGTATTATATTCATGCTTCACTTGAATCACCCCAGTCAACAGTTATTACATTTTTTAATTGTATTTGTTGAGGTTCACTGTGACAGTGTTGATGGTGAGTTCATTGAACGATGTAACAAAGACTAATGCATACTTTTTTGTTTCAGCATATATGAAAAGTTAATAGAGTTTCTGCACATAGATGAAAAAGGAACAAACTTTCCTCCAGTAAGTTGTCTTCATTTTAATCATGTGTTCACCTCTCTTTAACAGGGTTAGCATGGCTGGACACTGCCACAAGTCTGTCAGTAATCAATCTCATTAAAATCCGATCTTAGTTCTCGCTATCTCTAAACAAAGATCTGAGGACACCCCATTACGAGTCACGTCAGAACGGCCTTTCATCCGACCAATCAAAGCGGTGCTTACCAGATCATGAAAATGACAGTCGGAATGTGTTTTCTAATCATGCAACCTCGAAAACGTGAACATGAGGTATTCTGAACGACAGTTACGGCCATGACTCATTCTGTCAAAATTATCGTCTATCTCCCGCTTCCGGGGGATAAACATTTGAACGGAGGAGGCATTGCACAGTATGTGGGAAGCACTGCCATACAATCTCAACCACATATAATGCTTTCCGGAACGTTCGTCTGTTTAGTTTCCAAAATTTTAATCGAGAACTGTGTCAATATATTTTTAAGCCTAGTCTGAAATGGAAGTCGCCAGGTTGAAACGAGTGCCGTAAAGCTCGAGAAAGGTGCTTTCTAATTGGCTGATGTCGACTTCTTGTTAGTCATTTCCGTGGTTGGTCAAAGTTCGAGAAAGGTCTTTCTGACGTGACCCATAATGGGATGTCCTCAGATCTTAGTTTTGCGGCAGCGAGAACTTAGATCTGATTTTAATGAGATTGGTCAGTAAAAGATCAGTGAAACTTTGGACGGAGTAGTATCTCCAAGAGTCTAGTTACTTTTCATAATCTGGGTTAGATTTTCGGCAACCTTTGCCTGTCATAAGAGGCGACCAATGAAATTTGATGTTCAGGCTTGCATTGTATCTCAGTTGTGTTGATCGGTGCTCATGATGTGGTCAAACATCACCTAGGGTTTACCTGACACAACCTTCTATGGACAGAGAGGTCTCATATTTGTGTGAGGGACATGATGATAGGTCCGATTTTAATGTGGTTGCCTCAGATTGGTAGGTTTGTAGATGATGCTAGTTGTCAGGAATGCTGTCTATCAAACATGAATTGAAATGAGTTTTTTTTGTTTTTCAGGATATTTTTAATCCTCAGATGTGGACTAAAGAATCTTTTTATGATGAATTGGGTAAGTGTTTTCTTTTTCTGGTTCGTCAAATAAATATCAACATGATATGACATAAAGGGAAAATATGGAACAATGTGGTTGATATACCATGATCTCAATTGATGTAATGGTTGATACACATCGCAATGTGAGGCTGAAGTGTAGGTTGATTGGCTTGTTTTAGAAAATATCCAGTCAGCATCAGTGTGGTGTGAGTGAGTAGAAGTTTTGTTGACCAGTGACTTTTTGAAGCTAAGTTCCTTCACTGCTCCCACAGGTTAAGACTGAAATGCTGTTAGAAGCAGTTTTTGAAAATAAGCGCCTGCTAGTAGTAGTAGGCCCGTTGCAGGTAGATCTTGTATCGGTCTTGTAGTTCAAAATTTGTATTATGGTCAGCAGTGAATTTATGTGTCGATTTATTTGTCACAAAAAGCCACATTTTTTTAGTGATAGCCTGAAGAGTTTAATCAGGGCCTGCAGGTCCTAAAGTCTGTGGGTCCTGATGGCGGCCTGGCAAGTGCTTGTATTTAAAACACTGGTTGAAAGTGGTATTAAACCCACCTCACTCTCTCCCTCATTCTAGGGGTGAAATGATACAGCAAGATCACGATATGATACATATCACGTTACAAAGGTCACGATAAGATAGGTAGCGCGTTATGCATATTTAGTCTTATTTGCATCAAATCGTGTGGAAATGTCTTGACCATGTTGACTATAAATATTTCAGAGCAGGTTCAAAAGGAAAAGCTAGCTATAGACACATGTTCGTTGTGTCTATTTCTATTAGTGAACTTAATTACAACACATTTTGCAATTTTATCTGACAAAAATACCTGGGGTCATTAAACGGGCAGTAATGTATTTTAGAAAGTGTGTTGTCTTGTATCGAAAATGTAAAAAATATATTGTGTATCGTATCAGCGCATGAAAACTCACGATTTCACCTCTAACTCATACCACTGACAAAAACACCCGGGGTCATTAAACAAGCACTAATGTATTTTAGAAAGTGTATCGTCTTGTATCGAAAGTGAAAAAAATATATTGTGTATCGTATCAGCGCATGAAAACTCAAGATGCAGCGATGTATCGGTTCACCCCTAACTCATACACTCCCACATGTTATACCGCCTGACTCCTTCTACTGCAGATAAGACCCAGAAGAAGGAGATGGAGAAGCGTGAGAAGGAGCGGAAGGACAGAACCAAGGTACCGGTACTGATGATTTCCATTTCCATCTTTCACTAAGGGACGGACCAGGGTCCTGTTCCATAAAGCGATCTTAGCGCTAAGACTGTTGTAAGTCTAGGCACAAGTATGTGACTCTTGCTTGACAATTGTATGGCGATCTATCCTGAAACAGCACTATTCAGTATCATAAAGCAGTTGTTATCCATACATTGTGTCAACTTTGTCATCCATCAGCTTCAACATGTTCAAAGAAATGCCTATCAACATTATATATATTATATTATACAAGTTACAATACCCATAGCACAAAGATGGCTTTGTGAAACAGGACCCTGGGATATGCATTGAAAAGAAATTACAGATTTTTATTATTTATCATTATATAAAATTAACTGTCAAGGAGTGACAGAATGTTTTCCTGAGTTCACAAAACATTGATCTCACCTGGCAATTTTGTGTAATGATTACTGGAACTGATCATTTTTCTGAACCTGTTAGGGGCTGTCAGGTAGCCTAGAGGTTAAAGCGTTCGTTCGTCACGCCGAAGACCCGGGTTCGATTCCCGACATGGGTACAATGTGTGAAGCCCATTTCTGGTGTCCCCCGCCGTGATATTGCTGGAATATTGCTAAAAGCGGCGTAAAACCATACTCACTCACTCTGAACATGTTCAAGGCTCAGTTCTATTGTTTTATGATTCTAAGCCCTAAGCAGGTAACATGCTCTGTCCTGTGCTGTGTGCCATCCCATAAATAAATACAATCAAAATACACTGTTTAACATGGGGTAGAGGGTAAGCATGTGTAGAGTTCCTGGGCCGGAGTAGTTACTAAATACAGTGATCCCTCAATATACCGCTGTCATCGGGGTCCAAGAAACCGACCTTGCGTTCTAGGAAAGAGCCTTGTACAGATATTCATTGCTGAGGTTCACATTACGTAATGATGGTAGTGAATGGAACAGTGGCGCAATTATTTCAGTGGCATGGGACATGTAGATCTATGTAACACTGATCGTGGACGATGATTCAAAATGCATGCATAAAAAAATAAAAATACTTTGTGTGTAAATTAATCAAAGCAGTCTGTATTATTTTATGACTGGATGTTATACATGTAGAATCTAAATAAGTGTTTTTCGGAAGAAAATTGGTCCGATCGCCTACCTACTCACATTATCGATCGATGACAGTACATTACAAAGCTGAACAAGCCTTGTGATTGCTGGTAGAGCGTACAGAGGATAAGGTTGTTACAGTGTGTGACATGGTGATTGTGTGTCATGTCCATTCAGACTGGGTTGTTGTCATCGCAGACTAAAGGAATGGAGGTATACATGCATGGCTGATTTTGTGAGGTATCACGACAGCATGGATGGTTATCAAAAACTGATTGGTCTGACCCACGCCCAGAACATCAACCATGATGTGACGGGAATATTGCTGACTGCTCCACTTTAATACACAGGCTGATCCAGAGGTGGGGGTGGGGGTGTCTGGGTGTGGGTGTGGGTGTGGGTGTGGGTGTGGGTGTGGGTGTGTGGGTTGGCTTGGATTGGATTGGGGTGCACATGTTTTTCTATTCAGATATCTGACTTGTTAACTGCGCCCTAGGTCAAGTGGCCCCGCTTTCAAAAACCTGAATCCATCACTGCTAATATTTTCAGGCTCAGTGATTTTGTGGTTGGTTTGGTTGGTTTGTTGTTTCATGCCGCACTCAGCTATATTCCAACTATATGACGGCGGTCTGTAAATAATCGAGTCAGGACCAGACAATCCAGTGATTAATATCATGAGCATCGATCCACGCATTTGGGATCGATGACATGTATCAACCAAGTCAGCAAGACTGACCATCCAATCCCGTTAGTTGCTTTTTACGACAAGCATGGGTTGCTGAAGACCTATTCTACCCCGGAATCTGTGGAATATTGCTGACTGAGGCATTAAAGATTCCCAATGGACCTAGGTGACTAATGATTCTAAAATCATTGTAAATGCCACTCCATATTTTGGTATTATTGTCAAAAAAGTGTGACAAGTACAGAGTGCTCATAATGCTGTACAGTGCAAGTCTCATGGGTCTATACAACTTTGCACATTTGGATAGATCCTACCACCGTTAATGCAAATATTGTACTCAGAACATCGAAAGTGGCGCGTGAATAAGGTTTATTTGCACTATTGTCCTGTCTTTATAGACAGTGCAACAGTGCTATGTTTATGTTTTCACACTTTTTTTTCTCGGCCATTATATTGTACATCACATTGGCCACACAATGATGTGAGAAAAATCTGGTATTTTTCATGATACTTGCACATTAACGATTTGTTTCTGTCTTTACCATTGCCATTTCAGATCGATTTCATTGTTGGTTCGAAAAAGGTTTCTTCCTCCAGCGACGGTTCAGCACCTGGTAGGTTTAACTGGAAATTACAATGAAACTGCAATAATGATTGTGTATTTGTATATTTAATCAACACAAATGTGATGTGACCCAAGCACAAACTGACAGGACAATATCCTCAGCATGTTGACTTGCTGACATTGTTGGAATACTGTTCATCGAAGTGTTAAAGTCACTCACCTACCCATCTATGAAGACACTCACTCACTCACTCACTCACTCACTCACTCACTCACTCACTCACTCACTCACTCGTAGACAAATATATCTCTTTCATTTCCTTTTGGTTTAATCCCTGACTGCATCATACAAAAGATGTTAAAAGGCATTTACCCTGCCTGGTGCACGGCATTAAGAAGCTAAAACAAGGACTGGTCGGCTTGGGGTCAATATACTGAGTCGGAGTGGGCATATTCATGTTAAACTGTGGCATGGTATCTCATGCAGGCTTACTATAAAACCAACATTAGTCTGTGCTAGTACAAGCAGATAAACAGACAGACAGACAGACACACACACACACACAAACACACAGAGACACACACACACACACACGTCGCTACATAAGTGCAATAATCTTTATCAACATTAAACCCCATTTCACCTCATATTTAATTTAATCAGTTGCATCTTTCTGTAACAAGAGCTAGTGATTTCAAACCAAATCCTGTTGTTTGTTATTTGTTGTTTTCTTCAGATGAAAAGAAAAGGAAAACCAAGTGGGACAGTCAGCCTCAGGTGTCAGCAGTCCGGTCGTCGAACATGCCCAACCCATCTGTCGTAACCTTGACAACTTCAGCAACAGGGACTAAGACAACAGTTATATCAGCCGTCGGTAGCATTACAAAAAAGTCAAGTCAAAAATGACAGTAGTTCAATTCATGAAACTATATACATTGCATAACCTCGTTAGCTCACCTGATTCAGGACATGACCAGTTAGCTCACCTGGCCTGGATGGTTAGGACAGATGAAATCACCTGTTATTTGACAGCAATGTCTGTTATTCATATTCATACAAGAGCTGAAGTTTCATAAAACTTGAAAATATAACTCCTGCATTTATCTCGAAGATTCATTTACTGTGCTATAATATCTAAAGCAATATCATCGTTTCAGCCTCAGTGTGTGAGATACAACTGAGAATATCAAACTGTAAAAAAACTCAAGAGGATATCAAACTGTGTCACATGCTTTGATGCAGATTTGTATAGAACAGTATTGTGAAGAGAGTAATGTATGTACATCATACGGGTTAACGTAATACTGAGATCCAAGTTTAGTACCCATGCTTCTGTTACCCTAAGCCAACTCAATCCAGTACCCAGTTTTGTATAGATTAAAGAGTGACATTTTGGGTGATATTTGCCAAAAGCAATAATGCTAGTACATCAGTTCTGACTCGCAGCTGAAAGGTTCTGGTAACCATGGAAACAAACTATAGCATGGCAATCAGAACATTAAGCAAAATACTTTCAAGCGTAGGTTGCCATGATGCCTATATGTGTATCAAGAGTATTCTCTTGGTTTAATTTCCTAGCAAGGTCATGTTGGGTTGATCTAGAAACTTCAGGGAGCAGTGTACTTTACAAGGTGCACTTTATTGGATTTCAGTCAGGAGGATCAAACTGATGCTGATAATCTAATTCGCCAACACTTTACCTCAGGACCACAGGCGCTGTCACAAATAATAAATGCTTGTTCATCAGCACCTGATTGTTTACCTTGCTGTACATGTGCAGCAGCAATTTTCTCCACTAAACTCAAAACTAGATAAAAATCGTACAGAGTTTTCTCACAACTAGCCCTAAGTATCGTAAAGAGGTGCCTAATCCTCTTGATAGTATTGGGATGATTGCTATCTTACCGAAAGAGGCACACAAGATCTGTGAAGCGAGAACCACAGATGGCAGCCTTAGTCAATTCGTGCTATAAGATGTCGATAAGCTGCGTCCAGTTAACTGCATTGTTACCATGGTAACCAAACTTTGATTTCTTTTTACAACCCCTTCTCTACATCCCTAACAATAAGTAATTGTGATTTCGAAGTCCTGATTAAGTGGTTTATGATCTGTAGTTTGTCTGTGCTTGTGAGTTGAAGCAGTCATCATCTACTTCCTGCATCAATGACAGCTTTCCTCCCACATTTAGCTGACACATGCTTATAGAACTGTGAGTAACACTGGTAAAAACAATGTTAAACCCAACTGACACCACACCACACACCCACATCCCCATCATCAGTGCTAGAGATGTCTCATCCTTCAAACATTGGGAGTTTCTGTTTGAACATAAGTGTTTTCATTTGGGTACAAATATAGATGTGGGACACAGTTAGCCAGAGCTGTGCAGAGTTACATCCCTTAGTTGTGTCAGAATCCCCTGATAATTGTTGACCATCATTTTCTGTGAACAGTTGGGTTAATGCAGTTGCTTGTAAAGCAAAAGGCTGAAGTCCGGTTCCCAACAATTCCACTCACTTTTCAAGGATAACCAAACTAAATGAAGCAGATAGATTGCTACAGGAATAACATCATCATTTCCTCCTTGGACACAAGACTTGTATGTAAAGGCCAATTATGTCTAGGCTTGGGATTATATTTTTGCCGATACAAGTATTAAAATATATTTTAGTTTAAATTTTGGCCTTGTGTACTGTTTGCATGTGTTTTGGAGATTTTCCTGAAACTGTTTTGCAGCAGGGATCCTGTTTTATATCCTGATTTCTGGAAGCAAGTGTTCCATTCATTAATAATTACAGCCCTCTGGAGATTTCTGGGCCAAATCGGTTCTCAGTACTTAATGCTTGTCATCGCAGACTAGGGGCGGTCGGGTAGCCTGGTGGTTAAAGCGTTCGCTCGTCACGCCGAAGACCCGGGTTCGATTCCTGACATGGGTACAGTGTGTGAAGCCCATTTCTGGTGTCCCCCGCTGTGATATTGCTGGAATATTGCTAAAAGCGGCGTAAAACCATACTCACTCACTCACTCATCGCAGACTAAAGGAATGGAGGTATACATGTATGGCTGGTTTTGTGAGGATGGTTATGGATGGTTATCAAAAACTGATTGGCCTGACCCACACCCAGAATATCAACCATGATGTGATGGGAAATATTGCTGACTGCTGCATAAAATAATATTCACTCACATGACTCATTTTGTGTGAATGGTACTCATAGGTAACCAATAGCTTCAAGTGGACAGGGAAGACCTGCCAAGTCTGTGGGAGACAGACAGCTGTTGGGACATCACTGAGTATTACAGCTGTTAGGATATCTTTAGATGTCGGTATCATTGCCACTCACTGTAAATATGACCATTGACAAGTCGACCTGTACATAATGTTAGAAATCAAGTATGCCTGTTATAATTTCATTGTATCATCACACGATTGCTGTACAAAAACATGTCTCTGTCCACAGGGCAGAATATTTCAATATGAAATAAATTATTTCAAGATGTATTGATTTGTGTCATAACTGATCTCGAGGAGCCAGGCTTTTTTAAAACTCGGTTTACAAATCTGCCAACGCCAAAAAATTGAAACAGTGCTTTTCTTATTCTGGCGACCAGACGTTAGTACAATGTTAAAAAAAACCATCTCATTTACTGTCCCTTTAAACAAATTAATTAGAATACCACATTTGAAAGCTTTTCAAAATGTATCTTAAAATCTACTTCTGAGGAATTCAAAAAATGTATTTAAGTTTGATTTCTTTACCATTTTTCTTTTTCTTTTTTCGCCAAAGATCTGTAAACCAAAAAAACCACATCTGGCCTAGGCTAAAAAAATAATAGTCTTGGTTCTCAGGCCCGGCCCACATCATCAGAAAGTCTGTTGCACATTTTGTTTTTATTTCAATTTAACAAAACAAAAAAACTAATACTTAAAAACAATGTGATCCGAAATAGCACACAGTTACTTCCCTTTACATGTGCACCACTTTACTGCGTATCTTGTGTTATTGTCATGGCAACAATAGGAGTTTGTATGCTTGTTTATGTAGGGAGGCCCTTTCCCAGGTTGATGGTACACAACAATATTTGGATACATACTAGTTTGAAGAAACAAAAAACAAAACCACTGCCTGCACTATAATTTCAAAAGTCATTGCCTGACAAACTATTTATTTTTTTAAGCCCTTACCATCCTGCATGGTTACCCAAGAGGATGACGATTGAGGCAGCCTGTGCACTCTGCATTCACTTACCTGGTATAATTATCTGGGGAGGGGCAGTCGGGTAGCCTAGTGGTTAAAGCGTTTGATCGTCACGCCGAAGACCCGGGTTCGATTCCCGACATGGGTACAATGTGTGAAGCTCATTTCTGGTGTCACCCGCCGTGATATTGCTGGAATATTGCTAAAAGCGGCGTAAAACCATACTCACTCAATCTAATTATCTGGAATACTCCTTCTCTTGATAAACCGTGAAGATCGGGTTAGAAAATTGTCTTTAGCAACCCATGCTTGTTGTATCCATGTGGCAACTGAAGGAATCGGGTGATCAGACTCTCTGCACGTCATTGTATCCCAATTTATTAACAGCCCACCGTCATATAGCTGAGTGTGGCATTGGACAACAAACAAACAAACATCTTTTAAAAACACATTCCATTTACATAGTACATCTTTTATGGCATCTCCCCACAAACATATATAACTTACAGGATTGAACAGCTTACTTTTGGAGGGGGGTTACGGGCGGAAGTCTTTCCAAATTTGATTGTGTACTCTATCCCCTCTTTTGAACGGACTACCAACGCACTTTCAACCACTGGTTGTGTGGTCCAGACTAAACCATACACCTGCATTAAAGCTAAGCACTGATTACTATATCTTTACATATTAAACATAAATCATATCCTGTATATATCTTCTGAAACATTTGTTTCTTATGCAAAGTGACGTTCTTGTTTTCGAAATACTGACAGGAAAACTGATCACCTAAAGACATGTTTTAGGTCTGTTCCAAAGCATTTTTTGGATGTATCTTGTATTTGACATTAGTCTGTATCCTGTACCGATACTAGCGCCAGGCCAAGACTTACCACGAATCAGAAAAACCAGGCTTTAGGAAGATTGCATTGGGAAACTTTTATGAAGTGATGTTTCTTTTGCAGTTCAGTATATTCAGAGCTGCTTAAGTATGTAAATTCTAACAAGTATAGTAAGCAAATAGTCATTTTTTTATATTTTTCATAATCAAATCCTTACTTCATTGTTATAGGAACTTCTTTTGAACACGGGGGCACAGGTGGCACAGGTGTCTAAGGCGCCGCAATTCGCTGTGCAGAGTTGCGTCCCGTGGGCACGCCAGAAATCTCTGATTGTAGGTTGGAATCCCGGTTCGCCCCGATTATATTTCTAGGTTTGTCAGCACCATACCTGTGCTCGTGGGTTTCACCGAAGTGATAAACGTCTGAGACCTGCATCACTTCGGGCTTTCCTCCAACATTAAGCTGACACGCCACGATATAACTGGAATACTGTTAAAAGCGGCGTTAAACCCAACTCACTCTTTTGAACACACTCTGAAAATATTCAAACAAAATGTTCAATGGCTTCTGAGATGAGAACGGTGTGGAGGCAGTTTTTATTCCACTAAACTGAGACTCTGCAGCAGCTATTTTGAAGTTTACAAAATGAAAAGTTAACTTTGTAGCTTGGGACAAACAGAACAAGTTATGTGAAAATGATATTGATATGTTCAGTGGATTTTGGAGTAGAGATTTTAAGTTTCAGAGATAAGGGATGGATGACGACCTATAATATAAATAGCTCACATTGATGATGTCAAGCCAGGTGAAGCAAAAAACAGACACTTAGTCTTAAGCAGTCTATCATTAATTGTATGGCTTAAATTACTTTATATCTTCAATTTTTAAATATAACTCTAAGGACAGCAACATAGTTCATAATGTCCATTTTCTGCCTCACAAATGTTATGTACGCTTATGTCTTAACTTCTGTATCAGTACCGTAGCTGGCAGGGGGGGCTCTTGCCCCCACCTGGATTTTTTTATAGAAACAGTTTTATTTGACTCATGAAAATACAAGTTGGGGACAAGTGGAAGTTGTACAAATATTTGCCCCCCTTTGTCAAAAAAAAGTTGACTACGGCCTTGTGTATGTTTGAAAATATCGGTATTATTATATGACAATGTGTATTTTTCCATCAAGTACTAATTTTGCAAAATATTGGGTCAAAAGTCCCTTGTTTAATGAAGCATTGACCGTTTGAAATCGCCAACCCTCTTAAAGGGCAAGTTCACACGGAAATGAACCTATTTTTCTTGTACTTTTTCCACATTAAAAGTGTTAACCTAGAAGTGTCAAAGACAAAAATATAAAAATATCACAATTAATTAACATATTTTTCGCATTAAATCGATTTATATTTTTCACATTAACCAAGTGTTCTATTTCCACAACAAAAACACCATGGCTTATGCCCTTTGCAATATGACGTCATTGGTGCCAATTGATAAACATTATGACGTCATCATGCTTTGTTTAGAGCCGCTTCACGTGGTGTAGGTACAGGTGAGTGATTCTAGCGTCTCAGATGCCAGCCAGCATAGTGTTATGCTGAGTCACCACTGCGCCGGAATGTGTCGTAGGCCATGTTGTTTTACCGCAAACTGGTACTTGATATCTTTTGCGTTGAGAATAGACAGGGACCCAGTTGAATTGGCACCAATTACGTCATAATCTAAGGGGGATAACTCAGGCCTGTTTAGCTCGAAAAACGAAGGCCTCATAACGGCATATCATTTTCACACTATTGTGAGCTTCCTACTTTCACTGTGAATAAAATGAGTGTATATTTTCAAACACAGATACTAATTAATTCTAAAATTGCGTTTTGTTTAGAAAAAGATAAAAAGTGATTTTTGCGTGTACACTTCCCCTTTAACAGTGCCTTATGCTTAAAACTAATCCAGCAGGCAGGGTTGAGAAGCACGAAAACAATTCAGCAGGCTAAAGGTTAAAACCCAAGGAGCTGGTTATTTCAGAATCAACTGAAGAAGACAAACACAATTCGCATCCAAATGTTTAATAACTGTACAGAACCTGTGGAGGATACAGCATAAAATTATGAAGTTTGGGACTTTTGGGACAACCGAAAGTCATCTTCACACAACAAGATCACAAGATGGCTGCTGAACATTGATCTCACCAGATCATTGTAAAAACATGGTAGAAGGCAAGTAAACAGTGGTAAAAGGTCGTACAACATAATCATGATAATGGGTCCAAAGTGCATATTGTAATATTGTAATATGACGGACCAAACAGAAAAGGACAAGTCTCTAGATTGCCTGATGTTGTACAAATCGGTTGTATTACAGACAACTATACTGGGTTACAACAAATTGGTAAATATTGTGAAACACAAAGATAAGCACTCTCCTGGAATGTCACATAAAAATATTTAAAAATACAATCTATTAAAATGTATGTATATTATACAAATATATCACAAAAACCTTAAGTGAAATTAAAAAAAAAAATCAGTGCATCTCCGTAGCTCCGCATAACCTATCAGTGCTCTCAACATTATCGAGATAGCTGTTTACATAATTCATAAAGGCAACTTGACACCCTACATACATACCCAACGTATATATACATCACTAGCCCTTTAGGCATCAAACCCATAAAGTACTGAAATGTGCCTTAAACTGTGAACTGGTGCTGTTTGTACCAGGTGACATTTGTCCCAGGTGACATTGTATATCAGGTGGTCACACTTGGTGACTTGACTGATTACGTATCATTGTATAGCTTAGGACGCTGTTCGTATTATCAACCAATGATTTGTCTTGTCAACACTTGATTACTTTACAGGCTGCTGTTGAATAGCTGGAATTTTGCTAAGTCCGGTGTCACACAACCATGATAAAATGCCTTCAATTTGTGATTGTCAATTTCTTAAGGAAGGAATGAACTTGGTTGCCTAACAACCAGGAATGTATGCAGCAGTTACTGGTAATGGTTTTTCAGCCTAGATGGCAGAGATGTACGTGTCAGTTGAAATTTACCAATAAAAATCTGTAAAACATTCAACAACTGATAGCAATCACATGGTAAATCCATCAAACAGAGCCAATAGCTATATACAGTAAACACTTACTATTTTCAAGGGATAACACTGAGCAAATACGGATACGAGACAAAAACCCATGATTTGACCTTGCACTGACCTTTGGATCAGGTGAGCTACAGTATATTCTCATCTATCAGTACATACAAAATAACAAATACAAATCACAAACTGCTGTCCAAACAACAGCTACACACTAGTCTCATAAATTTCCAAACATAAACATGTGTTATAAAAATACCCAATATGAATCCGAATATATGTCCCTTTGTCGTATGATGGGTTAAGTGTTAGTTTGGATAACTGGGGTTTCATTGTACATGGTTTCATTTGAGATGCCCTATTTATCATATAAGGGTAGGTTTCTCGGCAGGATAGAGCCAACGGATAAAAACGATATTCGTTGGGGTCATATGCGGATAGAGATGCAAATATTTTGCCAAGGCTCGCTAAATACAATGTTTATTCCTAATGCAGGATATTTACCATCCCCAAACACACTCGCGTGATAACCTCTATATATCCATCCACCCAACTTGACCGAAGCTGGGCAACAGTGCTGAATGAAGGACACTCCTAGAACCAAACTGTCGCCATGGTTACATTGTCTGAACATAGGATAGAAAACACCTCTCTAAAATGTACATAGTGCATAGTGTCTAATCAGTTCTTTGCCAAATTATTTTGAAATTATCTTGAAAGCAACTACATCTATACAACTCAATTCTGATAGGGATTATTTTAATAATATTATGATACACAAAGCTGATTCTCTTACATAATACGTCAAGTGTTTATTAAATAGAATAACATACAGTAGAACACGGATATAACTAACTACAAGGGACCAGAGAAATCAGTTCGTTATATCCGTTGTTCGTTATACACGTTTTTGCTCGGAAACGTCCGCCATCTTGGATCAACAGCATTAATAATTCTCAATTTCGTGTCTAAACTGATAGCTTTCCTCTTACTATTGCCCGCAATGATAGCATATGCAAGTGATCTGACACTTGGACACAATCTCGTAATTTTTTTATGTTTAATGTTTGTTTTACAGACAAGATTACATGTACAGGTAAGATTAACACAATGCAAATTAAACAAGGTTGATCCGTCACCGCTGATTGTGTTGATTCGCCACTGATTGCGTACAGCCAATTGTCAGTGATACTTGACACTGAGTGAGATTTCCCAGTTCGCTATACACGTCACTAATAAGGGATAGATGGGCTTGTCGGTGATCAGATATCAGTTCGCTGTATCTGTTAGTTCGCTGTAGAGAGTTCGTTATATACGTAAATTTTATATGATATTATATAGGAGATAAATCGGGGATTTTTTAACAGTTCGTTGTATCCGTTTGTTCGCTATATCCGTGTTCGTTATATCCGTGTTCTACTGTACCTGATTTTTGTTTTGATCCCTATAGTTGAGAAGTATATTTGGCAAGATAGATGTCCAGGAATCCTAACTGTCATAAGTGTCAGTGCCCTGTTCCACAAAGCAATCTTACAGTTACCATTGTCGTAAGTGTATGTCAAAGTATGGGCCTTAGCACTAAGATGTTAGAAGAAGTAGATGTATTGTTGCAGGAATATATACCATCAGTAAATAGCATCCAATGTATGGTGCTTCAATGTGCAGTATACAAGTGTTACAATGTATCTTGTATCTTCACACTGGTCTCGGAACCAAGGAGAAAATATATTTGCCTCAGACAGAAATATTAACCTTTTACTTGAAATGCAGACATGGGAGAAATACAACTTAGTCCTGTTATTTGTGATCTATACTTTGATTTTTTCCAAGATTTTGATTTGTTTATTACTTTTACAGATCCTATGAGTTCACAACAATTTCTCACTTCTGTTACCCAGTTTTTAGGAATAAAAGAAAGACTGATTTGGGAAGTGACTTAACCGTTTCACCCCAAGTAGCATGTAGCATTCATATCTTTTTGCAGTTAAACCCAGCCTACCCCCTTTAAATAACTATTATCCTGCTGGAGAATGTTCTCGTTGCAAGTTTGAACATTGGGGATTGAAAAATGTTGTAAAGATGCCTGGACAGTATTGCATCGTCATGGTGATGAGGTATCTGAAAAACACTGCCAACTAGTTTCTATCCAGGTGCATTTATTATTGATTATATCACTAATGGGGGACGATATTTCTTGTGTCCCACATCATGATATGGATTGTTGCTATGAAGTGGTATAAAACCCCACTCACTCACTCACTCAATATGTCATCAACAGGTTATCAGTGGAAACATCTGCTTATGGTTGTGCATTTAGTAAAAAGAGACAGACATATTTGTCAAAGTTTAACAATCACCAGAATATACAAAAAACAAAAACACAAACTATATTTTGAAGACATCCTGGTGTTCTCACAAAACGTTTGCATCATCATGAAAATATAGAAAACGATTCATGGCCACAAGAAATGACCACATTTTAGTAAACTGAGAAATCCCTTAATCTACAAAAATGTAATAAAGAACCTTGATCTATAGTTCATATCGTCAAGGAGATAAGGATACCAAAATATATAATTCACGTTCCATACATTGTTGAAAATATTGAAAGAAACACCATTAACGTCCTTAAGTGGAGATAACTGGTTGGGGATGGCAGACAGAGGTGACGTCGATGTCAACATGGTTGCTATAGCAACATCTGGCGAGAGGATCTCTAATCCCTTAGAGGCAGAGTCAACGTAGTACACACCTTTATCAATTCCTGGAAAAAGAAATATGATGTGTTACGTTCATGATCAATACTTATATATGATATACAATATATATTTCTCCATCACCCATGACTACACACAGCTGATATGTTGTGTAGTGAGTGAGTGAGTGAGTTGGGTTTAATGCCACTTTTAACAGTATTCCAGTTATATCGCGGCGTGTCAGCTTAATGTGGGAGGAAAGCCCGAAATGATGCAGGTCTCAGACGTTTACCACTTCGGTGAAACCCACGAGCACGGGTACGGTGCTGACAAACCTAGAAACATAATCGGGGTGAACCGGGATTCGAACCCACAATCATAGATTTCTGGCGTGCCCAAGGGACGCAACTCTGCACAGCGAATCACGGCGCCTTAGACGACTGGACCACCCGTGCCCCCTTGTTGTGTAATGGTGACATGGGTCTAATCCAAGTCAAGATTAACTGTTTAGGCTGTTTAACTCTAGGAAGTCAAATGAGCCTGAGAAGTCTATTTGTTAAAATGTAAAAAGAAATTCTAAGGGGCAATGAGCCTGAAATAATCACTGCAAACAATGCCCCCTACATGTTGGTATTTTTAGGACAAAAATTCATTAAAGGAAAAATACCAATCTAAGGAAATGTTAATGTTCTATTGTATCTCCAGCTGCACATATTCTTCTATTTGTTTGTTTGTTGTTTATCTCCACACTCAGCAATATTCCAGCTATATGATGGCGGTCTATAAATAATCAAGTCTGGACCAGACAATCCAGTGATTGACATCATGAGCATCGAACTATGCAATTGGGATACGATGATATGCATCAACCAAGTCAGCGAGCGTAACCACCCATTCCCGTTAGTCGCCTCTTACGACAAGCATAGTAGCCTTTTACGGCAAGCATGGGTTGCTGAAGACCTGTTCTACCCCGGATCTACATAGGTGACATATACTTCTACCACTGAAGACTTCTAAAACTTGCAACTTTCACAAATGTGACCACACACTAACCCATTATGAGAAGCTTTTCAGTTTGGATTGTTTTTTAAATCATGTTAGCAGTATTAAACAAGTGTTCCATTAAGCACCCCCTGACCAACAACCAATATAAGTAATCTATAGGAGCGCCCCTACAAGGACTGCAAATTTACATGACAGTCATTATTTTCTTGTGTATATTACAGATGTATTAAAAGAAAACATGATTATTTTATAAAATATTTAAGTATAATCAAGTAAGTTTGTTCCTTACTGCTCAATCTCTGAAAACAAATTTGACTTGTGTATGGTTTCAAAAAGCGACCCTTTTTAAATTTTGTTAGTGTCCTTGGTACATATTAGGGCTAATACGGTATATTATTTGAATTGCTGGTTTGTGTGTAGTTCACGGAGAGTGAGACCCCTCCTCCCTTACCATGTTGTGTCTGACTTCCGTTCTGCACCACGTTGAGGGGGTCGAGGAGCTGACCCAGCTTGTGGACCAGCCAGCGATGGCCTTCTTGTTCCACGGGCTTAAACGTCAGGAAGATTGCTTCCGGCATACGTGTTGGCGGCTTGGCGTAGAACTGGAAGTCTACCGCCACACCTGTTGACAGGAAATTGTTGTCTTCCATGTTAATGATATTAAGTCGTTAAATATTTATTGTCATATATTCATTCAGAGAGTCAAGATTAGCCGTACCTATGTATCCCAATACCTGTGATTTGCTACATGATCTTATGAGTTATACTACTCAAAAGAAGTGAAGGACCACCCGATTCTGTCATATTACTATAATTAATCTGTCATACTACTATAATTAATGTCATATTACTATAATTAATCTGTCATATCACTATAATTAATCTGCCATATTACCATAATTAATCTGTCATATTACTATAATTAATGTCATATTACTATAATTAATCCGTCATGGCATGACATATCCAGTGTTCAACATATCTGACTCAACCTAGTTATCAGTCGACAGAAAGCAAACATACAACATTGTGCATCTTTTTATGGTTATGTAAATAACATAATAATAAAAACAAAAAAACACAAGCATTTGTCATACATTTATGCATCTTTGTTTGTTTGTTTGTTTGTTTATTTGTTGTTTAACACTGCACTCAGCAATATGCCACCTACATGATGGCAGTCTGTAAATAATCGAGTCTGGACCAGACAATCCAGTGATTTGATATCATGAGCATCGATCAACGCAATGGGGATACAATGACATGCATCAACCAAGTCAGCGAGCCTGACCACCTGATTGCGTTAGTCGCCTAACGGCAAGCATGGGTTGCTGAAGACCTATTCTACCCCAGATCTTCACAGGTAGCATTTATGCATCCATATGCATATTATTCATACTACTGAATTATCATACAGAGATTATTACCCTAGATTGTCTGTTATGATTTTACAAGCTAGAGTAATACATGAATTCTTACACGTGCTTCGTAAAATCAGTATGGCACACATGCTAGTGTAATAATTTTCTTTATTCCCCATTATTTCTTAATCCTTTTGAGTTCCCCTTTAGAAAAATGCACTGATCACGTCCGCTGTCTTAGAAAAGCAAACTTGTCGATTGACGTCAACAATCTTTAGTAATGATGTCGTCTCTAGTGTGACGTCATTCTGACCTTATGTTACATTCAAATTTGAATGAACAATGCCGCAAGGATGGGACCAACACACTCTTGGGACTACAAACTGAGTTCGAAACAACCAGGAATTCAACACATCCAGATTGATACATCCAGATTCAATTAGGGAATTTTAGAAATCTCTGGCTTTATCAGTGGATTAGTATCAGCCAGGAATTCAACACATCCAGTTTGATAATCCAGATTCAAATAGGGAGTTGGCTTCATCAGTGGACTAGTATCAGCCTCATAATTACTACTACTGTCATCATCATCATCATCATCATCATCATCATCATGTTTGCCCACCTGGTCTTCCCTGTGAGTCGGTCTCAACGCTGTATCGGATGCACACTTTAGGTGGTGCACCATAGTAGAAGGTCGCTTCTGTTTCAACAGGAATCAGATTGACTCCAAACTTGCAGCTGCCATCTGAAGAATTAATACTTCTATCACACCACATCAATGTCAACATATCAACATTATTATCTGTCACAGAGATAAGGCAATTGCTTATACATGTTGCGTAAATAACGTACATGCCATGCATGACCAATCCGTAGTGTGCGTGCGTGCGTGCGTGTGTGTGTTGGCTGATTGTACTAGTCAGTCTGTTTTAAAGGGGGACTTTCGCCAACACAAACTCCTGTTCCTCTACCTTGATGACAAGCATACTGAGATACCATGCCCCAGTTTAACATGGAATACCCCATTCAGACACATTACACTGACTCCAAGCCGACCAGTCCTTCTTTTTATCCCCTTAATGCCGAGAACCAGGCAGGGTAACAACAAGTACAATCTTTCATTGTCTCTTAGTAAGATGGGGAATGAACCACTGACCGATGCTGTATCCACTAGACCATGGAGCTGCTTCTTTCACATGACACTACAGCACAATATCACTACCTTGAACCACAAACATCAACACTGGTTCCAGTTGTAGTTGGATAGGAGACATAAGTCTGGCACACCAAGACGCAGGTACCCGAGTAGTTTACATCTCACATCCCCCATTGTCACATGTATTCAACCAAGCAACCAAGCAACCAACCAAGCAACCACCCAAGCAACCAACCAACCATCCATCCATCCATCCATCCATCCATCCATCCATCCATAAATCAATCAGCCAACCAACCAACCATCCATCCATCCATCCATCAATCAGCCAACCAACCATCCATCCATCAATCAATCACTACTATAGATTCAGTTTGAGCCCAATTCAGATGACATGACTTAAAATAGCTGTCCAATGAAATTACTCTCATAAATAAAAGAAATTCTGTGCTGCTTTCGAAAAAGGAGTGATGGAGGAGGTGGCATCATTTCCGAGACAAAGCTATGGTTTCAAATGGCTCCAGCATATAATTATATCAGAATGGAGACCTTACACACAGGATAATTGAGGATGAGCCCTAACAAGTGTCTACTTTGGCTTCAGAACAACATTATATAGAACAACACTGAGAAACAGCATCTTACCCTTGTGCCGTTTGATATCAAACATATCAACACTCGTCGATAAAGTCCGAGGAGCATTCAATTGTTATCGACAAGTGTTGATACATTTAATATCAAAAGACACAAAGTTAGATTCTATTGTTCATCTAAAATCATTCTTCCAACTTTTTCAGTTTGTAAACTGTGATAACCAGTGTCTTTAATGTCCTATAGAAGCCATTTTTGGATAATAAATACTTTGATTACCATTTGCCTGATAAAGGTCAGTAACTGTGTGTGCCCAGGGTTTGCTCTGTGCCCGGCAGTTCTTTGTCATATTGGGTTTGTAGATTCCCACTTGGAATTTGCCAGTGTCGTAGATGCTGCCGAAGCGGTCAAAGTCTGTCTGGTTGTAGGTCTGGTACACATACTGCCCCAGTGGATTTGTCGGCGACGCCCAGTTCACCTGGAAACATTACAGCCATTGGGTTAAAGGGTGAGTGAGTGGGTGGGTGGGCAAGTGTTTGGGTGGGAGAGTGGGTGGGGGTGTTATTAGATGGGTGGGTGGGTGATTGAGTGGGAAAGTTGGTGGGTGTCTTCACAGATGGGTGGGCGAGTGATTAAGTGAGAGAGTGGGTGAGTGGGTGCGTTATTAGATGAGTGGGTGAGTGATTGAATGAGAGAGTGGGTGTGTTTATAGATGGTTGGGTGAGTGATTGAGTGAGAGAGTGGGTGGGTGTCTTCACAGATGGGTGGGTGAGTGATTGAATGAGAGAGTGGGTGGGTGTCTTCACAGATGGGTGGGTGAGTGATTGAGTGAGAGAGTGGGTGGGTGTCTTCACAGATGGGTGGGTGAGTGATTGAATGAGAGAGTGGGTGGGTGTCTTCACAGATGGGTGGGTGAGTGATTGAGTGAGAGAGTGGGTGGGTGTCTTCACAGATGGGTGGGTGAGTGATTGAGTGAGAGAGTGGGTGTGTTTATAGATGGGGGAGAATTAATGCATGAGTGGGATGGCTGGGTGGGATGGCTGGGTGGGATGGCTGGGGAGAGAGTTAGCGTTTGGTACTACAAACACTGGCTATCCCCACAACATTGTTTTAAAGGGGACTTCTCACACACAAGCACCTGTGTAGACGTCACACCAACTTACTCCATTCTTGTCCACCAGTGCAATGATTGAACCATCCGCGGCAAACTGGAACTTGTAACCTTGGTTACATGACATCATAGCAGTGCGATCGGTGACCAAATGGTAATCTGCAACAAAGAGAATCATTAATTCATAATGGTGAAACAGCTGCAAACCAGGGGTCCGAACAATTTTAAATCCCAATCGGACATTTGCATTTAGGCCACGCCCCCTTCAAAAAGCGTATTTTAGGACGACACACATTACAAGTTGTTACGTATTCATAATATGAAGAATTATGAATTGTTTCAATTTAAATTGTTAATTCACCGGACAATTAATAACAAATAATATCATTTTAGATAAAAATGGAAAACATACGTTTGTTTCTGTTATAATAACGATCTGTTAACGTAGTGAACGGTCTAATTAATATTCATGAGTTATATTCATGAGTCTGCTCAAGTGTACGCGTTGTAACATTTGGATCGAGACTATTATCCCATATTTGGTTATCACGTGACCTCACGGGAAAAGTGTTTTTTTAAAACTAAAGATTATTTAAAAACAAGACAGATAATATAATCACAAATACTAAAATATCGTTGATAGCAATAGTTATTTGAATACTTTTTTCATCTGTACTTAATTATTGACCATAAAAAAATGATATCGATCGTCACAGAAAGCAAAATGGCGGTCAATCAAGATTCAATATACGACTAGCTACTGAAAACAATAAAATCTGCAAATCCTCATTGAATGTCAACCAAGTGAAAGTCGTTAGCCACGTCTTACAAATGATCGTCCAGACTTTGAGGGTTTGGCAGATCCGCTCGACTGATCTGCATCGGTTGACTGGTTGTCACGCTTTCGCTACTTGTCTGAGGTTACGTATCGTCGCATTGTGAGGATAACGAGGTACATCGATGATGCAAAGTATTTATGTACAGTTGTAAACACCTTTCACTCAAATTAACAAGATGTTCTCAGTAATTAATCAGTGTCAACTCAGTTTATTGCCTATTACAGTGATTGACCGATTGGACTATCATGTCGGTACGATGTATTTACAGCAATCAAACAAACAAAGCTTGTCAGTGTAGATAATCTTCATTGTGTTACAACTGCAGCGGAAACTGCTCAGTCCTAACTGTTGATCATGTCCGGGTAAAATTTAAGAATGTCCGGACAATACTTTTTAAAATGTCCGGACAGAAAAAATTAAATGTCCGGTAAGCAATATTTTCAACCGGACATTTGAGATTCCCAATCGGACATGTCCGGCGCATATGACGGTTTCCGGACCCCTGCTGCAAACTAAGAATTTAATTGTGCATCTATTTCTAAAAACAAACGAAGTACAAAAACATGTTTGTAACAAATTAATAATATACCACAATATTTGATTGGAAAATCATGAAAACAAAAACAAAATAAAAAGAATAAAAATCCCAAATCATCAAAAGGCAACAGTTCCGAACTAGACTTATCAAAATGGAAAATTTCAAAAAGAAATATTGAACGGTTTTGGACTTCTGCTTCGGAGACAGACAGACGGACATGCTGATAGCTACGTGGATGTGGGATGGGTCTCTCCACAATCTATGAAAGGAGGTTGGGGGACTTACAAAAATTCAACAAATACTGATACACCCGGTACAAACAATTTTTGTACCTTTCTTGCATGCAATTATGTACACTGTTTTCACGAAATCTTCAAATCTAATACAATACCAAGAATAGTTGGATTATTACAGAGCATCACCCAATAGAACCCAGTGTGATGCAGTACATCTTTTTGGGGGCAATGGGTAAAATAACTACAGGAAATCCGTGCTACACAGAGACCCACACCTGAGTGTCTTTTAATATCAAGTGAGGTGAAATGGGGTGCGTCCAAGATTGCACTTACATAACAGTGTGTGTGTGCGTGTGTGTGTCCGTGTGCGCACGTAGAGTCCGGACTAATGTCCGTAATAGTGCTAACCCACTGAGATAACATGTCGCAGTTTTAACTTCTTCCTAATATCAGCTTTCCCCCCTCCCTGATGCATACCAGTAATACCCGTGAAGATCCGGGGTAGAATAGGTCTTCAGCAACCCATTTTTGCCGTAAAAGGCTACTATGCTTGCCGCAAGAGGCAACTAATGGGATCGGATGGTCAGGCTCACCAACATGGTTGATGTGTGTTATCATATCCCCACTGCGCGGATCGATGCTCATTATGTCAATCACTGGATTGTCTGGCCAAGACTCAATTATTTATAGACTGCTGTCATATACCGTATATGACTGCGTATTTATAAGCCGAATTTTGAGGACCAGAAAAAAGATTCTGTAGAAAGGGGTCGGCTTATCCATGGGATACACTTTCATGATAGTATTTTTCAGATCGTGATCTGTCAGAAACATCGCCTGAATGACGGTCCGATAGATAACAACTTCCAAAATGTTTGGAAGTTGCCACGACTAGAGCCATTATTGTTATAAATTATCAATAAAGTTTATTTATACACCAATGTTGTCATTATTAAAAAAAATGTTATGCATGTTACTACTTCCGATAATAAGTTTTCAATTTAATGTTCAAAGTTTATCGTTCTTCATAAACTCCACAATCTTGTAGAATTTTCCTATTCGGAATATTCTATAAGTAATACGTTACCACTGTTATACCGAGGCTGTTGTCTCCCACAACTGCTGCTATAGCGAAATCTACCACAGAGATCTCAATTACCTCATGCAGCACGTGCGTAGCCACCTAGCTGCCATGTGACACCCTTCACTCTTGTCTCCTGCGAGAGCAAGTGCTCGGGGGACGGACGGGCGGGCAGCAGCCCAGTGGTAACGTATTACTTATAGAATATTCCGAATAGGAAAATTCTACAAATTACATTAAGTAATACGTTACCACTGTTATACCGAGGCTGACTACCACAGTAGGCGGTGGGGAGCACCTACAACCCGAATCCTGACTGCTAGCGTTCCTTCCGACCAGCGGAAGTAAACACCAAGGCGGAAGCACTCGATGCGCATGCACCTAGCTAGGCGTTACCCTATAGGAATACCAAAGCACTGTCAAGCGCATACCGTAAGGCTCAATCGTCATTGCCAAAACGATTGGTGACTCCAAACGGCCCCACTGGATAGGTATTTCATCGCCGCAGCGGATGAGAACACTGTATCCGCGTGAGCTTAATCTTAGATCAGGTTAAACAGTCGAAAAGAGGGAAATTAATTTCATTCAGACCGTATATCCCAGAGCAAGCCTACTTAAAGTATGCATTAGGCGCGTGACCTAATTCCAGTATTTGTAAGCATGCATCACAAGGTTGGGATACACGACAGACAATTAAAGACATAATTGTCAAAATACAAATAAGGACAAAGCACACAAAAAGCCGCCCTCACCTGTGGTGTGAGTGCGCTGGTTTGCGGGACCCCAACTCCTGTACCCACGGCAGTGGGAACATTGGAGTAGACCCAGATTGACCACCGTGCAAGGTCAGACGCCTGAGGAGTTCGGAATTGCGCTGGGCACACCCCTTAGGTGCCCGCTTGCGCCGCGATCCGCGGGCCAAGACGGTGCACACTCTCCACGACGGCATCAGCGACCTGTTTGAGGTAATGATTGGCAAAAACCGAGTCAGAACGCCAGTAACAACCTCGTAATATTCTGCGAACAGAGATATTCGAGTGTAGGGCAAATGTTGCCGCTAGCGCCCTGATCTCGTGCGGGTTTGACCCCGCTACCGGTAACCCCCGAGACCGGTACGCCAGATTGATGACAGAACGAAGCCACAACGCAATCGAGTTGCGAGGTATGTCAACCGTGCGATTAGGGTTACACAATATGAACAGACGGTCACGCCCTTGTCTACGTTCATTCGAAGCCTTAAGATAATACTTAAGGGCCCTAACCGGACACAGCCCTCTGTCCTCAGTATCAGCAGGATGTAAGATTTCTTTGAGTGATCTTACAGTGAATTCTCTCTCCGTTTGCCCGACTCTCTGATTCTTGGCGACGAAGCCCATGAGCAGGCCCAGGCGGACCGCTCCTTCGTCACCCCTATCGAATCGTACCTTGGCGACATCGAGTGCATGAATTTCGGATACACGTGCCGCCGTGGCAAAGGAGAGGAGAAATGCTGTTTTCCAAGTCACATGCCGGAACGAAGCACTATGCAAGGGTTCATACGGAGCTTCCGTAAGTGATTGCAACACTAGGGAAAGATCCCAGGCCGGTGCCCGAAGGCGGCCCTTCTTAAGATCGTGCTGTTTGAAACCCTTGATAATACCCCGTATCACCGGCTCTTTGGAGAGACTGGTACCCATAGCAACGTCCCGTACCGTAGCAACGGACGAGACATAGTTGGCAATGGAACCCCCGGAGAGTTTCCGGGTCTCTCGCAAGTGAGACATGAAACGAGCAATATCCTGCACAGATACCTTATCTGGCGAATGAATGTGATGTTTACAACACCACTTCGTGAAAATAACCCAACGTGCATTATACACCTTCTGGGTAGAATCACGATGCATACTAACGTATGCCCGAGACGCCCGGCGAGAAAAAACTTTACTCCTCAGACGCTCGGTGACAACATCCACGCGTGCAGATTGAACTGCCCTGCGTTTGGATGAAGCTGACGGGTGTGAGGGTGGATCAAGAGATCCGGTCTCACAGGCAGTGGAAGTGGCGACTGCGTGACCTGGGTCAGCAAGTCGGGGTACCACGATCTGTTCGGCCACATGGGCGCGATCAGTAACATTCGACAGCGAACTCCTCGGAGCCGGCTTAGAATGTGTGGTATCAACGCTGTCGGCGGGTAAGCATAAGCGACCAAGCCCGTCCAGTCTAACGCGAGAGCATCGTGATCGATGGCCCTCGGGACCGGGACTGGTGATACAAACAACGGGAATTATTGTTGAACCGCGTTGCGAACAGGTCGACCATCGGACGACCCAAACGTTCGCACAGCCACTGAAACACTACTGGGTTCAGCATCCACTCTGTGGGGCTCGGATCCTGAGGCCTCGATAGAGCATCGGCCAGTACGTTCCGCACACCTGGGATGTGACGGGCGCGTATCTGGCACGGGACACTGTCCACCAGAGCGTAAAACTCGAACGTGAGATCGAGTAGCGAGTGACTGTGGGTTCCCCCCAGTTTGTTCACATAGGACACTACCGTCGTGTTGTCGGTCGCCAGCATGAGCCGGGCGTCGACGAGACGATGCTTCCAGTGATTGACTGCGTTGATCACTGCCTTGAACTCGAGACAAGTGATGTGAAGACCTAGTTCGTCTAAGCACCACAGCCCCGAGCTCACCTCCCCCTTTAGATGGGCGCCCCAGCCCACTAGAGAGGTGTCTGTATACAGGGTCAACGTGGCCCGGTAGGGCCGCATAGAGACTCCTGATAAGACAATGTAAGGGACCGTCCACCACTCCAGATGCGGTCGGAGCCGATCCGGGAGGGCGACGGTCGCACTGTTCACCTCCGTTGCTAACAACTGGATTAAAAACCGTTGCAGCGGGCGGAGTTGGAGACGACCCCGTGCGGTGCAGTCCTGGGCTGATACAAGTAGCCCTAACAGCTGTTCCCAAAAGTGAACAGTCTGTTGCACCGCTAAGACTTTGGCAATCATCGCCTGAATTTTGTGCCACCGGTCTGGGGGGACAAAGAGGCGATGGGACACCGTGTTGAACCGACCTCCGATGAACAGCAAGTTCTGAGAAGGGGTTAACTCGCTCTTGGGGAGATTGATAATCCACCCAAATTGCTCCAAGAGCCGACGTGCGAAATCGAGATGGCGTGACAGGGTGTCCGTAATTCGATTTGCTACTAGCGAGTCGTCCAGGTACGCGAAGTACCGGACACCCCTCCTGTGGAGGAACCCCACTATGGGGGTGGTTAACCGGGTGAACAGCCAGGGAGCGGACGTGTGAATCACTGTTCGGCACTGTCCTACTTTGGAACGAGAAATATCCTGGAGTAAAACCCCGGTGTTATTTCTGGTAGAGCTAACTCCCGTACTGCCCCTTCTCCACCAACCTGCCGATGGCATCGGCGAGGATGGGAAGATCGGTTTCCGAATCGAAACCTGCCAACGGGGCAACGGTGAGCGGCGGATTCGCTTTGAGATCAAGCCGATAGCCGTACCGAATCGTGTTGACCACACACGGGTCGTCGAACACTTGTTCCCAATTCTCCCAGTAAGTCTGGAGTCTGGCTCCCACTGGGGAAGGAGAGGGGGCCCTGACAGGTTGCGACAGGCGCAACTGTCCAGGGCCAAGTGACTCGGGTTCGCCTAAGGGCCAACCGAAGTTGGCGCTGTCGGCATACGAACCCCTCCAATGAGAGTCACCTGGAGGGGCCCTTGCCGTCCGTCGACGACTTGGGCTTCCCCCAGTTCCCCGTCTTCCCGCGAAAGGGCAGCTGATTGCCCATACCGGAGCCCTCAGGGCGGGGCTACTTCCCAGAGGAAGAAGAACCCGACCCCTTAGACCTACCGGCCGCAGCAGCCTGGGGCGCGCTCCGGTTAGGAGCGGCACCCAGGCGCCTATGCAGGGACCCAACAAGAGCAAGTGTGTGCCGAGAGTCCTCGGCAACGTACTCCAGGGAAGCATTTAAACTGAGCAGGCAGTTGTAAATGCGCTGGTCACGGTCCGTGGGAGAACCTTCGACCAGACGGGCCGCTGCAGCCAAGTAAGTGTCTCCGTGAGACATGGAGTGCCGAGCGAAGGCGTCCAGCTGGTGCAAGGTAGCTTGCGTTACCGTAGCAGCCGGTGGGGCAAGGACACCCAACCGCTCAACATGGGCCTCCGCGGTAGGACCAGCCTCGGGAAAGGCAAGGTCATGTACCGGGAATAAACCCTTTCTCCACGACGTCGGAGGCAACGGGAGACCCCGACTGGAGGCTGCCGCGAAGGCGTTCTCCAAGGAAGGCTTGAAACCGCGCAGCAAGGTTGATGCGGGGAAAGCCGTGTCGGAAGACTCATCGTATACCTCGGAGGAACCCACAGTCGTGGATTCCCCGCGGTACCGGCCGGGGCATGTCCTCAAAGAGGTCATAAACCATGGCCACGCGGTCCTAAACCGATAGCGGGAGCGTCCGACCCCGCGGCCACCGAAGAGGCCGGGGACGGAACAGCCAGCGGCCTATCTTGCGATAAGGCCGCCAGCTTGGAATCCACAAGTTTCGACAACAATGCGGCGACGGAATCCCCAGACAGCCCGAGGGCCGCAAGGGGATCCGCCGCAGCCGAGGAGGTGGTACCCGCACGGGGACCCCGACCGGACGAACCGGCCACCACAGGGGTGGAGACGGACTGTACGTACAGCCGGTACCGCTCAAAATCCGCAGGCCCCAGACCTTCGCACAGGATGCACCGGGTGTCCCTGCAAGGAACCCTGCACCGCGGGCAACGATCGTGGGGATCCCGGGACGACAAAAACTTTCTGCACACCCCATAACTCCGAGGAGCAGGGGTAGAGGGGGTGGATACTGGGGACATATCCATGTCAGACATTGATTGTTTGCTATAAACAAAGAACAAAACATGGTTACAACGCACGCACCACAATGATTCACAAACGAACATTTTCACAAGAAAATAAACGAGCAATGTGAACATATAACATACACATATAACTTTTATTAAAGAAATAAGTTATGTTAACCCCCAAAACATACAAGAACAGGGGAAACGTAAAACACAACGTGCATACGCGAACCCCGCAAGTATATAGAAAAAAGGGCGGGAAAAATTTTCCGTTTGGCGGGAAAATTATAACCAAGCGTAGCTACCGCAACGCCCCATAAAAGCACAGTTTATTAGAGAATAAACTATAATAAATATCACCAAATCTTCAAGGAACGCTTCAGCAGGAGAAAACACGTCTTGCTAAGCAGACGAAGGAGACAAGAGTGAAGGGTGTCACATGGCAGCTAGGTGGCTACGCACGTGCTGCATGAGGTAATTGAGATCTCTGTGGTAGATTTCGCTATAGCAGCAGTTGTGGGAGACAACAGCCTTGGTATAACAGTGGTAACGTATTACTTAATGTAATTTTACATGTAGCAATATATGTAATTCACAGCTATAATATATAATCCCCAGATGAAATCGCCAATAGCTATTACGTACGTTTTGCAAAGTTCATAAATTGATAAGGAACAACTGCTACCTTTATTGAAAGAGGCAAATAAACAACTGTAACGGCGAGTTATTTCCGTTCGCCATTTGCAAAAACATGTGATCAGCTGTTTCCTGTGACGTCACAAACGGTGACCACTGTGATTGCTTCCTGTTGTTTAAAAAGCAACACAGTACACAAGGAAATGAGCACTGATAATAACAGGCCGATTGGTATTGTCATGTTGTTTACACAAACATTTTCATGTTGTGGGTGCTTAGCGATCGTGTTGGGAGTAGGGGCTTAATTTCTTTTAATTTTTCGAGAGATTAGTTTAATAAACTGGAGAAGCCTGTGAGTAAGTGATGGTCATTCATAGTTTATTTAATTCAATTGGATTAACATACAATAGTGGTATAAAGGGGGGTATAAAAGTTGGTATATTTCCGTGTGCGAAATACGCTACAGTCGGAAAGCGCATGTTAAATCTCCTATATCAGTTGGTATATTTGTACTGACAGACATTCTCATCATGAGTTTGAAACGAAAACGCCATGTTTACGACGCTGAATTCAAACTGCAAGTCTTCGCTCTAGCTGATATATTTTCTCACGGGTTCATAATTCTATATACACCAATTCACAAAATGACGCTTCGTTGTTGATGGCAACATATAACGATCATTATGAGATTAAAAAACCCCAAGAGGAACAGCTTCCCACTTTATGAAAGTGGATGACTGGTTTGTTAAATCTTCATTGGAAATAATAATGACTTTTTCAATATAATTCCAACCTTTTTCATCATATATTTTTTAATATCTGCGAGTACCGGCACATGTCTTGCAGTCCGACTTCGCAGTGCTTTTTTGGCTCTCACTTCCTGGTTCGGCTTATCTGCGGGTCATATCATTTTCTTTCTTATTTCAACGGTCAAGTTAACACCTCGGCTTATCTACGGGGTCGGCTTATCTGCGGTCATATACGGTAGCTGAAATTTTGTTGAGAGCGGCTCTAAACATTAAGCAAATAAACAAAACATACCAGTGAAGTCAGGGATGGAAGCTCTCAGCTGCTTCCACTCTGCGCTGACCTGCTCTGCCAGTGGATGATCTCCCAGTGCATCAAGGGCAAGGTCATTAAATTGTCGCTGCTCGATCCAAGACAATGGGCCTTGCATGTACAGAGAAGCTGTGGGATACAAGAAATTGATATTTACAGAAACAATATTTACAGATATCATTGAAACATATTACCATGAATTTTCAAAATAAGTCACATAGCATTGCTGGTTCACGTAAGCTGAAATTGTTTGTTGCATTTTGTAGCTGTATATTCTTACTTTTTTACCTCATCAAAACTGGATATGGATTGGGCAAATGGCTGGTTCCAGTTGGCGGGTCCATTAACCAACCATTGACGTTGCCTTGGAGCAGGTGAATGTCCACCATAGGCAAACAATTCTCACTCACCTTCATGTAACTGCTAAACCATTAATATGATGAAAATAATAAAAACGAAATCGTGACATTTTTCTTCATGACTTTCCTTTCTGCACACGTCTAATACAATAGCCAAGTACACTTTAGGCTAAAAAAAATTAATAGTCTTGGTTCTCAGACATCATCATAAAGTTTGCTCCATGTTTCATTTTTATTTCCATTTTAAAAAATAATAATAATAAGATTCTTAATAAAAATTCCAAGTCCAACGGTAGTCAAACACTGGATTTCAGTATTTTACTCATCAAGGAATACATATATTTCTTTCCCAGGTTGATTGTACACAACTGTTTATTTGGTTACATACTACACATGTAGTTTGAAAAAAAAAAGAAGAAAAAAAAGACTCCTGCCGCCTGCACCATATTTTCAAAACCCATTGCCTGAGAACCAATTCTTTTATTTTTTTAAGCCTTGGGCAATGATATATATATATATAAAGCAGGTGACTGTGTTCCTCTACTCCCTCAAATCCCCATTTACACAAAATGCTATGAACACCTTATAACACATACTCTGGTTTTCAAGAAACTTGTAGAATATATCATTCTCCCAGTTGATCAGGTCCCCAGCTTGGGCGATGCCCCAGGTGTGTTCTCCGAGCTTGGTCAGGAAGCGGGAGGCGTTGTACATCTGTTCATCATTGGGGCAGCTGCTTGCATCTGTACACACACAGGAGAAATACACTCTCTACAGCTGATCAACATATTTACTGCATATACACTTACTACAGCTGATCAACATATTGACTGCATATACACTTCCTACAGCTGATCAACATATTGACTGCATATACACTTCCTACAGCTGATCAACATATTTACTGCATATACACTTCCTACAGCTGATCAACATATTTACTGCATATACATTTCCTACAGCTGATCAACATATTTACTGCATATACACTTCCTACAGCTGATCAACATATTTACTGCATATACATTTCCTACAGCTGATCAACATATTTACTGTATATACACTCTCTACAGCTGATCAACATTTTTACTGCATATACACTCTCTACAGCTGATCAACATATTTACTGCAAATACACTTCCTACAGCTGATCAACATATTGACTGCATATACACTTCCTACAGCTGATCAACATATTTACTGCATATACACTTCCTACAGCTGATCAACATATTTACTGCATATACATTTCCTACAGCTGATCAACATATTTACTGCATATTACAGTAGACTCCTCAATTTCCAATGTCACTTAGTCATGCATCACCGTTGTGAACTAACGTGATATGTGACACTTGGGGCATCAATGGAGAAATGCAAATAAGCAGTCAGATGAAATAGCATTTTGAAAAAGGTTCATTCTTTGGAATAAAAATACTCAATAGTCAAGTCAAGTAAAAATATGTTAAATACCCAAGGAAACCTGTGAATACTCAAAGTGAATGATTCTGGTTTCCCATGCCTTGATATTGTTGGAATACTGCTAATAGCGGCGCAAAACCATACTCACTCTATCTCTCACTCACTCAATCTCTCACTCACTCACTCACTCAAAGTGAACAGTAGCATGTGAGTAAGTCCTAGGGCTGGGACAAGTCCAAGTTTACTACCTGGGTACCCAACCCCCTATTACCCGACCCTACCCGGGTACCTGCTGTAGGTCATAAGTTGGGCATAAAATGTTCAATAGGGAATTGCTTCACTGGAGCCCTGGCAAAAAGTGTTCAGGCATAGTAAACGATCTGAATGTGCATACACTGAAGCTGACAGAAGCTTTGTTTTCAGTCAAACATTTAAAAGTCAGAAGGAATGTGTGCATAGTTGGAAAGATATGCGAACATTAGCGACTTGTACTAGTGTAACCATGGAATTTTAGTGTTATTGTCATTTAACCATATGGCACATGACAAACCACTTGTCTGGGTAGTCCTGTGGGTACCCGGGTCCTACTCAGGACCCACCTGACCTGAGTACCCCAGTACCCAAGTTACCCGTCCCTGCCCTAGTTAGTACTCAATAACACAAACAATGATCTGGAGCCCTGTTGAGGTGATCTAACCCCAGATTGACTCCAATAATAATCCATGGTGTGTGAACATCATACCAGCACCAGAACATTATTCAACATGGCCGGTCAACTTCAAAAGTAAGACCTTAACTCAGGGGAGATAACTCTAACACTAATACATACTGCCTGTGGAAGCTTTCAACAAGCAGTTTGTTCTTGTTCTGAAGAAGGCTCGCATCATGGCAACTTTCATAGGATCTGATGCGGAGCCCTGGATCCAAGTATCACCAATCTCCTGCGTCACCAGAGGGAGCTCTGCTTTAACTACTTGGGCAGCGGCAACAAATTCTTCGAAGGTTGAGGCTTGGATATGGGCGTTAGGGAACTGTCCCCTAGCTAGTTCATAGAATATGAGGACTTCCTAAAAAAATGGAAACAGTACCGGGCATATCATACGTGTTAATTCAAAACATACAATCAGACAGTGGCACTTAAATCTTGTTTAGAGTGAGTGAGTGAGTTGGGTTTAACGCCGCTATTAACAGTATTCCAGTTATATCGTGGCGTGTCAGCTTAATGTGGGAGGAAAGCCCGAGGTGATGCAGGTCTCAGACGTTTATCACTTCGGTGAAACCCACGAGCACAGGTATGGTGCTGACAAACCTAGAAATATAATCGGGGCGAACCGTGATGCTCATTACTTACATCCTTTATTTATTTTGACCATCTGTCCAAAAGATCAAGAGACCAAAGTAATGGTTGGTTCATGTTGTTAGATTCTCTACAAGTTGTTGGTTTGTTGTTTTACTCCGCACTCAGCAATATTCCAGCTATATGACTGCGGTCGGTAAATAATCGAGTCTGGATCAGATAATCCAGTGATTGATATCATGAGCATCGATCCACGCAATTGGGATCGACGACATGCATCAACCAAGTCAGCAGGCCTGACCACCCGATCCCGTCAGTCGCCTCTTAGGACAAGCGTAGTTGCCTTTTACGGCAAGCATGGGTTGCTGAAGACCCTTCACGGGTCTGTTATATTAAGCATGGACTTGTCATCTGTTTGTTATTTTGCTAAACAATAAAGTCTAATATATCAATGTTACCGCCATAGATGCTGGAGGTCCCTGGTTGTCACTCTTGAAAGCGTAACACATTGCTTCATCCAGACCTTCGAATGTCACGCAGTCCTTTGCAGACAGGCCTAGGGCCCGTGCTGGGTATTTCCCTGGTGGGTCGGGGTAGCCGCCTGGTAGCAGGGGAGACAACTCAGCCAAAATATATGCAAGAAGGTTGTTTTTATGCCATATCGTCAATATTCAAGCAATTTCATTAACTTCTATGTAATTTAATAGGGGCAGGCAAAGCAATGGCTGAATACATGAGAAAGACTCCATATGACTTGATGAATATTAAAATGCATATCCCAGTGTGTTATTGCACCCATTCAGCATAATATTAACAGACATAAAATAATGCCAAACCGATAAGTGCTTCGTTGGCCAAACAATCTACAAGATTAAAATAAACCAAATACTATGTTAAATGTGTGACAAGCTTATGTTAAGAACATTTTAAATATGATTGTTTCATTTATTAATTCAACATTGAGAGATTAATCTAGGATTCCAAGCAAAGTGCCCCTGGCTGGCAAATTGAGAAAAAGAAAATGGTTCACAATTGCAGATTGAAAAAAAGTTCTTATATTCCTAAGTTCATAAGTATTTTAACATTGAAATTTAACATTGCATTCCATGCAATCATGTTAAACAAAGCTTTAAAGCCTCTTCCTGTATATTGGTCCAGTTCTCAGTGAAATACAAGTAATCTTAATCCATAACTTTTAGTCAAAATATAGCAGCATGAAATGCTTAATTACAATTTGGGAACTTTTAATGACATTTGCTGTCAAATGTCGGCCTCTGAGCAGGTGTAGACAAACCCCTGATATAATTATTTATTTAGCAGAATTAAAAAAATGAACCCCAAAAATGTTTTTCTTACGTGGATGCCACATTCCGATGAGACTGGCATTCTGGTACTCCCAGCGGAAGATCTTGGGGACGGCCGGTGGTGCCGACCCTCCATTGACACCAACACTGATACCCTCGATGCCATGCTTAGCATACAGAGGCAGCAGAGCGATCGACATGCCTGAAATTGTTCATCAACTTGTTCATGGACACATGGCGTGAGCAGTCTAAAAAGTCGTATCAACTCATCGAAAATAACGTAGCTGAGGATGGATCGACAGAAAATATGTTCAAGACTACATTTTATAATAATAAACATCAGGTTCATTTAAAATCTGTTACAAAGGTGAGGTGAAATGGGATTTAACGTCGCGTCCAAGATTATTGCACTTATATAGCGACGTGCATGCACCTGTGTGTGTGGCTGCTTGTACTAGTCCGGACTGATGCTGATTTATAGTGCTAGCTCACTGAGATACCATGCTGCAGTTTAACATGAGTACCCTACTCAGGCACAGTATACTGACTCCGAGCCGACCATTCCTTGTTTTCGCTCCTTAATGCCGAGCGCCAGACAGGGTAACGACAAGTACCATCTTTTAATGTCTTTTGGTATGAAATGGAGGGGGATCGAACCCCAGGCCTTCCGCCCTCTCCGGGCGGACGCTCTACCACTAGACCACGGAGGTGTTGAAACATGTTACAAAACTACCAAGACTTATATCCTTGAACTGATATCATTCACAGCAATGACTTCATATCTACTTGTTTCAATGTTCTGTTCCTACCTGGGACGTCCCTCTGACTGACGACACGAGTTGGGCGCTTTATCCCGAATCTCTTATCGAGGTCTTCACTGATCTGCAGGGTGTAGTCAACCATGGAGGGGTCGAACATTTCATTGTTCATATTCATCGGCCCAGCATGCCATGTGATAATCCCCATCTTGATAGCTGCCTCGAAGTTGCTCAGTTCCGTCTTGTTAGGGCACTGCATCAAAGCAAGAGTGAGTGAGTGAGTATGGTTTTACGCCGCTTTTAGCACTATTCCAGCAATATCACGGCGGGGGACACCAAAAATGGGCTTCACACATTGTACCCATGTCGGGAATCGAACCTGGGTCTTCGGTGTGACGAGCGAAGCATAAAAGCAAGAGCATCATAAGGTTGAAGGGCATCCATACCAACTCCAAAACTTGAACATAAGTATGTTTTCTTAAAGATGTTGGCACAATCCATGTATCACCCTGGTTGAAGGATTAGTGTACACTCGATTTTCATTCTCAGCTCCCTGGGGGACATACAACCCAAGCTACCTTATGAGTCGTTTGAAGGTTAACAGGCACATTATTATTTCATTCTACAGTGTTCTACCAGGTACCCATTCACTGCTGGGTGAACAGAGGAATATTAAAAACAAGTCTCTTGCTTAAGGAGAAACATGTGTTTCAGTGTGGGGTAGGACTGAAGCCCTAGAAACTCTAAAGAGTCAAGCTTGCCAATCACAGCCACCCACCCATCTACTCTCTGTGACCAATGTTGATAAACTTCATCCTATCTGTGGTTACAATGAGTTACAAATAGCACATTCCTGTAATTGTATTCCAGCCAGGTGAGGGGGACAGTCCAGGTACATGCCGACCACCTTCTCCCCATACACCTACCTGTAATTGTATTCCAGCCAGCACCAGGTTTGGGGGACAGTCCAGGTACATGCCGACCACCTTCTCCCAATACACCTACCTGTAATTGTATTCCAGCCAGCACCAGGTTTGGGGGACAGTCCAGGTACATGCCGACCACCTTCTCCCCATACATCTACCTGTAATTGTATTCCAGCCAGGTGAGGGGGACAGTCCAGGTACATGCCGACCACCTTCTCCCAATACACCTACCTGTAATTGTATTCCAGCCAGCACCAGGTTTGGGGGACAGTCCAGGTACATGCCAACCACCTTCTCCCCATACACCTACCTGTAATTGTATTCCAGCCAGGTGAGGGGGACACTCCAGGTACATGCCGACCACCTTCTCCCAATACACCTACCTGTAATTGTATTCCAGCCAGCACAAGGTTTGGGGGACAGTCCAGGTACATGCCGACCACCTTCTCCCAATACACCTACCTGTAATTGTATTCCAGCCAGCACCAGGTTTGGGGGACAGTCCAGGTACATGCCGACCACCTTCTCCCCATACACCTACCTGTAATTGTATTCCAGCCAGGTGAGGGGGACACTCCAGGTACATGCCGACCACCTTCTCCCAATACACCTACCTGTAATTGTATTCCAGCCAGCACCAGGTTTGGGGGACAGTCCAGGTACATGCCGACCACCTTCTCCCCATACACCTACCTGTAATTGTATTCCAGCCAGCACCAGGTTTGGGGGACAGTCCAGGTACATGCTGACCAGCCAGGGGTGGGACATATACATCAGCTTCTCCGCATACCCCAGCATATACAACTGCAAGCCCACTTTGACAGCTTGGGGGAAGTACACGGTGAAGTACTTGTTGAGAACATTGTTGATGAAGCCAAGCTGAGGCCTGATGCCGTTGAAACCAACATCTGTGTATAAAAAATAATCATAAACTAGTTGACATTATCACTTAACAATGATAAGATCCTCCTTTTAATAAGAATACACCTTTATAAAACAGTGTTTACTTTTTGTTTTTATTTTGTTTGTTTGTTGTTTAACGCCGCACTCAGCAATATTCCAGCTGTATGACGGAGGTCTGTAAATAATCGAGTCTGGACCAGACAATTCAATGATTGACATCATGAGCATCGATCCACAAATTTGGGATACGATGACATGCATCAACCAAGTCAGTGAGCCTGACCACCCGCCTCTTACAACAAGCATAGTCGCAATCTATGGCAAGCATGGGTTGCTGAAGAACTATTCTACCCCGCATCTTCACGGGCCCAGTACTAACATCACTTGAGGATGGGACTCATTTTAGCATGCTAGAAATTACTGGGTCTTACCGGACACATAATATTGTATCTTGCAAATTGAGAGTTGATCCAAATAATTTCCATTGCAAGTCCTTGGGGAAGCAAATATTTATGGTTGTTTGCATCACAAAATTTATATGTGCAAAGATTGTGTATTGCATGTTACTGACATTTCTATTCTGACAAGGAATGCAATCGAAGTAAGTCAATGCTTAAATTAAACAAAAATCAGGTGTGCTGAACATGTTTAAGGGCTCTTGACCTGTTTTCAGGAGTGCCATTGTCTGCTAGGTTTTTCACAACAATCAACACAAATAACCACTTCCATTTGAAACACAAGACCTTGTACATAATATTTGTGATACTCCGTCAAAATATGGAAACATACGATTACATTCAAATGTATTTGGTGCAGTCTTTAACATCTTGTGAAACATCTGTAAGATACATTCAATGAATCACCAAATACTGTCAACTGATTTCACACGGGAAGTCGATTAGCGATAATGCAATCTCATTTAAATCAGATCTCAGTTCTCGCTACCGCTAAACAAAGATCTGAGGACATCCCATTACGGGTCACGTCAGAACAACCTTTCGCAAATTTTGACCGACCTAGAAATGACTGAAAAGAAATCGACATTAGCCAATCAAAAGGCAGCTTTCTCGAGCTTTATGACACTAGTTTTAAACTGGCGACTATGCTTCGAAACATATTTTGACGTATTCTCGATTAAAAAAATGAAAACTGATAAGAAGAACACTCTTGAATGGCTTACAGATGGCCCAGATTGTATGGGTATAATCATAGAAACCCGTAACTGTCATTTGGAATACCCTCTGTTAAATATTTTGTGGTTGCATGATTAGAAAACACATTCCGACTGTCACTTTCATGATCTGGTAAGTGACGCTCTGATTGGTTGGATGAAAGGTCGTTCTGACATGACCCTTAATGGGATGTCCTCAGATCTTTGTTTAGTGATAGCGAGAACAAAGATCTGATTTTAACGAGATTGGCGATAGTGGAACATGCAACTTATGGGGAAAACTCTTTTCAAGCGTGACAATCCCTATTTTATATGTGTGGCGAGCATGGCGGCACTAGTAATTTCAAGCCCTGCAATGGTTGATTTTCTTCAATCTTACATTGAAACCATCTATGATCGTGATAATCGGCTAGGCCATCAGAGGTGAGGTGAGCTGAAATGGGGTTTAACGTCGCGTCCAAGATTATTGCACTTATATAGCGACGTGCATGTACGTGTGTGTGTTTGTGTGGCTGCTTGTACTAGTCCGGATTGATGCCGATTTATAGTGCTAGCTCACTGAGAAACCATGCCGCAGTTTAACATGAATACCCCACTCAGAAACAGTATACTGACTCAGAGCCGACCAGTCCTTGTTTTAGCCCCTTAATGCCGAGCGCCAGACAGGGTAACAACAAGTACCATCCTTTAACGTCTTTTGGTATGACGCGGCCGGGGATCGAACCCCGGACCTTCTGCTCTCCGGGCGGACGCTCTACCACTATAAACCACGGAGGCGGTCCTAGGCCATCAGAACTGTATAGATATTAACAGAGTCATCTTAAAGTAACACATCTCTAATCACAGAATCTAGTTCAGTCGTTGATATCGATAACCAAGTCATCACATACAGATTATCAAACTAAGTCAAGGTTGTTTCCAATGGGAAAAGTATTGATAAAGGTTACCTTTGACCACTGATATGTTACGAGGGATGTTGTTGTATATTGTGATATTAATGTATCAATATTTCTTTAATGTAAAGCCCATTTTGATACAAATTTACAAATATTGATCAAAATTAATAACAGAGTTCCAGATAAGCTGCGTATCTGCGTAAAATACACATCAGAAATGCAGAAATACGTAGTAAAATAAAATCCAAGTGTATCAAATACGCAACAACCATTACAGATAAGCTACAAAAATATAACGTGTGCGTATCATCAAAATATTGTGAAGTAACCCTGCTTATTCGATTAGCAAATCAGCAACTTATTTTGAAATTATAAACGGGCATTCCGTCAACTCCACGATGACAGTTACATCACAATCATTTGCCATCACACTTTCTTGTGGAAGTATCGTGGTATTTTTTAGTCCTATAAAGCTCTCGAACCCCCACGACACCAGTTTGCAGGGACTAGATGAATAGTGTTTTTAAATATTTAACTTAAAGACCCACATGTTTAAAAAACTAGTGGGCAACAGAAATTTGAAGACCCAGATAGAATTACTGATACCCAACATATTAAAATGCATGGGTAAAATACCCACAACACCAAAAGCTTATCTGGAGCTCTGTAATAATACACTGCCACAGAAACATTTACATTTTGTTAGATTACCATGGTTAAGAAGGACCATGATAAGGCAGCAAATTCAATTCTATACATTTAACATGTGTTTAATGGACCAGCCTAGTTCATATTTAGCATAAACATTATCATGTGTTTATTAATTGATGTCTAGACAGGAAATATTTTCTGTACACATACAGAATAAGGCCACACTTTTTTAATTTTTTGTTACACAGATTTATTTAAGCTTTTCAACACAAGGTCAGTTGAAATAAAAATAAATAGCTACGTCAATCGTTTATTTATGTTTTTATATGAAAGTCATTCTGCTGTTGAGTTTAATTGCAGCTGGCTTCTTGAATCACTGAAAGTCATGTAGACATTGAATTTATATACATCGGTTTTTTATAACAGGGTCTATATTACAAGTGGGAGACATAATACAAACAAATATTTTTATGTGAATTTTATTTCTTGGACCAGCTGCTTTTCAGAAGGGGCAGAGAGCCTGTGATATGTAAAATAAAAAATGTGTGGCTAACATATTTGTTATCAGTCAGTGTCAGTGAGTATGGTTTTACGCCGCTTTTAGCAATATTCCAGCAATATCACGGCTGGGGGACACCAGAAATGGGCTTCACACATTGTACCCATGTCGGGAATCGAACCCGGGTCTTCGGCGTGACGAGCGAACGCTTTAACCACTAGGCTACCCTATATTTGTTATCAACATGGTTAATCAAAATATCAATACATTGATCAGGGATGTGAGCAGGTTTTCCCGAAAAAAGAGGAAAAGTCTAGGGGGGTCTGGGGGCATGCCCCCCCCAGAAATTTTTAAAACATTTGATTGCATTTTAAGCAATTTCGTGCAGTTTGGACAACATTCACACCAAGAAATGTAATAAGTCAATGGCAAAAGTCAATAAGTCAAATAAACAAGATGGCAGATGCAATAAAATTTCGAAGTTAAATCAGTACTTTTAAAAAATCGGGCATAGCTTTTGCGCACCTGGCTACCCGCCAGGTCTGGGAGCAATACTGCCATAAACTTCAACCCCCATCCCCCAGACACAAGGACAACTGTCACAAGCGTGCAATGTCTGACCCTTTCCCCATGTTGAAGCATATTGAAAAAAACTTACCTTGTACTTACCTTTTGATGAAAAAAACAAAACTCCATTGCAAACATAAGACATTAATACAACATATATCCCCATGACATGGGGTTTTGGACGCTGAGGAAACATTCATAGTTTTCTTGCTTATCACATGAACAACTGTAAAACATCTCATTCACTTACAGGCTAAAAGACAACTTTATCTTAAAAACAAGCCATCAGCTGACTCTGAGTATTTACAATTTATGTGTGACGCCACACCCCACGTTATAGTGCAAGTATTCGTGACAGAAAACGTATGATGTCCGAAAACCTATGCTGGTGAAAGCTCTGATCGAAAACAGGATAATCCGCGCCAATTGTCCGGTTTTCGATCATATTTTCGGAGTGTTTTTTAAAAAAATATTATTAAATTTTTACGCGGAAGATGATTTTTTTCCGAGGACTACTGTTTTAAAAAACGCGATTTTCCGCGTTTCCGCGGAGATTTCACATCCCTGATTGATATATCAATACTAATTCGAAACTTTCCAATCATTGCATAACCCTCACATGATTCTGTTAATGTTCAAGATTTGCAGGCTAGTACTTACCTAAATGGTTCATGAATATCAGATGAACTTTCTTGACATCCTTCGGATCAGCATCTCTTGATTGTACAGGAGCTTCGCCACTCACATATACCTGTGAATAATAAATAAACTTGCTGACATGTCACAAGACAGTGATTGACAATTCAAGGATATTCTAGCATCCTACAGGGGGCACGAGCGGCCCAGTTGTCTAAGGCACCCCGATTCGCTGTGCAGAGTTGCGTCCCTTGGGCACGCCAGAAAACTATGATTGTGGGTTCGAATCCCGGTTTGCCTCGATTATGTTTCTAGGTTTGTCAGCACCATACCCGTGCTCGTGAGTTTCACTGAAGTGGTGAACATCTGAGACCTGCATCACTTCGGGCTTTCCTCCCACATTAAGCTGACACGCCGCGATATAACTGGAATACTGTTAAAAGCGGCGTTAGACTCAACTCACTCACTCTAGCATCCTGCTGCTGGGTCTAAGGTCCAGTAACATGTGCCCTTCCAGCCTTCTTCATAAATTCTACATTGACCTTGGATAATACACCTTTCTGTCAGGCCAGTCCTCATAATCAGGATTCAGCTCACTAGCCTTTGATTAAAAGCAGTTGAAAGACCTGCTATATCACTGATAATGAAGGTTCACACATCCACTAGATTTTGATGTCATTTCACCTGAAATTAAAATTGTTTGTTTGTTGTTTAACGCTGCACTCAGGAACATTCATAAACATGAAATACCGAGGTTTTCAAATCATCTGTGAAATGTCATCATGTACCGTATTGTAATGATATATTGAGCTCGTTCTGTTTATTTTATTATTTGCATTTGAAATTAGCTGAATAGCAATACCTAGAACATCACTGACATTGCTTTGAGGACATTTTACAGATTTTCATTGTGTGCTCTGTTTAATAGCTACAACAGAAGGATATGCTTCTGATATGGACTTTTCATTTGACAGGACTTCATTACAGAAAAGACAGCCGCAGGGTGGCCTAACACATGTAAATTTTATGTGCGAATGCAGGGCTGTTCCGTTTTCAATGCAGACCCCCTTTTAAAAACAGGCATTAAAACACAAGTTTGCTGAACAACCTTTTCTACCCTACACGACAATGTCTGAAATTATGGTGATGAGTTATCGTGGACAAATAAATAACTTTAATGCAATTTAATGCGAATTGTTGTTCTCAGATTTATATCAATTTTGCATTTCATCAGTTCAATAATGCAGCAAACGGACCATAGTCCACATCTTATTTAGGTCCAGTGGCTTACGTAAGTTCAGGCATAGACACTGCCACTATCCCGTTAATCTGAGACGAGTGAAAACCTAAACTTGAAGTTCTCTCCATCTGTGGACTATTTAGATTTGACCAATGATGTTTTCCCGAAACATAACTAGATTGTAGGAGATAATGTTAAGTCTCGCCAGACCCTTACTGGCGTCAGACTAACAGACAAGTGGTCATGCCCAATCCTTAATAAATAAACTGAAAGGGATTCTATGCATTTGATTGGCTAACAAAGCAATGTTTTTATTTATGCTTCCATAAACCTAAAAACATAATCGACTATGCCCAGGAAGGGAGTCCTCTTCTCTGATTGGCTAATCATAGAATGGGTGGGTTTTGTGCTGCATTACTGCGCTGATTCATGTCACCTACTTCGTATAGTTGTCTCAGTTTTTATGTTTACTGTTAAATAAGCAGTCTGTGAAGTTATTATTGTTGACTTTTTTATTTATATGAATCGATTTCATTTTTTTTGCATTTATAATAAAACATGAAACCCAGTCTGGTGCAGGTATTTACTCAAAGTGCACACAGGGTTTTACGTTAATAATTCATGCACACAAAAATAATACTGAAGTCAATAAATCAGACTTGTCATTTTAGAAGTGGCCTTTTGAACATGTTGACTACAATCAATGAGAGCGAGTTACATCTTTCAACAGCTCTCAACAGAATTATAGTATTATAGTATTATCACAGTATGTATGGAAAACTGCAAACTGTTGCAGGTTCAAGCTGTTTTCAGCTTTGGTGAAACCCAACAAGCATGGATATGAATTGCCCACATAATAGTCAAATCCTTTGACAAGTAAGGGATGCAACTCTACACACCAAATATTGGGAAGCTTCCTTGTATACAAGAGGAAAAGAGTGTGGTCAGCTGATGAATAAACTCATGACATCACATGTACAGTAATAGTCATATGACAGGAAACTGTAGTGGAGAGTGCTTTTTTCTAGTTTCACTTTTGTTTATTCCATGTTTTATGGTTTCAAAAGTATGATTAAGTTGTTTGAGAGTGAAAGGAATTTAATCTTAGTACAGAGCCAAAGACTTGACTGGTGGCACTGCATAACTTAATTGAACCAAAGATGTACACACATGTATGTATGTCTTTGCTTGAACTCAATTAAAGCTTCACTTTAATAAATATATATATATATATATATTTCAAGACAAAATAGATATAATAATATTAAGAAGAACTTCTTTATCGACATTTCTGTATAGATCCTTTAACAAGAGTATAAGTATCTATATGGAAAATTTATCTATAATCCTACATGTATATATATGTTAAAGAAAGTTTCCATTTAAGCTGTCATCTGTGACTAACTTCTGAGGAATGCCTATCAAACAATGCAAGTATATACTACAAGCCAGGGCTGGGACAAGTCCAAATTTACTACACAGGTACCCACCGCCCTATTACCGGACCCTACCGGGGTCCCCGCTTTTGGTGTCAAGAGACAGGTACAAAATGTCCAATTTCGAATAGTTTGACAGTAGCCCTGGCAAAATGTATTTAGAGACACATATACAACGATGTGGTCATGCAAACACTGAAGTTGACTGAAGTTTTAGCTTTGTTCAAATATATATAAGTCAGAAGAACGTGTTCATAGTCAGGAAGAAATGTGACCATTAGAGACTTAAAATTGTCGTGTAAACAGGTATATAGTGATTTTTTGTCATGAAACAATATATCACATGACTACTCAGTATACCCACCCGACCCGAGTTACCCGTCCCAGCCCTACAACAAGCCATAATGAATCATTAACATATATATCATTTAATAGTTGTCATGGTTTTCAATTTCAAGCATCATATATAAGATCATGTTCAGCTGAAATGTCAGAGTCCTGTTACAATATATAAGTGGTGTCGCGGTACTATTTATAACTCAGTCAGTCAGTGTGACCTATAACTTGTTTGTTTGATGACATAAGACGGACAGTGGTCTGTTTACTTACGGAGTGACAGTACATAACACGAACATAAATGTAACAAAAATTCCATACCAAGCACAATCCTAGGCAGAAACATATCTTCTGTAGAAACGACATTTTATATAACATCTCCAATGAACACCACCATCAACAAGACAATCAGGTGCTAGGTCATGTGCTCGTTGTTTCTGTAGTTTCACTTCCGGATCATAGAACAGCCAATCAGTCCACTCGTTACTAGTCGTCTTATTCCGGGACAAGCCTAGATTACGGAAAGGGACGAAAGAAGACGAATAGCTCACGACCAGCACGTTGACCGAGATCATAAACACGATAACCAGCTGATCACACTACATGCCGCCATGAACTGTGGGAATTCATTTCTAGTCAGAAAGACCGTTGGGGAAAGTGCATGAATGACAATTTAATATTTATTATTGATGAACTATATATTTATTGATTGTTGATTTATTGTTTTTCACATACAAAAATCACAGTGGCAAAAATGAAGTACGTACGTGCAAAAGTGAATATCGAAGTTTAAATTTTGGACATGTTTGAACAGTGCAATAAATATAAGGTTGAACCTTTGTTTAAAGGTTCTAGGGTTTTCGAAAACACAATTATAGCATCACGATAAATTCGACATTTTTAATATTCACCAAACTTTGTGAAAAGCGTTCAGATGTTTAAGAAATGCATCTTAAGAAGGTGTTTCATTTTACAATATGTGTGTGTGAGTGAGTTTTAACGCCGCTTTTAACAGTATTCCAATTATATCGCGGCGTGTCAGCTTAATGTGGGAGGAAAGCCCGAAGTGGTGCAGGTCTAAGACGTTTACCACTTCGGTGAAACCCACGAGCACGGGTATGGTGCTCACAAACCTAGAAACATAATCGGGGCGAACCGGGATCAATTTACAATAAGCGCTATAGACGCGTATAACCTGAATAATTAATTTGAACCTATTTTTGTAAATACAAACGTTAACTGAAAATCTTAATTGAAACTTGTATCTTGATACGAAAATAATATGAAATCTTTTGTGATATGTGTTTTATATCCCCCCTGAGGATAAGGGAGAGGGCGGTGGGATAGCCAAGTGGTTAAAGCGTTCGGTCGTCACACCGACGGCCCGGGTTCCACTCCCTACATGGGAACAATGTGTGAAGCCCATTTCTGGTGTCCCCGCCGTGATATTGCTTGAATATTGCTAAAAGCGGAGTGAAACCATACTCACTGACTCCTGATAAGGGACAAATGCCAAAATGTAGTTCCAAAATGTCACCCACAGTGCAAAATATCCCCCTTCAACAGTCCATACACGGTGCGTGTAATGTTAAGTAGAGTTGTTAGTCGTTGTTGAAACATGCATACTACAACAGCGCGAGCAGGTGCTTTCAGGATTTTTCTGATTTGAAATACAAGACATAATTCAGACATAGTTCAATATCATCTGTCATCTGTATATTTTTCAATCAAAACTTCGACGAAGGATTTATTGGGATTTGTATAAGTTCAAATCTAAATATTCCGGTTAATATGCCAAGTCTTGTCTGCTGTATCAGAAAACTCGGGCATGCACTTGTCCATCCACATCAGCAGTTCTGTGTTTAGTACATACATCACAATCGACAAGAGTCATCTGAATTTCAAATACCAGCTGTCAGATTATAAATTACATGACTTGGATACCATTCTTCGTTCTAGAGCCCGTTTCAACATGTTACTGCTTTGTTCACGACAGACAGGTTCGCTTTTATCTGCTATAGGCTGTTTATCAATCGCCTGTGAGGCTCTTCTCAAAAGAGTTAAATAATTATGAGGACACATTTTAATGCTTTTATGATTAGGTGTAGTCTTAGATATAAAGGAGGAACGGGTGGTCAAATCTTGGTGTAGAGTTGCGTGCCATAGACGCACCAGGATCTGCTGATCGTGGGTTCGAATCCCAGATTCACACTGGTTATGATCTTTGGTCTGTCAGTACTATACTTGTGAGGGCACGGATGACCCTGTTTAAGGCGCCGCATTCTGCTGTGAATAGTTGCCTCCCTTGGGTGTGCCAGTAACCTATGATCCGAATCATAGTCCTGATGCTCCTGATTAAGTTTCTAGATTTGGCAGCACCATACCCCTGTTCGATCGATCGGTTGCTCGCTCCTCACTCACTCAATCACTCACTCACTCACTCACTCACTCACTATCTCACTCACTCAATCACTCTCTCGATAACATCTGCGAGAAAGCATGCTTTCGGCAGAGATTTCTTATAAATATGGAAAGGGGTTTTCGCTTTTATTTACTTATACGCGTGGTTACTGAAAAGTTCTGAGCCCAGTAATGATGGACAGCGTTGATGGAGTTGGTTGCTAATTATTTGTGGTGTTAAACGTTCCCCATAGCAGAAAAGACGTCATCATCATTCGCATAATGCTTGCCTAAGGGTACTTTCTTCAAGTTTGGGAAGTTGTTGAAGTCTGACGGTGCCAACTCTTGTAAATACGGAGGATGCTCAATGAGTTTAAAGCCACATTCATCATTGCAGCCATGGCGACAACAGACATGTGCACAGGTGCATTTTCCCGCTGGAACAACACACATTTAGTAGTTTTTCTTGATGTTTAAGGGGGCGGTCGGGTAGCCTAGTGGTTAAAGCGTTCGCTCGTCACGCCGAAGACCCGGGTTCGATTCCCGACATGGGTACATTGTGTGAAGCCCATTTGTGGTGTCCCCCGCCGTGATATTGCTGGAATATTGCTAAAAGCGACGTAAAACCATACTCACTCACTCACTCACTGGATGTTTAGGACTGCCTCTGTGGCCCGGTGGTAGAGCATCCATCTACGCAAGTGAGATATGATGACATACACACGACACCATTTTACACCGTTAATGGAGGCCCGTGAAGGTTCGGGTAGAATAGGTCTTCAGCACCCCATGCTCGCCGTAAAAGGCGACTAGCTTGTCGTAAGAGGCGACTAATGGGATCGGGTGGTCAGGCTCGCTGGCTTGGTCGATGCATGTCATCGTATCCCACTTGCGAAGATCGATGCTCATGATGTCAATCACTCGATTGTCTGGACCAGACACGATTATTTACAGACCGTCGTAATATAGCTGGAATATTGCTGAGTGCGGCGTTAAACAACAAACAAACACACTTTGTGACATTGATGTAGTAATAGCGATGTGTCAGTTTAAAGAAGAACTAAGCTCCGGCAAATTGGCAGCCCCAGCCAGTCATTAATAACTACTGTGTATTTGTGAACTAATTCAGTGTATATCATGTAGAACAATATTTAGCAGTTATTTCACATTCACATATAATTATTATACACAAACAACAACGCCCAGACCAAGACTGAGTTTGGCACATTGTCAAGACTGTAAAGAATTGTTTGATAGGTATTACTTAGAGGTTGACGGATGACAAAGTAGAGATAATTTATGGATAACAACTTCTTTATTTACTGTCCTTTTTACATCGGGGAAAAATCCTTAGCCTCCCACCATTTGTCCTTTCCTGCTTTACCCCCTGCACCTGGCCATGAAGTGGCCATGAAACGTTTTGAATGTACAATTAAAAAATTAAAAGGTTGTTCTCCACAATCATACTCCTTGTGTTGACGCCATATCACGGGTCGTGTTAAGGGAATTCTGGAATTCGATGTGACGATCAGCAGATCCTGCTACGCAAAGGGGAAACACCTCGGCATCGAGTATTCCGGTCTCATTTGGTCACTTGTGCCTCATAGAATATAGATAAGCAGATATACGATAGATAGGAATGCATTTAGGTTAAAATTAATTCTCATACGAAGCTATGGTAGTGTGGCTTTTAAGTTTCAAATTAGTATGACAGCCATGTATAAATCACCTATGAATATTAATAATCATATTGCAAACCCATCCCTTTACTGCCGTCATGCTGCATGAAACGGACCTGTAGCCGTGTTGATACCTAGGTGGTTTTGACGTCCGATGTCACTTTGAAGGGGATGATACAGACAATGATGAATCTACTGACCATCGTAATCGCCACAGGTATCGTGCCATACGATAATTTCATTACTGAAACATTTGTTTTAGAAATTATTTTATCGGAAAGAGGTTATTATTTTATTCAAAACAACGTTTATGTTTCACTACCTGGAACGGTTATTGTTAATGGCTTTTCACATATGTTCACACTTCAATGTTTCTTTTCTAAGTTTTGTGACCGCCTCCGTGGTCTTGTCAGTATACTGTGTCTGAGTGGGGTATTCATGTTAAACTGCGGCATGGTATCTCAGTGAGCTAGCACTATAAATCGGCATCAGTCTGGACTAGTACAAGCAGCCACACACACACATACACGTGCATGCACGTCGCTATATAAGTGCAATAATCTTGGACGCGACGTTAAACCCAATTTCACCTCACCTCTAAGTTTTGTTGTTTACTTTTGTATCAAACTTAATGTTTTTATTGTGTAACACTAAATAAAGTTAAGGACCACTCGATTCTTCCTCATGTTTCTATATGTTAACCTGTATCATGGCATGACAGATTAACTATAGTAATGAGAAAGAATCGGGTGGCATTTAACTTTATGTAATAGTGTAATTGATAAATCTCTCCCATGCTTTATCAAATAACGCCGACGTGACATGCTTGTCACAACCAGTTCCCTATAATTATGAATAATTTGACATGTTGTATAGTTGAATCATGTCGATGTGACTTGTTACATTATATTCACAGTCATATAATCATATACAGGGCACATTTTAACCTTTTAGTGCACCCGATGTACTCAAAACGTGATATTCTTGAGTTATATTTGATTTTCATATATTGTTCAAAACAAGAGATGCCCCTCCAAACAAACACTAAACAATGTCCTTGCCTACTACCAAACCAGGAACAGACCCATCCTTATTGAGTTGTGCATGGTTCATATATGCCATGCAAATAAACCGGTTTCTGATACGCGGGGAGAGAACTGTTGGCTACCCTCTCCACAGAGAGGGAGAGAGAGAAAGAGAGAGGAGAGAGAGCGAATAAGATTGAGAAAGAGAGAGTGAGAGAGAGGAGAGAGGGGGAGAGAAAGGGAGAGTGAGAGAGAAAGAGAGAGAGTGAGATAGAGAAAGATAGAGAGAAAGAGGGAGAGGAGAGGGTGCGAGAGGGGGGAGAGAGAAAGAGAGAGAAAGAGTGAGGAGAGAGAATGAGATAGAGAGATGGGAAGGAGCGAAATAAAGAGAGAGAGTGAGAGAGATGAGTGAGAGAGAAAGAGAGTGAGAGAAAGAGAACAAGAGTGAGAGAAAGGAGTGAGGGAGAAAAAGAGGGTGAGAGAAGCTGCTTAATATTGCCAATGACAATGTCCCCATTCACGTCAAAACCTTGCGTATTAAGAAACTCTAAACCCTGTCTGTGCATATTCCCTAAACCAGGAATATTCCCAAGCTATATTGTTCTACTTGCTATATGCACAGGCGCTTCTGTAATCAATCAAACTCGTGTATTCTGCATAGCTTCCTCGTTACACCACGTTTAAAAAAAAAACCTAAGACATTCATGCGCTAAATACTGTATTGAAATATGTGTATTCCGGTCAACCACATATACACACAATGCGTTCTTCAAGGCAACAAGAGGGCTCTGAACGTAGCTGAGCTCTTATTAACCTGACCTGAACTTAACTCTACTGAACTTAAACTGACCTGAACTATACTTACCTTGACCTGAACTGAACTCTTCTGAACTTGTCCTGAACTTAACTCTTCTGAACTTGACCTGAACTGTACTCTACTTAACTTGACCTGAACTGTACTCTACTTAGCTTGACCTGAACTGAACTCTACTTGACCTGAACTGTATTCTTCTGAACTTGACCTGAACTGAACTCTACTTAACTTGACCTGAACTGAACTCTACTTAACTTGACCTGAACTGAAATCTACTTAACCTGAACTGAACTCTACTTGACCTGAACTGAACTCTACTTAACTTGACCTGAACAGAACTCTGCTTGACCTGAACTGAACTCAACTTGACTCGACCTGAACTGAACTCCACTTAACTTGACCTAAACTGAACTCTACTTCACTTGAACTTAACTGAAATGGACATCAAATTAAGAAGCAGTAGAGCTGATACACTTTGTGTCGCCCAAGAACTTTCTTTTCACATAACGTCTATCAATTTCTCTATGAACGAAATTTATTCTTTTAATAAATTCAAATTCAGCATAGTGGTAAACACGAAATCCCCACGACAACAATACCGTGTATTGTGCATGGGTATTATTCCTTCAGGCTTATTTGGCCAACATTCAAGTAAGCTGTAGGTTGTACAGTTCAACTCTACTTGACGACCTGAACTGAACGCATCTTAACTTGACCTGAACTGAACCCTACTTAACCTGAACTGAACTCTATTTAACCTGAACTGAACTCTACTTGACCTGAACTGAACTCTACTTAACTTGACCTGAACTGAACTGAACTTAGCTTGACCTGAACTGAACTCTACTTAACCTGAACTGAACTCTACTTGACCTGAACTGAACTCTTGTGAACTTGACCTGAACTGAACGCATCTTAACTTGACCTGAACTGAACCCTACTTAACCTGAACTGAACTCTCTTTAACCTGAACTGAACTCTACTTGACCAGAACTGAACTCTACTTAACTTGACCTGAACTGAACTGAACTTAGCTTGACCTGAACTGAACTCTACTTAACCTGAACTGAACTCTACTTGACCTGAACTGAACTCTTGTGAACTTGACCTGAACTGAACCCTACTTAACCTGAACTGAACTCTATTTAACCTGAACTGAACTCTACTTGACCTGAACTGAACTCTACTTAACTTGACCTGAACTGAACTCTACTTAACCTGAACTGAACTCTACTTGACCTGAACTGAACTCTTGTGAACTTGACCTGAACTGAACTCTACTTAACTTGACCTGAACTGAACTCTACTTAACTTGACTCGAACTGAACTCCACTTTACTTGACCTGAACATAACCCTACTTGACCTGAACTGAACTCAACTTGACCTGAACTCTACTTGAACTTGAACTAATTTTGAACTAAACTGAAATGAACATCAACTTAAGAAGCAGTAGAGCTGATACACTTTGTGTCGCCCAAGAACCTTTCTTTTCACATAACGTCTATTAATTTCTCTATGAACGAAATTTATTCTTTTAATAAATTCAAATTCAGAATAGTGGTAAACAAGAAATCCCCACGACAACAATACCGTGTATTGTGCATGGGCATTGTTCCTTCAGGCTTATTTGGCCAACATTCAAGTAAACTGTAGGTTGTACAGCTAATCACAGCGTCTGGAAAACCAGCTTCCCCATCTTCCCTAGGCAAGGCAACTCACTATAAAAGTCCAGTTTCCTCCCTTGCCGAACTAGGCTGTATTTATAGAGTTATGTTTTGGCTGGATTAACGAGTCTATGCATAGTCCAATCGAAATCGCGTTACGAAATCGACATCGGGTTTGTTAACTATCGTGCAGATTTCGGTCGATTGCAGGATTTGCAATGCACGTGTACCGAAAACTCGGCGTCAACAGATATTTTCAAATATTTTCATGTTTTTAATCAAAGTGCTCACGTGATTTAATTCACTTCGCAAAGTAAGACCCGTTTTATTACAATATAGATTATACGATCATCTTGACTTCGCGCCGCCATTTTGTTTCAAGCAAATGCAAGTGACAAGAGAGGTGGAATCTGGTTGGTCAATAGGAGGGACATTGAAGAGACATAACTCGTACTAGCCACTGGTGGCGCTACGATCGAGCCCAGAAAATCCAGCCCAGTTGAGCAAGGGTGGAAACTGGACTTTCACAGTCACTGAACGCCCTTGTCTCGGGAAGATGGTCACCTCATATTGTGCGATAGAGTCACATACCAAAACACTCTTTTGGGAGCTGATTAACACTGATGGTAACGAACGTGCTGTGATCAGGTAGTAGTGCCACACCCCACAACCACGCCCTGCCCCGCCCCGTTCCATCATATATTCAGATCACATTATGTAGATTCAATCAACAAAATCACACAATGTGAATGTTAAATAGTCATAAATAAATATTCATTAATAATTCCTCTTATCTCTCTTCCGTCAGCAATCAATCAGAATACATATAAAGCTTATCGGCTGTTTGAAATTGGTGCAAATCTAATCCTGTATTATTATGATACCTTTCTTACGCCATACTCATGATTTGGTTTGGTTTGTTGTTCGGCGGTCTGTAAATAATCGAGTCTGGACCAGACAATCCAGTGATTGACATCATGAACATCGATCCACGCAATTGGGATCGATGACATGCATCAACCAACTCAGCGAGTCTGACCACCCGATCCCGTAAGTCGCCTCTTACGACAAGCATAGTCGCCTTTTACAGCAAGAATGGGTTGCTGAAGACCTATTCATGATATCTGACTTGTTTTTTGTTCAGTATATATCCCGTCTGGACATCTTGAGTGCATGCAATAAAGAGTCGAAAGACTATCCTGCAGACAACCTGCAGACAACCTGCACATGCCTAGGTGTACTGAGGACAATGTTATGACAATTATGAAATAAAAACTGGTTACTTAACACGCATAACACACAACAGAGCAAGTGTTGACTTCACCTGGAATGACTGAAACAATGTCATAAATTATTTCCAGACGCTTGTGATTATATTATTACAATTATTGATAGTAATATTCAGAAAGACACCAGTGAAATCGTCAATCAGCAGGGGAGGAGAGTGTTAAAGTCAACAAGACATATGAGTGTAGCACGAAAACCCAACAAGCACAATGGTAGGCCATCTTCCCGAGGCAAGAGAGTTTACTGACTTTAAAAGTCCAGTTTCCACCCTTGCCGAACTAGGCTGGGATTCCTGGGCTCGATCGTAGCGCCACCAGTGGCTATTACGAGTTATATCCTTTCTATGCCTCTCCTATTGACCAATCAGATTTAACCTCTCGTATCACTTGCATTTGCTTCAAACAAAACGGTGGCGCCCAGTCAAGACAGTCTGATCGATAATCAAGATCCCTATTGTGATAAAACGAGTCTTACATCGCGAAGTGCATCAAATCCCGCGAGCACCTTGATTAAAAACATGAAAAGATTAAGAAAATATCTGTTGACAACGAGTTAGCGGTGCACATGCTTTGCAAATCCTGCAGTCGACCGAAATCTGCATGACACTTTACGAACCGGATTTCGATTTCGGTGCGCGACTTTGATTGGACTATGCATAGACTCGTTAGTCCAGCCAAAATGTAACTCCATAACACCAGCCTAGTTCGTCAAGGGAGGAAACTGGACTTTTATAGTCAGTTAACTCACTTGCCCCGGGAAGATGTGGTGGGGTGGGGAGGTGGACTACGGGACACTTAGTAAATACAGAGCCTTAAGAAGACCCCCGCTGTCTTGGGATAGGACAATTACAGAACAAAAAGAAAACAATTTAAATAGTTTTTACCCCCATAAGGAATATCTATTTTGATAAGCAGGGGACATTATTATCTTCAAAAGTGAACAAAAACAGTGTTGGAAACTCTCGAGGAAGTATAATGTCATGGATGCAACCACTCAGACCATTTCAATGAATCAGTGGTTTAAACACTTCAATAATCTGCTGAACACAGAGAATCCAACAGATTAAGATCTCTCTTTCACGAACAATCGTATATAGTCTGTGATGATGACGAGCAAATCAACTCTGACTTAAACAGTTCTTTATAAGAAGACGAAACCTAAAGCAGTTTTCAGGGTATCATACATAATACGTTACATGGGTTTTATTAAATCCCATCCGGGATTCGACCCCACGTTGTCAGAGTGAGGCACATAATCGCTTTGTGTGCTGGCGATTAGCTGCTTCGATCTAAGAGTGTGGGTTCGAATCACGGATGGGATTCCACCCAAAACTGTTCTAGAATTTGTAAACCTTGAGTGACCCTGAATAACCTCTGTCTGTCTGAACTGAAGGGTCGATATTGCAGACCAGAAACTCCAGACATGTGACGGATCTGCCTTTTATTTGACCATACGTGAATTTTCTATCATAGTCTGTCCTATCGGCCGTCACAAATGCACCCTTATTCGAAAACTATTTGGTAGAATTTAGAACAACTTTCACCGCAAACGTGATTTCTATTCCAATAGGAACTATTAAGTTCAGTGTTATGAAAACCGATTTCATTAAGATATAAATGGTTTTACTCATCTTGCAAACGTCCGACTGCGGATTCTTAAATCAATAAACTGACGAAATGAAATAATAAATTAAATCAAAATAACTTTTTGATAATTACGACAAAATAGGTTGTTATTTCAACACTATTTAGTATCAGATATGAAGGTGTATTTCCGGGACAAAGTAGCGCATTTCTGGTGTTTGTGAACCAAACGTTCCGAGCAGTTTCGTTCGATACGTGATAGTCTTACAAAACAGGTATATCTATATTCAACTGAATATTATGTCAAACTGTTGAGGCCAGTTCAACTGAAATAGAAATGTCCGTATATTCTACACAGTCGGTATGTTGTATATGTAGGCTGCCTTCCCTGTATGGTAGTGTTGTATCTGTAGGCTATAGGGTAGTGCTGTATCTGTAGGCTATGTGGTGGTGTTGTATGTGTAGGCTGCCCCTCCCCCTATATGGTAGTGTTGTATCTGTAGACTATGTGGTAGTGTTGTATCTGTAGGCTATTTGGTGGTGTTGTATGTGTAGGCTATTTGGTGGTGTTGTATATGTAGGCTGCCTCCCCTATATGGTAGTGTTGTATCTGTAGGCTATGTGGTGGTGTTGTATGTGTAGGCTGCCTCCCCTATATGGTAGTGTTGTATGTGTAGGCTATTTGGTGGTGTTGTATATGTAGGCTGCCTCCCCTTTATGGTAGTGTTGTATCTGTAGGCTATGTGGTGGTGTTGTATGTGTAGGCTGCCCCTCCCCCTATATGGTAGTGTTGTATCTGTAGACTATCTGGTGGTGTTGTATGTGTAGGCTATTTGGTGGTGTTGTATGTGTAGGCTATATGGTGGTGTTGTATGTGTAGGCTGCCTCCCCTATATGGTAGTGTTGTATCTGTAGACTATGTGGTGGTGTTGTATGTGTAGGCTGCCCCTCCCCCTATATGGTAGTGTTGTATCTGTAGGCTATGTGGTAGTGTTGTATGTGTAGGCTGCCTCCCCTATATGGTAGTGTTGTATCTGTAGACTATGTGGTAGTGTTGTATATGTAGGCTGCCTCCCTTATATCGTAGTGTTGTATCTGTAGACTATGTGGTGGTGTTGTATGTGTAGGCTGCCTCCCTTATATCGTAGTGTTGTATCTGTAGGCTATGTGGTGGTGTTGTATGTGTAGGCTGCCCCTCTCCCTATATGGTAGTGTTGTATCTGTAGGCTGCCTCCCTTATATCGTAGTGTTGTATCTGTAGGCTATGTGGTGGTGTTGTATGTGTAGGCTGCCACTCCCCCTATATGGTAGTGTTGTATCTGTAGGCTGCCTCCCTTATATCGTAGTGTTGTATCTGTAGGCTATGTGGTGGTGCTGTATGTGTAGGCTGTCTCCCCTATACATGTATGTTAATTGTTAAGTTGTATCCACAGGGCTGGCCGCTGTAGTGAGAGGAAACCCCGCCGCTGACCTGTGCCCCGGACATGTGGAGTGTGGTACCATCACACAGGAGAGATACACGGCCGCGGCGGGAGACGTCACGAAGCAGTGCAAGTGAGTGTGCCTTTAATATTGCCATATATACTCACCCTAAGAAGAAACCCATCGGGTGGTTTTCTTTCACTCATTTTGTTGTTTAACGTCGCACTCAGCACTATTCCAACTATATGATGGCGGTCTGTAAATAATTTTGTCTTGACCAGACATTCCAGTGATTGATATCATGAGCATCGATCTACGCAATTAGGATACGATGACATGTTTCAACCAAGTCAGCGAAACAACTTTTTTGTGATGCGCTGCAAACCATCTCATTGGTCTGGTGGTAGAGCGCCCGCACAGAGAGCGGAATGTCCGGGGTTCGATCCTGGTCTTCATTTGAATACGACACTGTCCTTGACCTTTGTTGCAGGGCGCTGTATTTCGGGTTGGACTGTTTGGATCGCGTGAGGATGAACTGCTCCGCTTCCAAGACGTTCGGGTTGTCCGAGGCCATCAAATTTGCCAGAGAGCAGCTCAACAAGCTCAACTGCACATGTGAGTCTGTGTTGTGTTTAATTGACCTTCTTTCCTTTATAGTGAGCGAGTTGGGTTAAACGCCACTTTGACCAATATGTCGGTTTTATCATGGAGCGTCAAATCAAGGTAATGAAGTTGGTTGGTTTGTTGTTTTACGCCGCACTCAGCAATATTCCAGCTATGTGACGGCGGTCTGTAAATAATTGAGTCTGAACCAGACAATCACGTGATTGACATCATGAGCATCGATCCACGCAATTGGGATCGATAACATGCATCAACCAAGTCAGCAAGCCTGACCACCTGATCCCGTCTTAATGTGGGAGGATAGCCCGAAGTTTGAAGGGATGCAGGTCTCAGACGTTTACCACTTCGGTAAAAACCACGAGCACGGGTATGGTGCTGACAAACCTAGAAACATACGGGGGGCGAACCGTGATTCGAACCCAAAATCATAGGTTTCTGGCGTGCCCAAGGGACGCAACTCTGCACAGCGAAGCGGCGCCTTAGACGACTGGGCCACCCGTGCCCCCAAGTTCTGATAACATTAACCATTATATGTTTTTCATTGGACATCACTGACATGCTGTGTGTTTTGAAGATGCTATTCAGGAGGCAGCTATGACAAACGGGAGTATGGGGACAACAGGGGTCGGGCCTGTCGCCCCTGGCTATACAGGAGGAGTTCCGGGTACTGGAGGCACCCTGCCGGGTACTGGAGCTGGGGGGACGTGGTGGCAGCCTGCAGGGTCGGTGTCTACCCCACCGACAATTCCAACCGTGGGAACACAAATGACCCCCCCGAGTGGAGGTATGTATACTTCCTACCAGAATGTAAGCACTAGAACACTATGAACAATAGAATTAGGGCCTAAACAATCGTGTCTAATATTTTATATTCACGCTTCACAATAACTTAATTATAAATTTCATCTGGTGTTTTTTGTTCAGTCTTATTATTCCAGAATATTGTGTCGCTAAAATCGTGTTTTACTAAGAAACATGAACTTTGTCTTACTTGAAGCGTTTCTTAAAGTTAATTGCCTTATCCCTCTTTGGTTTGTCCGAGCTTAATGTATAATCATTTCTCGTGTTTGATACGACCCTTAATCTTTTCTTAACAGTTTGTCCCCCCCCCCCCCCCCCCCCCTTCATTTCTTAGCAAAACGTCACGTGTAACAATCTAAACTGCTATACACATGGTTCGGGTTTCAGATGCCGGTCGCTCTTGTCAGTCGCTGTCACTCGTCTTGACGATCGTGCTCATTTCAGGACTGTTATCATTTTTCTGAACAAAGGCGACGAATCAATGGGGTCATTTATTGGCAAAATATAACTGAAAATAGATTGATTTAGGGAAACCTTTTATAAATGTACCACAGCTGTTTAAATAAACAAAATTTGCCTTGAAATATACGTTATGGTTTAGAGATGGTTCTGAGGATGATGAAGAGACTGTGACCCAAGATGTGCCTTTCACTTCATGAATTGCCTCCTAACTAGAACCGCTTGTGTAAATGTCTTATGTTGGAAGACACTGGAAGAGTGAAATGGAATGTGTAAGCTGTCCAGCCAAGGAACGCTTTCAATGAGTTTGAGGACGTACTTGTCAACTTTTCTTTTTCAAATTCTAGTGAGCCAAATGGACCCTTATCATACCTTGTTCTTTGAAATAAGAAGGAATCTTCAACTTTGGAAATACCAACTGTAAATATCAGCTTCAAGAAAAGACCATTTATCCCAAAGTGGTGCCAAAAAGTATCATTACATATGAAATCAATGAATTGTGTCATGTTAAATATTAGCACAAACTAGTTTTAAAAGTTCTATAATTCAACTGAAAGTAAAAAAAAAGCAAATAAGTGTTATTTCCACAATTTTCCCAATTCAATTACGTTAAATAAAGCATATATTGACATTGTTTTTGTATTTTGTTTATATAAATTCAAAGAACAATTTAACCCATACGAATGTCACCTGGTTTCTGGCTCTCAGTAACCCGTTGCCTAGGATATACGCACATACAGACATATGAAATTAATTCCTGAAAATATGTTCCCTTTATGTCACACTTTTGGATACAACAGGACTATCGATGCTAACCCCTTGACCAGTTGAACTACATCGTCTTAAGCGACATATCGAGTTCGTTATAACGAGGTTTCACTGTATGTCAAACCATCTGTCTATTGCTTAACATAAATATTTTGTCAATTAATTTTTCGTATCTTCATTGAATCATTATCACGTGGAGGTTTAAGACTGTCCACAACAACATATGTTTTTCGTCGTAAGAGGCGACTGATTCTGAGAGCTGCTTGACCTTTCGCTGGCGGTACGTTGCTCATAATATCAATCAGTGGTTTTACTGGTCTACACTCGCTCATTTACAGCGCGCTGTGATATAGCTGGACTAATGCCGACTGACGTTAAACAACAAACAAACAAATAATTTAAACATCAATTAACACTCTGCCAAGTCATTTCCACCGTGTTTGTTTGTTTGTCTGTTTGTTGTTTAACGCCTCACTCAGCAATATTCCAGCTATATGACGGCGGTCTGTAAATAATCGAGTCTGGACCAGACAATCCAGTGATTGACATCACGAGCATCGGTCCACACAATTTAGATACGATGCATTTCCACCGTGTAGACATACAAGAAAGCATCTTGTTTAGTCAGCGAGCCAGACCCCGATCCCGTTAGTCGCCTCTTACGACAAGCATGGGTTGCTGAAGACCTATCCTACTCCAGATCTTCACGGGTTATACATGAAGTAGTGGATTTTGCCACTTGTTAGGTAACGAGTACCTGGGAACTTATCTTCAGGTATTAAAACGCGAATGACAACATTATTGCAATGCTGCATGCCTTAAGGCCTCACTGCCACACACCAATTTCTTTGTTTCCTTAGAAAACAAAGAAATTTGTTTCCTTAGTATATATTTATTACGGCGGTCGTCAACAATTGCATAAATAACGAAGCGCTCGTAATAGGACTTTAAGTGGTTCCACGGGAGTTCGGCCGGGTAGGGGCATTAGATTGTTCTTTTGTTTGCTTGTTGTTTAACGCCGCACTCAGCAATATTCCAGCTATATGATGGCGGTCTGTAAATAATCAAGTCTGGAACAGAACATCCAGTGATTGACATCATGAGCATCGATCCACGCAATTAGGATATGATGACATGCATCAACCAAGTCAGCAAGCCTGATCACCCGATCCCGTTAGTCGACTCTAAAGACAAGCATAGTCGCCTGTTATGGCAAGCGTGGGTTGCTGAAGACCTATTCTACCCCGGATCTTCAACGGTCGTGAGCGCATTAAGTAGGTTTTACTCTATACGCTTGGTTTTCTCCTGATGAAGGGCAAGAAGTTGCTCTTCACTGTCGTCACAGACAATAACAGAAATTGTTATCCATAAAACAGTGTCATGTACATAGGTTTTACTTCCCTTTAAACAGTAATTCAGTTATATCACGGAACGTCAGCTTAATGTAGGACAGTCTCAATGTGACCGGTACACGTTTACCATTTGGTGAAATCCACAAAGGCGGTCGGTTTGTTCCTGAGACACCAAGGATCATAACGGACAGAATCTTGGATTCGAACCCACGAACAGCGGATCCTGCACGGCGATGGGGTGCTCACTGCATCACTCACTGTGCCCTTGAGGCAAGAAGGTAGAACGTGCGTGAAATCCTGTTCTAGGTTAGTAAATATAGTTTCAGTGTATTTTGAGCTTTTGTAAGCTCAACGCGGTTGCCACTTAGAAAGCCTGTATCGGCAATCGAATCTGTCCTCGTTGTTTGTTGGTTAATCTTGTCATTTTTTGTTTACTTTTGTAAAAGCGACAACGCGACGATGTCCCTTCTAGGATTCCATACTAATGACAGGCATGGGATCTATTCTTCCCCTGGGGGCACGAGTGGCCATGCCGTCTAAGGCGCCGCAATTCGCTGTGCAGAGTTGCGTCCCTTGGACACGCCAGGAACTTATGGTCGTGGGTTGGAATTCCGGTTCGTCCCGATTATGTTTCTAGGTTTGCCAGCACCAGCTTGTGGTTTTCGCCAAAGTGGTGAACGTCTGAGACCTGCATCACTTCAGACTTTCCTCCCACATTAAGCTTACGCGCCGTGATATAACTGGAATACTGTTCAAAAGCGGTCACCCACTCGCTCTTCCCCTGATGGTGTCCCCAATGTGTGAAGCCCATTTCTGGTGTACCCCGCTGTGACATTGCTGGAATATGGCTAAAAGCGGCGTAAACCCATACCCATTCACTTACAGTGCCTGATTGATTGACTGTCTGTCATCGTACCCTGGCGCAGAACCTACGCACTCACAGATTGACGGCGATATACTTTCACTGCTATGCTCAGGGGCGGCTTATATAAACGCTGCCTTCCTCAATACTTGTTGCCAACCCACGTGGTTGAGATTACGTTTCCGAATCTGAATGCTTTACTGATGTGCTTTCAGGAACAAATAAGTTCATTATCCCTGACACTGGCTGTGGTGATGAACATAATACAGTAATGTGTGACTGGAACTGTGGTGCTGTGACATAACACAGTAATGTGTGACTGGAGCTGTGGTGCTGTAACATAATACAGTAATGTGTGACTGGATCTGTGGTGCTGTAACATAATACAGTAATGTGTGACTGGAGCTGTGGTGCTGTGACATAATACAGTAATGTGTGACTGGAGCTGTGGTGCTGTGACATCATACAGTAATGTGTGACTGGAACTGTGGTGCTGTGACATAATACAGTAATGTGTGACTCGAGCTGTGGTGCTGTAACATAATACAGTAATGTGTGAATGGAGCTGTGGGGCTGTGACATAATACAGTAATGTGTGACTGGAACTGTGGTGCTGTAACATAATACAGTAATGTGTGACTGGATCTGTGGTGCTGTAACATAATACAGTAATGTGTGACTGGAGCTGTGGTGCTGTAACATAATACAGTAATGTGTGGCTGGAGCTGTGGTGCTGTAACATAATACAGTAATGTGTGACTGGAGCTGTGGGGCTGTGACATAATACAGTAATGTGTGACTGGAATTGTAACATAATACAGTAATGTGTGACTGGAACTGTGGTGCTGTAACATAATACAGTAATGTGTGACTGGAGCTGTGGGGCTGTGACATAATACAGTAATGTGTGACTGGAGCTGTGGTGCTGTAACATAATACAGTAATGTGTGACTGGAGCTGTGGGGCTGTGACATAATACAGTAATGTGTGACTGGATCTGTGGGGCTGTAACATAATGCAGTAATGTGTAACTGGGGCTGTGGTGCTGTAACATAATACAGTAATGTGTGACTGGATCTGTGGGGCTGTAACATAATACAGTAATGTGTGACTGGATCTGTGGGGCTGTAACATAATACAGTAATGTGTGACTGGAGCTATGGTGCTGTGACATAATACAGTAATGTGTGACTGGAGCTGTGGGGCTGTAACATAATACAGTAATGTGTGAATGGATCTGTGGGGCTGTAACATAATACAGTAATGTGTGACTGGAACTGTGGGGCTGTGACATAATACAGTAATGTGTGACTGGAGCTGTGGTGCTGTGACATAATACAGTAATGTGTGACAGGGGCTGTAACATAATACAGTAATTTGTGACTGGGACTGTGACATAATAAATTAATGTGTGACTAGATCTGTGGGGCTGTGACATAATACAGTAATGTGTGGCTGGAACTGTGGGACTGTGACATAATACAGTAATGTGTGACTAGATCTGTGTTGCTGTGACATAATACAGTAATGTGTGACTGGATCTGAGGGGCTGTAACATAATACAGTAATGTGTGACTGGAGCTGTGGGGCTGTGACATAATACAGTAATGTGTGACTGGATCTGTGGGGCTGTAACATAATACAGTAATGTGTGACTGAAGCTGTGGGGCTGTAACATAATACAGTAATGTGTGACTGGGGATGTGGGACTGTGACATAATACAGTAATGTGTGACTGGATCTGTTTGGCTGTAACATAATACAGTAATGTGTGACTGGAACTGTGGGGCTGTGACATAAAACAGTAATGTGTGACTGGAATTGTAACATAAAACAGTAATGTGTGACAGGGGCTGTAACATAATACAGTAATTTGTGACTGGGACTGTGACATAATACAGTAATGTGTGACTAGATCTGTGGGGCTGTGACATAATACAGTAATGTGTGACTGGAATTGTAAGATAATACAGTAATGTGTGAATGGATCTGTGGGGCTGTGACATAATACAGTAATGTGTGAATGGGGCTGTAACATAATACAGTAATGTGTGACTGGAATTGTAACATAATACAGTAATGTGTGACTGGATATGTGGGGCTGTGGCATAATACAGTAATGTGTGACTGGGGCTGTAACATA